TGCGTCACAATCCAAGCCCTCACTTGGAATTTTCAAGACCAAAGAACATATTACGTCAAGAAATAGAGATAGACATGAGAAGAATGAACAACAATTGGATAGAATTAGAAAGGAAGACCCAGGACAGAGTAGGTTGGAGGATGCTGGTCGGCGACCTATACTCCATTGGGGGGTAACAGGCGTAAGAAAATAAGTAATAAACATTTCATCCTGTATATTTACTAAACAGTTAGTTCAGTGAGTTCTCCTTGATATCACTTGTTCATGTATCATGGTTAGAACATTTGGTATGATATAGGCCTAAAAGATACAGGTTACCTATAACCATTCGATTAGCTTTATTAATACTAAGATAGGTAGATCCCATGGACATGTCCTAAATAGGATGAAATGCGAGTCCTTGATTTCACTAAAAACCATAATCTAAATGTACCATAAATATTTGTATATATTTGTGTGTGTTACACTTCAATTGTTTCACCCTTTTTTTCGTTTTCTGAATTTTCTGAAATTTAATAGTATCTAACGCTACTTACAAAATCTTATTAACATAATCCTCACGATCCCATTAAACACAATTTTTGAGTAGTACTAATTAAATTACCCTAATAGTTGAATCCATGAACCAATTAAAGATGGACCACCATGGAAAACCTAGAAGCACTGGATGGCTGTTTCGTTCTAGTAAGGGACTCCTCAGCAGTGTGCATCCATGATCCCGCCCCGCGAGATTCGAACCTAGAGCCTATCGGCCTCGCGTGCGAACGCCTAACTTCTAGACCACTGAGCCGGTACCCAACAGTGTTAGTGTCTAACATCAACCAACTATTGAATTACAAAAATCTCCACAATACCTTCTTCTTATAAAATTATCTTAATTCCTTTACGGTTTATTGAGTTACCTTAAGTGCGCTCTAGCTGAATAATAATTGTCAGCATTTTGTCTTCAAAAGCCTGATAAACATGTAGGTAAACAGATAATCACTCTGATACCTTAGAGTCAATATGACGTAGTTCTGTCATCTATACAAACTCAGTTAACTGCCATACACTTTAGTATGACATTCCAATTAACATGTTCAAACACTAAGTATATTTTAGAGTCTTTAAGCTTCATATATAACGTTTTTTTCGCTTTCTACATTGCAAAACTCTTCAAGTGTCAGTTGTTATTTACTTACACATAAAATCATATTTTATCGTATCACATAACTACGTATATCATTTCAGTGTATATAAGTGTATGAATACACTTACGAAATTGGTTTGTTCGAATCTTCCAATTGATGTTTAGGACTACGATTGACCAGTCTCTTTTTAACATATATGTATCCTCTGTGGATTGTCGCGATACTGCTTTAGTCCACAACCATGATAGGCAAAGATGGATAGCGGTTAGTAGTGGAATCCAGGATGCGCGTCTCGTTCCATTTAGGACTCGTTAGGTGGATGTACCTGCACCTCAGATTTGATGTTCACTCTGGGACTTGAACCCAGTATCGTTCGCTTCAAACGCCATCGCGTTATCGACTTAGCTACTGAGTCCCAATAGCCACTTGCTTGTGCAATGGGGTGAAGTTTAAATTCACTTGATGTTTGCCCAATTCAAAAGTCAGTGTAAATTTACACTACTTATTTATAATCAGTAGTTTGTCATGCCTATGTCACCAATATAAGCTTGTATTTTATCTGATATGGTACCCAAAATAGTATCACATAATTCTGATAATCTTCATCTTCTTATTACACAATCCAAATTTATCAAAGGGATTAATCGCTTCAAATTTTATATCTCCTTTAACTTATTTAGCCTAACCATAATTTGAAATTAAAAAAAAACCTTCATTATTTCTCAATAAAAAGAGATTAATTTCAACAGTTGAGATCATGAGTCAATTGAAGTTAGACCACCATGGAAAACCTGGAAGCACTGGACAGCCGTTTCGTCCTAGTATGGGACTCCTCATCGGTGAGCATCCATGACCCTTCTGATACTAACCAACATATGCTCACTAATGACTGGATTCAAGATATATATCCTGGAGTTTTAGTGAGAAGCAGTAACCAGTGGAGTTCAACCGGGTCAGTTGTGAGATAGTAACTCATGGACGTGTCGCTCAATTTCGTAGATTAGTTGAAGTTAGATATTAACACCGTTGGTTGCCGGTCAGCTCAGTGGTCTAGTTGGTTAAGCGCCTGGCGAGACACCGGTAGGTCCTCGGTTCGAACCCCGCGAGGCGGGGTCGTGGATGCGCACTGCCGAGGAGTCCCACAATAGGACGGAACGGCCGTTCAGTGCTTCCAGGTGTTCCACGGTGGTCTAGCTTCAATTGACTCATGATCTCCACTGTTGAAAAAGAGATTAATCTAACTTTGTTTATCGCTGATATTTTCATTCGACACAATCACATATCGTTTTCTGATTTAAAGTATAAGCTTTAGTTTTAACTGAACTAAAAAATTACAATCGTGAAATTTTTACTTCATAAAAGTATCATGCTTCAAGACAAATTGCATTATCAGTTTAGGGGTTGTGGAGATTGTTGATTGAGATCATGAACCGATTGATGTTAGACCACCATTGGAAACCTGGAAGCACTGGATGGCCATTTCGTCCTATTGTTTAGCTCTCAGGGTTATTTTCTTATATGTAACTTGATTGTTTATTTAGACGCCCATCTTGTATGAATATTTAACATTTCTATTAATTTTTATTTTGAATTCAATAGTTTCTAGTCGTATTGTAGTGAAGGAGAATATAGGTGAGGACAACCGAATTACAGTTACATGGTAAAATAGAAAAACCCTACTAGAATACTTAATTTGCAAAATGTTTAATAATTGTCTCGAACTTCATTGTTTTTGCATTTTCATACCAATTGCTTTCTATTCCCTTGATCCTCTCCATCTTCTGATGCCAGATATTACATTCCTGACTCGTCATATATTACTTATATCAATATAAGTAGCACACACCACTGTATCACTTACAAGGTTTACTTAGTACAAAAAGGCCGTCTAATAATTAGAATTCTTGCAACAGGTTCAAATACTTACTTCTTTGAAGTAGTTGTTAATAAAAATGATCCTAGTTGAATTCTAAAGACGAACTTATACCTATGAATATTATTTCTGTTCGTTTGCACTAGAATACAATTGGATGACACAAAAAAATAGCCCTGAAATTCCAAGCTACTTATCAACTAATGTGAATACAAGTGTCTTTTGCTAAATGTAATGAAATTTCATGTGCATAGATATTTATTAAGTTGACTTAATAATCAATGAATCAAACATCCGAACCAATTCTCATTTGAATACTTTCTCATAGTAAGAAGTGGTTTACATCAAGTTACGAAACGTCAGAAATACAATTTTTCTACTCTTTGAGATATCACAAATATATATATATGTACTATTCATTATAATAGTTTTTCAGTTATGGTAATGATATACTTGCTGATTCACTCTTAACACATGAAAGAATAAAAACTTAGCATGTATTTTGCATTTACACAGTTGTTTCCTTTCTACGATTCCATAATAGACTATTACGAAGTTTCTGAGCTTTAATCATTCCAAAAAGGAAGTTTCAACATAATCACCTACGCAGTTGATGAGGATTAGTAATACTTTTTGAATTTAGCACAACACATGAAAACAAATCATCTCCACGATCCCCAACTAGTTTCACGATGTAGTAGTTTTTCTATAGACTTACACAACTTATAAAGTCTTATAGAAACAGAACTGAGGGATTAGGGAAACTGATTACATGAAGATAAAGTAATGATTGATCAATAAGTTTGGATAAAACACTACCAAGTAGATTTGCCAATGTATTGAAAAGTATCGCAAACTTGGTTATATATGCCTAAGAAAGATCGGGTTGCGAAAATTGTTGAACGAGTAAAAAAAACTGATAAGACATGCATGTATGTTGAAAATTTGAGGTGCAAACTTCTGAAATAACTTATAGATCCCTAGCATCTTCGACACTTTAACCTCGAAAGTAGCAGAAAGGTGGAAATGATGAAAGACGTTTTACGCTTGGAATTATTTTGATGAAAAAAATGAAAGGATATTTATAGAGCTAACAATGGCCCTGAATTTCTAGAAACTTACGCAAAAGATACTAATGTTATTAATGTCTTAAACATAGAGTCTATCCATAACATTTTTGCTTTAATTCAATGGTAAATATCATTCCTGTTTTTACAGCTGCTCGGATATCATACCAAGCTACCTTGAGGCGGATATTACTTTAATGATTGGCTAACTTCTCTAGCTGTTTCTCAAATATCATCGTGAATTCGTCATTAGGCTGAACTTCAAAAGGTTCTATTGTTGTGGGTTTTTTTACATCCGATGAGACGTTGACAAATACATGCCCACACTAGAGAGATGATCTGAGTCTAAACATGTGTTACAGGATTAGTGGCAGCCTTTTATTGAGCCGCTTCAAGTTTGGTTGAAGAATGTTAGGGGCGGCCAAGCCAAAACGTGGCATCAGTGCTTGAAGTCACTAACTTCTAGTCTGAGCCATGTTGGGAGATGCAAACTACTTGGTTGGGGTCCACACAACCATCGTAACCAATGGTTGGAGACTCTGGGGAATATTGGCTCAGAATCGATCACAATGGCGTCGGTGTATACACTCTCTGTCTTCCCTTAAACTAAGAGATTAAAATCGCTTCATATCTTTATGCGTACTATTTCTTTCTTCCTGTGCTATATCCTTATACCCAATCTTTCTTTTATATATTACCACCATTGACTTAACCACTCCTATGAATCCGGTGATCATCTTGTTGTGTTAATGAGGTATGGCGACTTTGAACGATGTATATATGTGCCTAGGTCCTACGTTGTAGCTGACTGACTGACTGGTTGAAGAATGCTTTGTTTAAAATTCGCTTTTTTTGAAAAAAAACTATGGTACTTGACGAACACAATAATCCCCCTAAAACAGTCTATTGTACAAACATAAAACAACCAGCCTTTTTTATATATAAACAAGAACTTTAAATTATTCAAGTAAGATCAAAAGTCAATTTACAGAATGCAACAAGAAAGAAATCAGTCGGATTTAGACTTTGAAGGTGATGATGGCTAAAATAAGAAGAAAAAAAACGGATTTGCAATTGAAATAATGCACTAACCTGACAAGTATCGGTTACATCGTCTTTTGTAATATCATCCAATTGTTCCTTTAGTGTGATAGGTAGAGACATAAGAAGAGGAGAGTTGTGAATGAAAACAACAGTAACATAAACGATTTTAAAAATTCAATTTTTCTAATGAATATGCGAGCTGAAAACATAAGAACATTGCTAGGCAAAAGTAGTCTTGTTCTCTTTTAAAAAATAAATCTCATTTTCGTGAACCAACTTGATCTATCCCCGATCTAATTGTTTAAAACATTGCTGAAAGCTTTTAGACTGTATCGCTTACTGATTCAAGCTAGGGACGCTGATTGTTTGCTTCCGATACAATGTTCTAATAGTCCCGTTATAATACCAAGACTTAAACGCTAAGGAGTCGAATCGTAGATGTGCGTTTTTGGTCAGGTTCCATACTAGGACGAAACAGCTGGTCAATTCTTTCTAATTTTCACTGATTTTTAACTGCTTCGGGAGCTCATGGTAAAACGATTCTCTGAGAAAAATCACTTAGTCAAGATGAAATTTGGATAAGTGTGGAATTCTTGAAGAAACTCAACATGGATCATAACCTAACATGAGAACACATTTGTGTTTAAACAGTGATTTTTTTCTGGATACAAATGAGAGTGAGAACAGAATAAAAGTGAGTAGGAAGGATCTTTGACGAGACTATAATTTATAGACGAACCAATTAGATATAAGATAACGACTCAAGAATTTTGGCAGGAAATTCACCCACACATTTGGCTAAATAGAATTTTGGCATTATAACTGATATCAGTTCGTGATGGAAACACTAAATCTAATTTTTAACCCTAACCATCAACTGTAAATGAGAATTCTAACTGCTTTATAACCCTCATTTAGTACTAATCAGTAGGTGTCCACTCCCAAAGTCACTTCAGTATCGCTCAAAGGTCGTTCACAAATTACAGTCTCACCTACCGATTCCTCACAATTATAACCCTGTTTTGAACCTAGTAAATGGGTGAGTTTTTATCAAGATCACTAGCGTCCAACACAGTTCATAAATTACAGTTTCACCAAGTTTCTAATTTCAAAATACACTGAAGTACTTGTGACGTTACCTCAGTATTCTGGTATATACAAAGGGGACAATTTTTATAATTATGATGCAAAATATATGATGAAACTAGTTCTTACCGATTCATCAACTGTCGGCTGTGGAATGGGTTTTAATTTTGGAAAAAAGTAGTACATGACAGGATATAAAAGCCGATGTAGTATCCATAATATGACTGGTATTACGATGCACGGAATACAAACCATATCTTCAAATATATTGTTGAATGCTTCTAATAAATCCTAAAAATCAATGTTTAATAGATATTGCATATATAGGAGGCTTTTATGTTATCAATTAGTACTAAAAGATAGAGGGCTAAGAAACCAAGTCACTCAATGACCCATTAAATTATATTTGCCTGACATACAATAAGCAATTTATCGGAATTAAAAGTCGCAATTCAGAATAAAAATTCTATCTGAATGATCAGTAATATCAAGGGACTAATTTTAAATAACATACAGTAGAATTGTCGTCCATAGACAACAATAATACACGAGCGCGTTTCAAAAAAGCCAGTGATTTTGTACTTGATGTGGTTATCCTAGCTTTTGTGTAACTGTTGTATTAAAAGCATTCTTGGTCTATTTTATATTAAAAGTACTTTAGTTAAGGTTTGAAATCTTGCTAAAGTTTGTCTTGTGGTACCCTTTTACTCATTGACTGACACTTGTGTTCATATTTTGTTTGAAACCTTGATCTGACTAAAATGGTTGGTAGTACTCACAGATGTGGACAACCAAACTGTGTATTCCTTGTGGAAGAGGGAATGCAGTGTGACGAATGCAATAAGTGGTTCCATAAGTTGTGCACCCGTTTAAGTCCCACCGCATACAAAAGATGTTCGAAGCCTAACTCATATTGGCTTTGCATGTTTTGCTGTGCAAATAAGGCATTGCTAATACAGGAGGCTATGAGCCTATTGGCTTTAGGCTGTAAGAAGAACGATGGCATATGCACTGACAGTGACGAATGTGTCAGTGTAGTACCTGCTGTTACGCGACGCCTCAAACAACCGACTCTGACCGACGTAAAAGTGAAATCTCCGTTAACATTAACAATCGAAGTAGTACCACCTGGTACTGAGATTGGTAACAATGCACCTTTAGTGGGAACCGACGAACTGGATAAAACCGTCACCGTTCCAAATAGTCCCAGTGTCCTGAGGGATGAAAAATGGACTACGGTACGTCGGAAACGAAACGAAAAAAGCCGTAGGCAGTACACAGGTAGTTAGTAACTCACTGGTGGACTTCCATTGTGAGTCACAAACTGCACTACCAAAATCTGATGGTAAGAGTGAAACCCATCCTGGCGTGACTGAGAAGAAAAATCAAATAACATCTAATATTATTGTGAACAAATTGCAGGAGTCAAACGACCCTGATCCTAAAATTAGACACGCGCATGATTTAGAAAAGCTAGGAGAATATATTCGTAGTATTTTACCAGATAACTCGAAAGGAGGATGGGATGTTAATCAGCAACATCCATCGACGTCTTGGACGATGGGCGGAATTTTTCGAAGGGCAGTTCAACTGGCCTGCTGCTCCGGCAACATCGGTCAGATTGTCCTGCCCTCCATGGCCGGTGACGACTGATCCATCAAATGAGGCGGAAGTCCGCAAGGAATTCGAACTCTTGAAGCGCTACAAATCACCTGGCCCAAATGACTTACCTCCGGCTCTTTTTAAAGATGGTGGTGACTTTCTGACTGAGGAATTGACGACGTTGTTTACAAAGGTCTGGGAGCTAGAGAGTGTACCAACATCATGAAATGAGTCGATAGTTGTCCCTATCTTTAAAAAGAGTTCACGTTGTTCCTGTAACAACTATCGGGGGATAAGTCTACTTCCGATTCCGTCCAAGCTAATGGCTTCCGTTGGTTCTGGTCCTTCACGACTCCCTGACTGGGGTCCGAGAGATGGTGCAACGCTGGCTAGAGACGTTATCAGATATGGCTCAGAATAGAAGCTAGTGGCGATCCTGCTGTAACCTTCTCTTACTTTCTTCGTAAAAAGTGGTTGTATCTTCTTTAACTGAAAGATTTCTTCTGGTTGTACCTTTCCGTTCCCTCATTATTACTATTAATATTATTACACTACCTTACACCAATCTTTTCGTTATTGTTCTCTTTTTTTTACGCTCTTTACCTTTTTTTCCTTCTCTTTAAACTCTCATTGTTTTCTGTGTGGCGCATCTATATTTGGTGCCCTCTTGTACCAATATTTTAGTGTTCAAATAAATAAAATAATGTGGACAGAAATATGTCAAACAGTGTCGCTAAAAGTTCAGCAATTATATCTGATATGGCTTTCATAAACCTAAGATGAATATCATCAGGACCGCTGGACTTATCTGGTTTCAGATGCTGAAGTAGCCTTAAGACGGTACCTTTCTCAATAACTACGGGGTCCATCAACGAGCCGCTACAATTACAATGAATCGTTGGTCGTTCTCCATTACCGATAGAAAACACTTTACTGAAATATTCCGATAAAGCTTCAGGTTTTTCAGTATCATCTCTTGCCAAGATTAATGGGTCTTCTTGTATTAAAAGTGATGGAATTCTATCGCTTCTCTGAGTACGAGAATAACCGTTTCGGACTATATCTACAATCCCTAACCAATTGTTTTTCATATGATCGTCTAGTCTTACTTATTAACGCTTTACATGCATTCCTAATCTTACAATTCCTGGATCTGTATTGTTCTAAGCTAGTAGAGATGAACATATTCCAGTGCTTTTTCCTGCCTCTAAGAAGTTTCTTGACTGGTTTACTTATCCATGGTGGACTGTTATTCGGTCTACGCGGTACCAGGTATGTTATGAACGAGGACGTAACTAAACTAAACTTGCCTTTAAATACAGATCATGCTTCTTCAACTGATAAGTTAGTCTCTACAAACCAATCTGTCTTAGCAGCGCATTCCTGAATGGCTGGTATGTTAGCTTTCCATACATTTGGACGGGGCGTAACCTGATCGTAATACATGTCCCTAGTTCTAAACGTGAATGAAAAAACAGCGTGATCGCTGTTCACTAACGGTGGAAGAATATTTAGGTCGACAATATCCTCAGTTTCATGAGTGATTACCAAGTCCAACAGAGAAGAACCTTGGTTAGTACCAAAAAGTGTGGGTTTGGATACATGCTGCACTAATGCATGTTCCATTATTGTTATCAGGAACCTATTATCAAAGAAGTTTATAGATCCTTCCGCGGTCATCTCAGTCCAACTAATATCAGGTGCATTAAAGTCTCCTATTATGAAGCATCTGTTATTTGCACTCCATAATTGAATGTGCTCTAAAACAAAGTTATTAGCTAAGCAGATTGGGCTGCGATAGATGACACCGAGCATAAATGTACCATATCCGACAGCCAATTCACAGCTAATGACTTCACAAGTACCGCTATCATGGGATTCGCTAGCAGAGGAGAGGATATTTATATTATTGGCTATATATAAAAGGACACCACCTCCTTTTCTAAATCTATGTCTATCACTCCTTAGATAGTGGTATCCGGATAATTCTGAAGTAATGTCTAAGTCATGGACTAATCAAGTTTTTGTCACTGCTACAATGAGTAGCCCTAATTTGTCCACTAATGCTTCTAGTTCATAAAACTTATTTCTTAGAGCGTTAGCATATAAAATTCCTAGTTAGAACGGCCTATCCACACAGGCCTTGGTAGCATTCGCTTCCAAGACCTGACTATCCGAAAACCCACTAGCCGGAGATTTTCCTCACCGTTTTGCCGATGGGTTTCAAGTTCAACCAGTGCTTTCTTCCTTTTTATTCTATCTTCGAGAGACATATCAGGTCTAACTCGGATGTCGGAATTGTCGTGACAATGAGCGCTACTTAACAGGAGATCCCGTTGCTTATCTGATCCTAGAATTACCTTAAGGAGTCTGCATGGTCGGGGTTCAACACTATCCTCAGTCCTCTTGACTATTCTAACCAATTTTTTGACCTGAACTCCTTTCGAGTTATCTGGTAAAATACTACGAATATATTCTCCTAGCTTTTCTAAATCATGCGCGTGTCTAATTTTCGGATCAGGGTCGTTTGACTCCTGCAATTTGTTCACAATAATATTAGATGTTATTTGATTTTTCTTCTCAGTCACGCCAGGATGGGTTTCACTCTTACCATCAGATTTTGGTAGTGCAGTTTGTGACTCACAATGGAAGTCCACCAGTGAGTTACTAACTACCTGTGTACTGCCTACGGCTTTTTTCGTTTCGTTTCCGACGTACCGTAGTCTATTTTTCATCCCTCAGGACACTGGGACTATTTGGAACGGTGACGGTTTTATCCAGTTCGTCGGTTCCCACTAAAGGTGCATTGTTACCAATCTCAGTACCAGGTGGTACTACTTCGATTGTTAATGTTAACGGAGATTTCACTTTTACGTCGGTCAGAGTCGGTTGTTTGAGGCGTCGCGTAACAGCAGGTACTACACTGACACATTCGTCACTGTCAGTGCATATGCCATCGTTCTTCTTACAGCCTAAAGCCAATAGGCTCATAGCCTCCTGTATTAGCAATGCCTTATTTGCACAGCAAAACATGCAAAGCCAATATGAGTTAGGCTTCGAACATCTTTTGTATGCGGTGGGACTTAAACGGGTGCACAACTTATGGAACCACTTATTGCATTCGTCACACTGCATTCCCTCTTCCACAAGGAATACACAGTTTGGTTGTCCACATCTGTGAGTACTACCAACCATTTTAGTCAGATCAAGGTTTCAAACAAAATATGAACACAAGTGTCAGTCAATGAGTAAAAGGGTACCACAAGACAAACTTTAGCAAGATTTCAAACCTTAACTAAAGTACTTTTAATATAAAATAGACCAAGAATGCTTTTAATACAACAGTTACACAAAAGCTAGGATAACCACATCAAGTACAAAATCACTGGCTTTTTTGAAACGCGCTCGTGTATTATTGTTGTCTATGGACGACAATTCTACTGTATGTTATTTAAAATTAGTCCCTTGATATTACTGACCATTCAGATAGAATTTTCAGTAAATATCGTCATTTCATGTCAACGGACTTACCGTGAGCACTTCAATTGTTATTTTATTTATTTTAGCACATAGATATTGGTACAAGGAGGCACCAAATACATATGCGCCACACAAATCTCATTTGATATGTGTGATGGCTGTGATACTGCCCGGGAGCCCAAACCGAAGCTGGTGGTTTTCTTAGGGAACCACTCCCCGATCCTTCGACCCGAAGGTCTGATCCACAAGGCAGTTGAGCATCGTAAAGAGATGCAGTCCCATGGAAGCCGGTGGCCAACAATTGGTTCATACGCCATTTGTTTATTGAGGATAATGGAGCCCATGTGCACCAATGGCTTGGAATCCAGTTAAAGCGCCGGACATTCGCTTTTCGTCCCTTCATTTTCGTAAACAACACTCTCGCCACGAGAAGGCAGTGAGTAGGACTTCCCTGGCAGAGGCTGTTTACGCGTGGCCATGTGAGAGCATTTCGAGAGGGGGGCGGGCCCAACCCTCTCAGCCATACCAGGGCATTTGAGGGCTGACATGCCTATGAGGCAGTCCAGACTGCTCAGAGACCGAAAAGACGCGATAATAAGTCCAGTGTATAAGGCTGGGAGTAGGGATTTAGTTAGCAACTATGGACCCGTTAGTTTAACTAGTGCGGTTGTAAAACATTGAAAAAATCATTCAGATATCCGTTATAAACCATGGTGAAGGGCATAACCTTCTCTCCAGGGAACAACATGGTTTTCAGAGAGGCCTATCATACTTGACAAATCTCAATGCAAGAGAAGATTGGGCTGTGGCAAAAGATCGGAATATTCTTGTAGATGTGATCTTCATAAATCTAAGTAAGGCCTTTGTTAAGGTCTCCCATTCTGATCTTAAATTCAAACTGGAATGTTTTGGAATCCAGTATACAGTCGTAGATTGGGTAAGTAACTTTCTCCATGGCAGGAAACAAAAGGTAAGGGTTAATGGGGTTCTCTCCTCGTGGGTACCTGTAAAAAGTGGAGTTCTCCAAGATACAATCCTCGGTCCTCTTTCCTTTTTACTTTATGTAAATGAATTGCCGACTGTAGCAAAATCATCCGTTCTACTCTTCGCTGATGACATAAAAATTTGGATACCCACACACAGTATGTCGGATAGAATAGTATTACAGGATGATCTTAGCTCATTGGTGGCATGGTTGGACAGGTGGTCACTAAAAGTAAATCATAATAAGAGTGTAGCAATGCAATTGGATAACTATGATGATTGGTATCACTAAACAATATGTGGATTCGTGCTACCCAAAGTAAGAAACTATAAAGATTTAAGTCATATTAAGCAGTGATCTCAAAACTACCAGTCACTGTAAGGCTGCTGCGAAAGACTATGGGGTGTTACGGTCTATTCGTAGGTCTTTCCAGTATTTAGATGACGAATTGTTTAAGTTATTATACCCGATTTACGTGCGATCACATTTGGAATATGGGATTCAAGCAGCGAGTCCTTGTACCAAGTATGAAGCAGATATGCTGGAAAGAGTCCAACGACGAGGTGCAAAGATGGTAAAAGGTCTATTTGGCCTATCTTATGACGATAGACTGAGACACCTTAACTTATTTCCGTTATCTTACCGCAGAATACGGGTTGATCTAATATTGGCTTATCGTATACTGAACGATGACCTTGGTATTAACATGTCTTATCTTTTACTTCTGTCTAGGGCTGGTCATTTGAGAGGACATTTGAAGAAGGTTCAAAAACCCGAGATCAAATCTTTTACGTCTGGAGTTACGTTTCTCGCACCGAGTAGTAAATTACAGAAATTCTCTACCGGAACACGTAATATCCACACCTGTTGATACATTCAAGACGAGATTGGACCTCCACAGTATTACAAACTGCAGGATTAATACAGGTCGATAGACCTCTTATCCTTATTACTGAAGACTGAATAACGTTGATGATGCCACAGACTCAATATTATATTTTCTAGTATTGGAACTTCAATTTAAATGGCTCAGGTGGTAAAACGATATGTATGCCAAATATACAAAGAAAAAACTGATATGCCAGAGACTAGGATACTTGCCAGAAAAATCTAAAGCAGAAACTAGTACACTCTGTTAATCACGACGAAGTAGCACACAAGTCAAGAGAGCCGCTTCTTCGTTGAATGCTTTCAAGGTACAAATAGTTGGACTTTGATTCCCCAATGTATGCGGTATCTTTGTGACGAACAAGCTTATTTCTAAAGCCTTCAACCTTATTTTTAAGAAAGGACATCGGTTTTCTTCGGACGTTAGTGAAGATTGTCTAATTAGAAGACCGGTCCAGGTTAATCGTAAGAAGTAGGGTTAAGTCGAGAGACATGAGCAAGTTAAGTTTGATTATTACACCAGCGTCATGAAATACCCACGCGACGTCTAAATCACCGTTCAGGATGATAGTGAGCAATCCACGGTTTGCTTTTTACATAAAACTAATTTACTGATAGTCTGAATAGGATTGTGCTAAATCGATACAATCAATTTAATTTCATTGCCTAAGAGCCGTCAACCTGAATATTGCTGTGGAGATAAATAGGATGATGTTACCATTTAAGGTAATTAGCATTACTGGAAAGACATGTTATCCTGTGACTTCTTACTCTAGGTCACCTTGACATGATGGTCAAACACTTACAGGTCCTTCTTTTCACTTAAAGCAAGCGTCCACCAGAATTTTATCTAGAATACTCCCCTTCCTTTATTACATATCGATAAAAAATTATTCGAACTGACCATATGAGTAATACTTTATAGCTTTCCAGTACTTATTTGTTTGGAATTCTTACTATCCATACAGCATTAAAGAATGTCGAAAATATCACTACATGAAGCGGTAGATTTCCTGACAGTAACAGAGAGACAAAACGTTCTTTCCAGAAGACTGTCGGTCCAGCGAAATGTCACTAAGCCCTAGCCAAATCATCCGTCAGTTTGGTCATTGAATATCGAGCAAATCATCGATCCTCGTCAAGGTCAGGGACAACCAACGCGCATCAGTAAATCGTATGCCATGGACTGGCCCATGCGACAGGGGTCTCACTTTCGCTCGTATCTACTTTAACTAATATATTTCTGTAATAACGTCCTCTGTGTTGTACAGTCTTCAAAGCATCTATGGTACCTGATACGTCAATGGGGTAGTCCACGTAAGGTGCTGACCACGAGGTGTGACTTCAGTCAGTCAGTCAGTCAGCTACAACGTAGGACCAGGCACATATGTGCATCGGTCCAGGTTGCCATACCGCATCAGCACAACAAGATGAACACCGGATTCATAGCAATGGTTAGGTCAAAGGTGGTAATAAATAAGAGGAAGATTGCAAACAGAGATATAGTACAAAAAGAAAGAATTGTTTCGTAGAAAGAAAGATATGAAGTGATTTTAATCTCTTAGTTTAAGGGAAGACAAAGAGTGTATACACCGATGTCATTGTGATCGATTCTGAGCCAATGTTCCCCAGAGTCTCCAACCATTGGTTACGATAGTCACACGGACCCCAACCAAGTAGTTTGCATCTCTCAACATGGCTCAGACTAGAAGTTAGTGACTTCAAGCACTGATGCCACGTTTTGGTTTGGCCGCCCCTAACTTTCTTCCAACCATCTCCAATACCGGACAGCATTGCACGTCGTGGTAATCGGTATTCAGGCATACGTAACACGTGAACCGACCATCGCAGTCGATGAAGATTCACAACCTCATCAACTGATTTACCATCATCACTCCCTAATACCCTGTGCCTAACCTCACTATTACTTACCCGGTGATCCCAGCAGACGCCAGCAATATTTCTAAGGCATCTGTGGTCAAATACTAATAGCTTACGAGTGTCTTCTACTCTCAATGGCCATGTTTCGCTGCCGTAAATTAAAACAGAACGGACTGTCGCGCAGTATACTCGCCCTTTTGTTGATAGACGAATATCTCGCCTTCTTCATAGGTGACGTAAGTTGGCAAAAGCCAAACGAGCTTTTCGAATCCGTGCTGAGATTTCGTCAGACACCAACCCACTAGGGCTGATTAGACTTCCAAGATAAGTGAAGTTGTCAACGCGTTCGACTACTTCGCTCCCTATCCTTAGTTCAGGTGTTGACGCAGACCAGTCCTGAAGCAACAACTTACATTTAGAGGAAGAGAAGCGCATCCCAAACATTCTGGCATTGTTCCTTAGTGCTACCAGAAGACTCTGCATTTTGTCAGCGTCTTCACCAAACAGGACTATGTCATCTGCGTATTCTAAGTCGATAATTGGACCTCCTGGATGGAGATCAATACCCGAGAACTCAGTCGACGAGAATGTTATTTCCATCAGTAGATCTATGATGAAGTTGAACGAAAATGGGGAAAGTGGACAGCCTTGACGGACACCACTTGAGGTTGCAAAAGCAGATAACAGTTCGCAATAAGCTCTGACTCGACTAGTAGTGTTCGAGTAAAGAGCCTTCACAAGGTTTATGTACTTCTGGGGTACACCTTTCAATGACAGACACTGCCACAGAATCTCACGGTCTACCGAGTCAAATGCTGCTTTTAAGTCAAGAAAGACCACCATTGTCGGACGTCGATAAGTATGCCTGTGTTCTAGAATCTGACGAATGGTGAATATGTGGTCAATGCAGCCACGACCAGGTCTAAAGCCAGCTTGGTTCTCTCGTGTTTGCAGTTCACGAGTCTTAGTTAGGCGTCTGATAATTATCGAGGCTAGTATTCTGGATATTATATTAGTTAAACTAATCCCTCTGTGGTTGTCACAGGATGATTTTGACCCTTTCTTATATATTGGGACGATAAGTGATTGCGACCAGTCAGATGGAATAACGTCTAACTCCCAGATCTTAGCTAAAATATTAGTCAACCTAATAGCTAAAATTAGACTACCATCCTTAAATACCTCTGGAGCCAATCCATCGGGACCAGCTGCCCTTCCTCGTTTCAGATTAACTATAGCCTTTTGAACTTCAGCAAGAGTTGGGGAATCTACTTCAATGTTCCATTCACACTGTCTGGGAATGGAGGGTAGTTGTAGAGTAGCTGAAGGCCAGCTGAACTGTTCTCTAAAATGTTCCGCCCATCGTTCTGAACGTCTGGACTGGGAGCAGATGAGAGTATCGTCTTTTTTCGAACTAATCTCACTTACACTTAACTTATTAATTCCAGTTTCTTTTATTAGTCTGTAAAGCTGTCTTGTGTTCCCTATAGTCGCCGCCTTTTCCATCTCTTTTACTTTCATTGCCCACCACTGCTCACGGTCGTTTCTTAGACTTTTTCTTAACCTAGATCTGATTTGTTTTCGCTCTTCGTCATGTTCGGAACCTGATGGGACGAGTTTGCGAGAATCTATCAGTGTGATAGACTTTGAGGAATCCACTGGTTCATTGTAACTCTGTGGTTTAAGTCGCTAATAGATGTCACTGCTGTTTCCACAGCTGATTGTATGCCCTTCCAAGCAACATCTGGGTCAGCCTCGTCTTCACAACTACCTAAGTGTGACCTCAGTTGTTTCTGGAACCTACTTTTGGTTTTCTCGTTACTCAATTCAGTTCTAACGGGTCTTTTTAATGTGGCATTTTTGCGTCCAGTGAGGCGCAAGCAGATGCGTGCCCGTATTAGGGCGTGGTCGGAGTCCAAGCAGGTACTCCAGAATGAGCGACAATCTTCTACCGACCCTCTCCAACGATGACTGATGGCAATATGGTCTATTTGAGTCCATCGTTGGTTTGGTGTAGGGGGTCGCCATGTTAGACGATGTCTCTCCTTATGCTTAAAATTTGTGTTTGCTAAAAATAAGCGATTGTCTGAGTACAGTTGCAGCAGACGGTTGTAACAGCCTAGGTTGGTTGGTTAAGAGTTGACCCCAAACAACCAAGCATATGCCAAAACAGTACTGTTCAAGTATTCATTCACTTCCTTGTTTTGTATAAGCGTTATATTCCCTATTATCTTATATTGAATGTTGAGAGCCTTTGTTTGTCTGAACAGGTAATCCGACGCTCCACTGTCACCGCACTAAGATCGAAATAAAGACCTATTCACTACTTGTCTGGTTTCTTCTATCAATAGCACGAGGGTTACTTTAAGGTACGAAACGGTCACCATTATCTGTTCGCTGTGCCGGAATGCTAAAATATCCACCTAAATGCCTTTCTGTTTGGTTTAAGCTACCTATCTGAGCATTAAAGTCACCCCCTACGAGTACTATGTCTGAGCGTTTAGCTTTCTGAAGAAGTTCAGAAAGCTTAATGTAAAATTCATCTTTCACATCATCTGAGCTGCAGTCAGTGGGAGCGTAGGCAGAAACGACGAAGAGGCAACGACGAGTGTCCCTATCCTTCCGAGTTCTTACGGAGCCGTTTAGCCGAACAGCACATAGACGACTGTTGACGGGGATCCACTCTAGCAGTGCTTGTTCCGCCCTCATGTTTAGTGCTATGCCTACACCTGCCAGTCCACGAGAACTGGCCATCGGGTCACCAGATACACGGAGCGTGTATCTCGTTGGCTCTCCGTTTTGCCGAGGTGAGGTGTAACTTCGATGTTAGCTAGTTTGTCATACCATTCACGTCCAATCATTTCGACATAGATCATCTGAGTTGGTGATCTACAAGACTGTAAGGATTTCGCCCGGTCGCAGTAAATACTATGACGTGGTGGTCAAATTTTCTTATCGTGATGATTTAACTGAGCCATATTGGCTAGAACACATGTTCCATAGTGTCCAACCACGGCGGAGAACTACAAGGCTAACTCATTAAATTAAGGTCCAAGGGCGAAGTTGTACTACGTACTGTAGGAATGTAACAACAGAAAGTTGCTTCCCTTGAACAATCGGCATTTTTCGTGACGCTGCCTCCTCACAACGGAAAGAAGAAGTTAGAAAAGGTTGCCCATAGAAATGTCACGCCTCACGTGGCCTCGCAGATTCCTCTTTCCGGTAGTAGAGTCTTTCGAAGTGCAGAGCTAACACATCAAGAGCCTTACATAAGAAACCATTCACGACCAACTTCAAGCAATTGTTCCTTGGACTTCTAGAATTATGGGCTAGTTCGCTATTAATACTGCTATATTGATAGATCTAATCCTAAAACTATACAGTTGTCATAATGTGACTACCTAATCTATAAGACCTTACGTAGAAGCCCCATCATTGTCTACAAATTCAGGTTGAAGATAAAATAATATATTTGATGTCAATAAAATCAAGTAATACAGAACGACCACGTCTGGATGGCTTAGCCATGCCATCAGGTTGCATGAATGTTTGCGCATCTACCATTATTGACCTTCTCTTAATGTTACATATTGCAAATGAATCTTCTCAGTTATTATGTGTTCAGCTTCAAAGATCGTGTGGTTAATAACCAGGGTAAACAATAATGAGGCCTGGAAAATCTCCATGCAACTAAATAAACCGTATTAAACTTAACAAACAAACTGGGACACTAGTTGGAATTCTTCCTCTGCGCATGTGTACTTTTGTTCCTCCAGTTAGCCTACTAATGTAGATGTTATTGGAAGTCAACTCATACGGACAACATACTGGCATAAACGATAACTGACTTTATAACTTAGACGTAAAATAACACCAGTATCAACAACGATACAGTGCTGAATATTTTTCTATTTCTCAGTACAAAATACTTGTACTGTCATAAGTTTAGCTACTAAACAAAGGTTATTAGTATGCACCTTAATTTGATTTGTTAGAAGTTCCCTACTAAACCATTATTCATCATTATAATCCCACTTGATGTTTAAATAATGTTCTCATGGACTATCATTTTAAACGTTTTAGGCGTTAAACCAGATATTTTGGAATTATTACATGTATTTCCCGACTAACTGCTTCCGCCTTCTTCCTGATGTGTCGTTCAGCTTTTCAGCAGTCAGAGGATTGTTATTATTCTTTTAGTAACATCCGACACGCGACAATCCCACTCGATTTGATATTGAACCAACTTCTTGATTCTGATGGGAGAGTGGAGTGACGGTTACGTACCCAGGTCACTAAGACCACCGCTAATTGAGCTTCATCCTCAGGTTCCTCAAGAAGAAATATTCCTCCACAGTGTGAGTAAGCGGGAAGTGACAACCATCCTCATACCTCTATCATCACACTAGATCATCTTGTTGGTGATCAAATCCGTCCCTCACCTATCACTGATTATTTCATCTACGCGGCTAACGCTTCTCGCATATTTTTATCACCGCGCACCACCAATACTATCGATTTGAGTTCACGAAACTTTATTCCTGGTCTTCTGAAATCAAGCTCACCCGGGAGGTTTCGGAACTTAGACGTTCAACTATAGTTGCATTCCTTGACCTTACGATGGCGTTCAACTCCATCGACTGTGAGGTACATTGGCACTTTCTACCATTGAAGGGCGTGCTAAAAAGTACATTAACCGTGCACAGGCTTTCTACTCGAACACTACCGGCCAAGTCAGAGATCGTGGAGAACTGTCTTTGAAATCACTTCTTGAAGTTGAGTTCATCAATGTCGTCCATTTCCCGTTTTTATTTAACTTATCGACCTCGAATACACAGACATAATGGTTCTGTCTGGTGAAGACACCGACAACATACAGTCTTCTGACCACTTTAATAAACAACGCCAACATGCTTGTATGCGGTACCCCGTCACAAACTGAAAAATGTTATTTTAGAATTGGCTTGCGTCATCGATTGAATTAGTTATAGGAAGTCAGGTAGTTGTGCGATGTATGCTACTTATTTAATATGTAGCACCAAAAGGAAGTAGCAATCCTGACGGCAGAAGGCTAAGAAGACCAAGTTGAAGTAAAAACAGAAACGGAAATACAAAAGAAGTTGTGAATTGAAAGAATAACACATAATGTGAGGGACAAAATGACTTAATTTGGCAAAAGAAGTATTCAATGTCTAGTTCTCGTGTTCTACAAGGAGATTCTGTAATTTTGTACTGAAATGTATTGGTCTTCCCCACCCGTCTTTATGTTCACAACAGTTGGACGTACTGACCGCTTCAATTATATTTAGAGTCTTATTCAACCTGACGGCACGGTGTCTTGCAAAATCTCGGCACAGATTCGGAAAACTCGACTGGATCTTGCCAACTTGCATCACTTGTGGCGTGGGCGAATTATCCCTGTGACAATTAAAGTATGAGTTTACTTTGCAGTACTTTGATCGTCTCTACTTTAACTTCATTAAAATAGAAACTATTCGGAGGTTACTAATATTCGGTCGGTGTTTTAGTTGGGGACGATAGATCCCCAAAACTCACTTTTGTAATTTCATCTTATCGATTAACTTATCGATTAAATGTTTAAATATTTAAATAGCGGTTAATTGACGAACTTATTGATTAATGTTTAAAAAGATTTCCATATCAATATGGATTACAAATATTTGTATAATTACGCCTGATTTGTGTGCCTGATTGACCTGACCTGACCTGGTATCCGCTAGTTGCCTGTAGAATACACTTTCTACGCCCTACCAAGACTTCTTGATCGCGTTAGCTGAGTCGGGGACAACGGACCAGAATAGTCTATCGAGATTTTGAATCCCTTCATCCAATCGATAAGTTGCTGCCCTCTAATCGGCGGCCCTTTGAGATATAACAGTTTTCAAAACATCGCTCGTCTGTTTTGGGACCTCGGAGTAAGGAATGCCTTGGTTAGGAATAGGGTACTAGGTAAGGATGGTAAATCGACTGATGAGGTAGTTAATATTTATCAAGTGTAGCGGTTGAGACACGCGTTAAGTATACCGAATCACCGTGTCTCGGCGGTCGATATTTTCTGATGTAGGAGTGAACCGGAAGATGGGGGGTCGGCAAAACCAAAACGTGGTAGAGGGAGTTGAACCATGTTAATAGGTGTATGTTTAGATACGTGTGATACCACGACCAATGGTTAGGGGCTTTAAATGATTGAGTTTAGAATTATTTTCAGTGGCATAGGTGCATCGGTTTTATGTCTTTCCCCAAATCCCAGGACTCTGAAATACTCACAACATTTTTTCCTTTTATTTCATTTCCTTTTACTTACATTTTCTTGTCGAATAGGATCTTCTGTGTCTAATATTTCCTTTGACCATTGACACTGTCACAGCACCTACTATTCTCGGGATCGGTCTGACAATTTCATCTGCCTTTGCTGATAGGGTATAACAACTAGAACTGACGTACATGTCGTACGGAAGTCAATCAGTTTCTTAATAGAGAATAAAACTTCAAGATGTGAATACTCTTCATGGGGTGGTATTCACGAGTAGCCACCTTATACACTACCTCTCAAACTTCTGCTAACTTTTTTTACTCTACTGCTTTTTGTTGAGTAAATCAGCCATAGAAGGTTTGGTAAATATTGGTTATAAGCTACCTCACGACGATTAGCTTGGAGACAAACAACTCACAAGGCGATGATTGTCGCGAGGAAGAATATCCTTGACAGATAAGTGCAAGAAATTTAGACTTACTATCCTGAGGATGATAGTGGCTTCACATTAAATTAGGCCAAAACCTGATATTGATGCATGAATGAATCCCTTCTGTAAGAAGTGCCTAATAAAGCTAGCAATGTCAGCATATAAACAAAGCCAATTTTTAGGGTATTGTTCCTTACTGTATATCATTTTAATCAGAATAAGGGATCAGTTTGTAGTTTTGAACTTTGAGTTGCCGTAAATTAATATTCTCCTATTCGAGTTTTCCAGGAGTTTCTGAATTGCTACACTGTTGCCTAGGAAGTATTATTCACGAAACTCGAGATATTCCTGATTAAGATATAACAGTACAATATATCTGAAGGCACATTTATTTCTCAAGCCGATAAATGGCTAGCAAAACACTTAACATTTCTCAACAAAACAAAAACATATTGACAAAAGTATCATCGGACAGTAATATAAAGAATTCCTGCCATGGTAGAGACTAACACGAGAGCATTGAACTGGCAATGATATCAGATATTAAAAGAATTAAATGAATTGAAAGTCCTTTTTTCTTTCTGTACTTACTAAGGTGTAGGCTACTCGACCCAGCAGATTTGCATACGACATCCATGATCTGCTGAACACTCATCGTTGTCATAGTACTTTCTGCAGCGGGTTGTCGAAATTCCGGCTTTTTAAAACTTCTAATAACTAGTGATTATTTTCATTACAGAAGCTTACAAGCGTGCAGAATGAGCCAAGTAAAGTTGTTGACTACGGTTAGTTGATAAACAAATAATGTGTCAGTGATCATTTCATCAATAGGTCTTCAAGAAATAATGGACTAGAGTATATTTTAGATAAGTTTTTAAAAGCCCTAAAGTTTTTTGCTAGAATAGTAGTTAAATAGGTGGTTTTAAAGTGTTTTTCGTAATTCATTCCTTGTACCATTAGCAAATAAACTGTTACGGCATTCGATATTCAAAACTATTTATTAATGTGGAATTTCAAAAAGGGCAGTGATTTTTGTACTTGTTGTGATTACACTTGCTTTTGGTACTTATTGCACTAAAAAGCATTCTTGGTCTACTTTAACTAAGAGTTCTTTGGTTAAAGTTTGAAATTTTTTGCTACATTTTGTCCTGGGTACCTGTTTTTAGTCCTTGACTAAGACTTTTGTTCACATTGTTATCGTTTTTGTTTTTTAAACCTTTTAAATCGAATTACAATGGTTGGTAAGACTCACAAATGTGGGCAACCAAATTGTTTGTTCTCCGTTGAGGAGGGAATGCAGTGTGACGACTGTAAAAAGTGGTATCACAAAATGTGTACACGACTAAGTCCGACGGCTTACAAAAGATGCTCGAAGCCTAACTCGCATTGGCTTTGTGTGTTCTGCTGTACGGATAAAAAGGTACTAATACAGGAGGCTATGGGCCTATTGGCTTTGGCCTGCAAGAAAAACGATGGCGGAAGCACTGATAACAGGAGTACTGACGATGAAGAATGTGTCAGTGTAGTAAGTGCTGTTACTAGACCCATTAAACACCTGACTGCGGTTGACGGGATTGTGAAATCTCCGTTGACATTAACGAGAAATGAAGTGTCGCCTGATATTGACATCGGCAGTCATACACCTCTAGTCGAAATAGAAGATCAGGATAAAACTATCACCGTTCCACATAGTCCAGGTGTGGCTGTTCTGAGTGGTGACAAATGGACTCCGGTAAGAAGAAAAAAAAATAAGAAGAAAAAGGCTGTAGGCAAAACGCAGCTGGTCAGCAAGACATTGGAAGGGACTTTATCAGAAGAAAAATCCTCACCGCGTGAAAAGATAGATCTCTCTGAGAGATCAGTCATTTTTCATAAGATAAGAGAATCTTCAGACACTGAACCAAAGACAAGATTTGAACATGATCTTAATCATATTAAGACATCATTAAGTAAACTACTCCCAGATACAGTTTCAGGAGTTAGTATTTGTAAGCTTTATAGAATAGGAAAAAAGGTGGATTCCGAAAGTCCTCAGAAAAACCGCCTCCTAAAGGTTACATTCAACACGGTGGAAGAAAGGAACCTGGTTCTAAGTAATTCACGTAAACTGATTGGGTCCGGAATATATGTCCGTGAGGACCTCAGCCTAGCTGATCGTATTAAGAGAAGGGCTGCAGAAGCGGAAATAAACGAGCGTCGCCGAAACGGTGAAAGAAACCTCGTTCTTAAGGGTTTTCAGATTGTAAAAGTTCGGAGCAAAACGATCCCCAAGCCACTCTGGGTGGCAAGGGAAAGCTCTCCACAGACTTAAAAGTGTGCTACACAAATGCTCGCAGCCTACTAAATAAAATGGCGGAGCTGAAGTCAGTGGTGGATAAAGAAAAACCGGACGTTATCGCTGTCTCGGAAACTTGGTTAACGTCAGAAGTATTAGATAGTGAAATCCAATTGACTGGTTTCATAACCACTAGGGCTGATAGATTAAACCGAAGGGGAGGCGGGGTTATTGTGTACACGAAAAGTACCCTAACCATAAGATTAGCTGAGACAGTAGCACATGTTTCAGGGACATGTGAACTGGTGAGATGTAAGTTGAAATGCCGAAGGCAAGATATTGAATTAGTTGTAGTTTATCGCAGTCCAGAATGTGTAGCAGACGATTTTCTCCTCAGTAAACTTAAGTCCTGGTGTAACAACGGTAAAAGCCTTGTAGTAGGCGACTTTAATGCACCATATATAAACTGGGTTAACTTAGAAGTAGAGTCATCTATATCGTCGTTCGACTCCAAACTGTTAGAAACCTCGATTGGACTAGCATTATTCCAACACATTAGAGATCCCACAAGATACGACTTAAGAAACTCTTCCTCTCTTTTAGATTTAGTCTTCACACACGGTGAGGACGTTGGTCAAACGGCTTTTCTCCCACCACTTGGGAGAAGTGACCATGCAGTCATCTTATTCAAATTCATGGCTGAAATTGCTTCTCAAACAATTGCGCCGGCCCGTCCTAACATATGGAAGGCAGATATGCAGGCAATTGACTCCGCAGCATCGGCTGAGAACTGGGAAATTGACTCAAAGGCATCAGTACAAGAGGCATGGACTCTATTCAGACAGTTATACAATCGGGTAACTCAACCATATATACCCTGGACTGTCCCAAAGAAAAAGAAGCACGGACATCCCTGGTTAGGGCGGGATATTCGACGCTTACTAAGACAAAAGAAGAAATGCTGGGATGTTGCCATCCGCCTTGGCACAGCAGATACGATGGAACACTACAGATCGATAAGAAACGTGTGTATAACGAAAATTCGGGAAGCGCAAAGAAAATACGAAATGCAGCTGGCAGAATCTGCTCTCAAGCAGCCCAAGAGGATATTCTCGTACATAAACTACAGAACAAGGACTCATCACTGGATTCCCAACCTAATTAAAGTAGGAAGTGAATCTGAAATGATAGAGGAAGATCATGAAAAAGCTGAGATTATGGCTGACTACTTTGGGGCAGTTTTCACTCAGGAACCTCCTCTAGAGAAAGAACCAGACCCAATTACAGAGTCAACAAACCAGCTGCTCACCGTGGACTTCGACCAAAACGATGTGCTTAAGGCTCTTAGCACCCTAAACATGGAGAAGTCAACAGGACCAGATGAACTACACCCTAAAATCTTGAGACATATTGCCGAATATATCGCAGCCCCACTGACTGTGATATTCAAAATGTCACTTGACCAAGGTGTGTTACCTATGGACTGGAAGGACGCAATCGTCACTCCCATACATAAAACTGGTCTACGACAAGTTCCATCAAATTACAGACCCGTAAGCCTCACCAGTGTTGTTATTAAAATACTGGAAAGGATAATCAAACGGACCATAACAGCATTTATGGAAACCAATAACTTGCTGAACATGGCACAGCATGGTTTTAGAAAGGGTCTATCCTGTACAACGAACCTCCTTATAGCTAGGGAGCTCTGGATTAATGCGCTAGACAACGGAAACTCAGTGGATGTTGTCTACATAGACTTCAGTAAGGCTTTTGACAAGGTGCCAACTAATAGACTGCTATTGAAGTTGGCAAACCTTGGTATTGCCGGACCTCTTTTAAAATGGATTAAGGATTTCCTAGTAGGTCGTAGGCAAAAAGTAAGAATAAATTCCAAGTGCTCCATCTGGAGACCAGTACTTAGTGGAGTACCCCAAGGTTCCGTCCTAGGTCCTTTACTTTTTATAATGTACGTTAATGATCTTACAAGTATAGTACAGTCTCCAATGTTATTATACGCTGACGATGTAAAAATTTGGCGAGTAATAACTGGAGACACAGACACATTTACTCTTCAGGCGGACTTAAATAATATGATAAACTGGTCTAAAGAGTGGCTAATGCCTATCAACTCGGAAAAGTGTGTCTACATGCACTTGGGGGATTCAAAGGTTAATACGTACAACATAGGAGATGTGTCATTACCCGTAGTCCGGTCTCATAAGGACCTAGGGGTGACAGTGAGAAATGATCTTAAGACGACGGCCCATTGCCGGGAGGTCGCAGTTAAGGGGTTTCGAACCCTCTGGGCTTTAAAAAGGACATTCACTAAGCTTGATACTACCATGTTCACCACATTATACACATCCTTAGTGAGAACTAAGTTAGAGAACTGTGTTCAGGCTGCAAGCCCCTGTTTAAAAGGTGACTCAGACATACTAGAAAAGGTACAGAGGGCAGCTACGCGTGCGATTCCGGAACTCCGGGGTTTATCATATGAAGAGCGGCTTGAAAAACTGAACCTCTTTACTCTGTCCTATCGCAGACTAAGGGGAGATCTAATATTGATGTACAGAATACTGAGAAATGATTTCGGACCTAACTTATTCTCTCTCTTTCTTCCCACTAGATCGGGACACCTCAGAGGACATAGTAGGCGAGTAGAAAAGCCAAGAACGAACAAAATACCTCTGGCATACAGGTTTTCACACCGAGTCATCAATACTTGGAACCTGCTGCCTGAAGCAGTGGTATCCGCACCTTCAATTGACTCTTTCAAGAGAAGACTGGACACTCACAGAAGCATACTAGAAAAGGAATAACATAGGCCGTAGGCCTTCTGTCCTTACTACACAAATCTGAAATCTGAATCTGAATCTGAATCTGTGACTGTCGTCACACAGTGAATTATATATGATTTATTAACTAACAAAAAGGGCTTTGTTCCTAAATCGAAGAAGAACTCTCAGCCTATGGTTACCTCTTTAGTACCATTCAAGTGAGGCGTTATAATCTATTTTGATGTCGGCATTCACAGTTGCAGATCGGGTGGAGATAACGTTATTGTTCGTATAATTTAGGCATCAGTAAAACACAATTTGTGATACAAAATATAGTAAGGTGGGGAATGAAGTTCTTTCACATGAATCTAATGACACTGCTTACTTTTCATAAAGGTTTATTTCAACGTTATGTAACTTTGTGAAGCCATTTTTATTTTGTAAGACTAGTGAGAACGCACTTAAATATATGGGATAATCCTTCTTTTATAATTTAGCACCAGTCAGATTTGTATGGAATAAGTCAACCTTAATCAGTTCGTTGGGAATACATGTTTATAAACGGTTTTAACCTGGATATTTTTAGACACTATCTACCATAAGTGTCAACTTAGACATACTTTATGCTCGGTTTGATTATAAAGCTTCAGTAAGCTGCAAATTGAAATATTCGGTGTGTGTTATTTGCAATAATCGCGGTTATTAATACAAAAGTAAATACAGTTTCGAAAAATCGATAAAAAATGACAATGATAAAATTTATGTACTGAAGACGAGTCACATTTTTAAACGCTAGGAGGAAAACATAAATATTTTCCCAACGAATTACATAGATTCACATACTAGTGCTTACAATGACACTATTTGAGCTTTCATGTCACGACAAGCCAGCATTTAGGATCATGAAAAGGTTTTTGGTCGCAGTTCTATTTATTGCTTGTTTACCCACTTCTTGGATGAATATATGGACTAAATGTTCCGGTTCCAATGAAATTGAGTCTTATCAATATTTGCCTTCTTACCATAGTCAATGTAAAAGCTTGTTATCGGTAACTTTAGCCAGAAACATAAAGGATATACCTAATTAATGTACTCACGTAAACCACTACTTTTTCTTTTGTCACTAATTTCTCAGGCGTTCACTAAGATTCCCCATTATGAAGAACATATCGTTGTTCAAAATCTGCCTTTTTCAGTTGATCCTATTTTATTGGAATCAGATTATCAGCTTGTTTTACCACCATTAGTTGCTGATAAATGCACGGTATCACAACAAAAGTGTGATTCCACAAACATACTACAACGTTTAACCTCTCGTCGAAAAGAAAAACATAAGGACCGGTTGAGACAATGGCATGAAAAGCTTTCAGAAATTAGCCAAGTAAGATATTGTTTCTGTCAGCCAATCAGTTCCATTCTACTTCTTTATATTTATTTTTTTCAAACTATACTAGTCCTTGTGTAGTTTTATGCGGATACTAACAGAAAGTGTAAAACACCATGAATTTCTGATCATCCTCACTTTTTCCATTACTTGTCAACATAGACCTTCACTTTGCTTGCGCCAACGTTTTGTATTTAAAAAGCAATTGGCTTTTGTTACCAATCCAATCTTTATCTTTGGTAATTTTTTCTGTCTTTTAAAACAGTTGAAAATGTCGTTAAACGATACCCATAAAACGTTTGTGAATCATTTGGTTTCTCTAAATTTAGTTCAATATTTTAGAATAAGCAATGATAATATGTGATAATGTGGGGTCTCAGTTGACTATGGTCACCACTACAGATTAATTACGTGCCAATTACCAGATTAAATCCCTCCGCAGGATAACTATTAGTAGGACAGTTGTAGATTGTAGTTAGGATGTATTTGTTGGTGATCTTGTGGGATCGAACTAATACCGGGATCGTGCCAAAGTTTACAAGCGAGACTACCATGCGTACATGAGTAAGTTCAAGGTCATGCACGACGGAAAAGTATGTATTTTGATACAATTAAATAAAAAGGTACAGTAAAACAATCATTGGTGCAGTTGGCCATAATAATAAATGTTTCCATTACACCAATCGCATTCTCGTCATAAAAGCAGATCACTACAAATGTATGTATTTATTCAATTATGCAAAAATTTCCAGATATGTTTTTAATGTGCTCTGATAGTAGCGATTAAACCGGCGTTTGTATGTAGAAAAACATCGTGGGCATATGTGAATGTACTGCATGAAAACTATAAACAAGGTGTGCGATTGTTTGCAAACCTTTTATTGCTTCACATGAACACTAAAAGTTTACATTAACATTCATCAACAAAGAGATCACGGTTGAGAACCACAAAATTTCTTTTGTTTTATTTTAGGATATTGAAAATCAAGTAAAAGAATGTTGTGAAACTACTGCTGACTTATTAAATACTAGCTGGGAAAGACAAAATCAAATATTAAATGCAAATCAATCTGATGAAGTAAGTTGTAGATTATATTCGAAATATGATAGGTTGGTATTATGTGATTGTTAACATTATTTGATTCCTGTTTAGTAACCATCATTTTGTCTCCTGTAGTCCTGAATAATCATTATGTTTTATAGATTATACATTGATGTATATATTTATCAAAGCAAATTTACTAGTGAATTTGTGGTCTTAATGGCTGTCTTCCTTTAAACTATGAGATTAAAATCGCTTCATATCTTTCTTTCTACGAACTAATTCTTTCTTCCTGTACTATGTTCTTATATGCAATCTTTCTTTTATATATCACCACCACTGAATTAACTACTTCTTGTTGTGCTAATGAGGTATGGCAACTTGGACCGATGCACATATGTGCCTGGTCCTGCTTTATAGCTGACTGACTGACTGGCTGACATGTGAATCCATACAAACTCGAGAAGGTAGTTATTCAGGATGGACCAAAAACAATTAATCTCTATGGTTTTTGGAACATAATCTTCAGATCTTGTGTTTTAGATGCAACTCCTTGTCTTCAGGTCAAGTTAATCTTGACTTACAATATGTTTGTTCTCAGGAAGTGTATAGACTTGAAATAATTGCCCTGATTTTGAAGAAAAAAACTGATTTCATATCAGATAGTTGGTATAAAACTGTAATTTTATAGAATTATTATCCTGGAAATCTTACGCAATACCATATTTACTTGTGAAATACCGAAACCAAATAACAAGATATATCTGAAACTATAGCTTTATTATGGGAATCAAATTGACCATTGTAAATTGATGAATCTCTAATTGTTGATTGTACGTTGGTGTTAGGTGCTCCCCAGAACTACAAACAGTCGAAAACGACAATACACTGTTCAGATAATTAAACAAGGATTAATTTACAAGTGAGAATATCACCTATTAGTTTAAATGAATTAAGCACTTTATTTGGAAGTGATATGCAGTTGATCGAATTAAGGTTCAATTAAACGCTAAGCGTGGACAGATTACTAACCATTTAATATGTGATTCTTTTCCAATTATTGGTTTGTACCCTGGACGTATTGATTTACGTCTGCTTGTAATTGTATTGGGTAAAGTATTATCTAGTCTGTATTCTAGTTTTCTATTTTTGATCACGAGTCGTGTATCCTATATGACGTGATTCAGTCCATGTATAGCGTATCGATCGAATATCCAATCTGGTGATAGGAGAATTTCAGAATATAGTTCTATAATCATATTACAGTAATATATTATGAAAATAAGAAAGTGTTCTAATTCTTTTGTTATACCAGGAATAAAGTGAGCCTTTTAAACTGAACAAGACTCTAACTATTAGCATACATAATTAAAATCAAATGATAAAAGAAGTATTAGATTAATCATGGAAAATCGAAAGTTAGCAGAGGGATTATGATATCTATTTCAATCTTGTTTCATTGTTGATGGAGTTTTGTTCTCTGAGTTGGATGGTTTGGTCGTGAAGCTTTCATTGTTCTTCTGAACAACATCATCAGCACAAACGTCTACCTTCTCTACGACCAAACCATCCGGTTCAAAGAACAAAACCCTATCAAAATCTTCCACCTGAGATACAGATCTTCTCCACTATCTCAAAATCTTGTCTCAACCACCAACCAATGAGAACTGTTAAGACGATCAAGATTAACGAATAAAAGAATGAAATTATGAAGAGATAGATGGAAGATAGCGAATATAATCCAGAATTGCACAAATAACTAAAAATACGTAATCAAGACTAGTTTATCATAAAAGTGACAGTTAAATTTAGAACAAATATCCAGGAAGATTTATTTCAATTGAAGGAGTTCCTCTGGTTTTTGTAAAGAACGATGAAGAAAGCTATAGCACGATTGAGACTGGCTTTAATTTTCGGTGTTTTGTATTGTCTCTAGGACCCCAATCAGGAAGTCTTAATGCACTAGCAAACGTTAATCTAATGCAACTTTCTTTATACTCCGCATTCATGTCATAAATTAATTACCTCTTCACTTTTTCCGCTCAGTCATTGACGTAGATCAGAATTTACATTGGTCTATTCCAACTTGTCATTTTAAACGTCTTCGTATCCTCTTTCGATGTACAATTAAAAGGAAAATCATTCCACCTTTATCATTCACGTTTTATTTTTCATTTTGAAATGATGGAGAAGATTTGTACTTCAGCTGGTTTCTTTTATTGTGTTATCTAATTTGCATACCTTCCACTGTAAAAACCTTCATTGTTATTCTGCATAACACTATCAGCGTCTATACACTAATTTAATGCTTTACTTCTAAGCAACAATGAAAGCGGTAACATAAGCTCATTAATTTTAAACCACCAAATTAAAAGAGTGTAACACTTATCAAATAAGTGCCATATGCATTTCTTAGTGAAATATCCTTTGTATCAGTTTTTCTTACATCACATTTGAGTTGGTACATTTGGAAAGTTTATCATATATATTATTTCATACACATAGAGTTCCCTTGATCGTTTTGAAAAGAGCAAGAACAAAGATTCTTGCAGAATAGTATGAATTCATTTGATTTCGTCGGATCTCATCAGCTGCTTACAATCTGTGATATTTAAGAACCTACTTACATGAAAGTGTTCAGTTGGAAGTTATATTAAAGACATATTAGTATAGTGTAGCAAGGGTGTAAATAAATTTATTAAACTGAATATTGTAAATATATACTTACCTTATGTGAAAGAACATTCTACAACTTTGATTGTGACAACAGTTTGAACGGCCAGAATACAAGTGATTACATAATGAGTAAACAGTGATGGGAATAAAATGAGTAAAGCTCAGTGAATAAAATAAGATGACTAATGTGGAAGAGTAAAAACGATGTTTAAGATGCAACGGAGGAATATTTGTCACCAAAGGCAAGGAAAGATTAATAACCATTTCCTTTTGAACACACTAATCAGGATTTTGATGCCTGATAGCAACGGCTTCAAAAGACTGGAGCCTGAATGTTTATTAGTCACCTTGAAATATTGCCAGTTGTCGATCTGATATCCTGTATCCAGGAGATATTTGGTAATTACACTGTTCAAACTTTTTCTTTCTCTTGTTCTGAGGCTTTTTGGAACATTCTCAAAAAATTTAAGACATACCCTTCTTTCTGTTCGGCCAGTGTAGCTGCTTTGGCAGGTACATGTAAATTCATGAGTACAGTTGGCGGTAATATGAAAGGGCTGCTTGTCAACCTTTGGTTAAGTTATTAAACATGTTGTTTTATACAGAATTAATAGTTTGACTGCTGGGTAAGTTCTGGCTAGTGCAGTGTTCAGCCTCCTGATGATTGTGTTTGCAACATCATCATCTTTAAAGTTGAGATTTATAGATATTGGTTTCTTATTGACAGTAATCACTTCCGTTTTGTTTTCTTTAGGTTTTTTATATTTGTCAATAAATTTCTGTGGGTAACAATTGTCTCTTAAGCATTTCTCAGAGTTCTTCTTCCAGTTTGTTGGTGGTACATATCCTTTCTACCCTATAAAATTATGTTTTAACCAATGCTTCCTTGTAACTGATTGGACAAAACCTATTGAAATTCAGGTAAAGGCCATTTCAAGTACTTTTTCGATAAACCAAACGTTGAACTGTCCCCTCTCCCCTACGTTTTATGGCAACATGAAGAATGTGGAACATGCCATTCTGTTCGTTTTCCATAGTTAACTGTATATTAAGAGTTCTAACAGGTGAATTGTATTCTGTTTATTCTAACAGATAATAAACATGTTATCAACATATCTAGAGTATTCCGCTGTCTCACCTTATCACTCGTTTAAGTACCGTGTATCTGCCATAAATGGATCTAATAGACTACCTATTGTTAAGCCACCCAACGTAATATAATGAGTTGATGATATTCTGTTGGGAATCTTTGTTCGTGCTCTTTTCAATATGTATTATTATTATTATTATCATTATTATTTCAGCATTTATTGGACCTGGAAATATCTGATTTAGACTGTAAATGGAATCAAGTTGATCATGAATATATTCAACGTAGAAATGAAATTAATCATTTAGAAAATCAATTATATTCAATTGAAAATAAACGGATTAATCAAGTTGAGTGAGATATAATTATCATTAATAATAATATATTTTACTACTACGACTACTACTACCACTACTACGACCACTACTATATATATATTTCAGTAGTATATTCTTTATTTATTATTTATTTATTTCAACACATAGATATTGGTACAAGGAGGCACCAAATACATATCCACCACACAAATCTCATTCGATATGTATGAAGGCTGTGATACTGCCCGGGTGCCCAAACCGAAGCAAGTGGTTTTCTTAGGGGACCACTTCCCGAGCCTTCGACCTGAAGGTCTGATCCACAAGGTAGTGGAGCATCGTGAGGTGATGCAGTCCCATGGTAACCGGTGACCAACGATCGGTTCATACGTCATTCGTTCCCTAAGGATACTGGAGCCCATTTGCACCATTGGTTTGAAATCCGGTTAAAGCGCCGGACATTCGCTTTTCGTCCTCTCATTTTCGTAAACAACACCCCCGTCACGAGAAGGCAGTGAGCAGGAATTCCCTGGCAGAGGCTATATACGCGTGGCTATGTGAAAGCATTTGGAGAGGGAGAGCGGACTCTCCCCACTCTCGGCCGTACCAGGGCATTCGCAGGGCATTCTTTTACTTTATTATGAAGTGATAACTTAAAAATGTCTTTTAGCCAATTGATTGCAGCTTTCAATTACAATTCATTAATTATAGTTTGAATAGACTGATAATATATCAGAAAGAGAAGAGATAGGGAAATTATTAAGCTTGAAAATCAGTTTATACAATCGTCTACTTATAATCGATTTGTAGTGTAAACTAGAAAAATACTTATTTGATAGTTAGTTGGTTCATGACATTTTTCTGTAACTAAGTGAATAAAACACAGAATAAATGGAATGTGGTCAGCAGTGGAATCTAGGACGAGTGTTTCTTTCCATTTGGGATTCATCATCTGGATCTATCTTTGTCTTGATGAATTGATGCTATCTCCGGAACTTGAACCCAGTGTCTTTCTCATCAAACACCCGTTGCACAAGTAAGTGGTTGTTTGGAATCAGTAGTCGAGTGAATAATTTGTTAAGGTCCAAGTCCTAGATTGAGTATCAACTCGCTCTCGGATACAGGTTGATCCACTTGACGAATCCTAAATAGAACGAAATGACGCACTTTCTGGATTCCACTGCTGACCACATCCTATCTATTTCATATTGACTTCTGTCATAACGATTATATCGAAGCGATCCGCACAGGATGCACATATTCCAAATAATAACAATTAAATTTCAGTCAAAATATAAACAACTGGATAATTTGAACCGTTACCAATGAAGATAATTTACCAATAGTTGTGTTACTCAGCTTCATGTCAAAAATGCCACAGTATTATGGGAAAGGTGTTTGATGGACTAGTTTTATATTATCAAAATGAGTGAATACTATCCCGGATCAATTAGTGACTATACTATGATAAATTGTGACTGAGTGATAACTACTCACAATACCAGATTATTGATTCAAACTCTGGAATGGACGGTAATTAAGGACAAAATCCTTAATCAAAAGGTAAGGCTTTCTTACATAATAAAATAACACCATTCATAAACACCATTTCACGCCTAACGAAACTGAAATCTATGAGTCAAGACTCTGTTCTATAACAATGTTAACACATCGCGAAATAAGTTGTTACGTTCCTACACTTAATACCCCTCGTAGACGATCAAAGGCTGACCACCAGCTGTAGGAATGCTGCACTTATTTTTCCAATCCATGCCTTTACGTCTGCATCCAATACTCTTTGTTCACCGATGATGCTGTTCTGGTACGTGAAAGTTTCCACCTCTTTCAAAGTTTCCCCATCAAGTGTGATTGGGTTGGTGTTGTTCGTGTTACAATTGAAGATATTGGTTTTTCTCTTGTGCATGTTGAAGTTTGCTGCTTCAGAGGCTTCCGCTACACTAGTTGTTTTGATTTGCATTTGTTGGTGTGTATGGAATAGAAGACCTTCGTCATTTGATAAGTCCAGATCATCTATCCGTATCCAAGCTGCCGATTGTATTCTGTGCTTCAACTCAGATGTGGAGGTCTTCATAATCCAGTCGACTATCAGAAGAAAGAGAAAGAGCGAGAGTAAGCAGCCTTGTCTGACTCCAGCCCTCGCTTGGAATGTATCTGTCATCTGTCCCCCATGCATCACTTCGCAATGTAGTGGTTTGTATTATTGATGTCGATAAACATAAGTAGTGTGTATCATCAATAGAAAGTGAAATGTCTGGCGGTAGAACGTTAAGAAGTTTGAAGAAAAGAGAACCAGAACAGAAAATAATTGGTGTGGAAACAAAACAACAATGAAGTCTGAGACAATTGATTGACACTTTACAAATGAAGTATTTACTGTATGGTTCTCAGATTTTACTGAGTGATTCTGTAATTTCCTATTCAAATACATTCGATTGTCCCCTTTCTGTGTCCTCGTTCACTACCATACCAGTACCGTTATAATTATATCTTAGTATAACTGGTTTCTTCAATATTTTCTTTTTGCCTTTTTTTTTTGTTGTTGTTGTTTAGATAAAACAGGAATTTCATGAATTGACAGATTATTTAAGTAAATATTCACATTTAACACCAAATGAATTACAAATTGTATTACAGAAAGAAATATTTGTGAGTTTGTTGTTAGGCATTGAAATTGATTTGAATTACGTAATAAGTACAGTTTGTTTCTATATAATATCAAGTTAAACATTGAAAGTTTGCATGTATATGATGTAAGAGATCGAATCTCATTGAGGATTATGTCAATTTCTGTAGGAATAAAAATATAGTTTGTTGACACTTATCTACAGAGATAGAACATCAACATTTATGAATATGGTTTAAGTATATGTAGATATTTTCAATAGTTGAGATTATGAGTTAGTTGAAACTAGACCACCATGCTAAACCTGGAAGTACTGGACAGCCGTTTCGTCCCAGTATAGAACTCTTCAACAGTGCACATCTACAATCCTGCATCAAACGGACTCGAATCCATGGTCTTCAGTTTCGCGCGCACCCTGGGTCTGAATCCTGAGGAGCGGGATCATGGATGTGCACTGCTGAGGAGTTTCATAATAGGGTGAAATAGCCGTCCAGTGCTTCCAGGCTTTCAATGGTGATCTAACATCAATCAATTCATGATCTCAATCAAAAACTTAATAATCTCCACAACCCTATACTAATTACAAAATTTTATTTAATTACCACTAAGGAATAAACAATATGTTATTTGATACTATCAAGTTTCACTAATTAGCTAGTGAGTTACTAATAATCAAGTTGAGTCTGAATATCAATAGGATATGTCTGTTTAGTAATTTGATAAGCCGCATTCTACAACACTTACTTCAGTTAGTCAGCTACAACGTAGGACCAGGCACATATATGCATCGGTCCAAGTTGCAATACCTCACTCATTAGTACAACACCGGATTCATAGGAGTGGTTAAGTCAATGGTGGTAATATATAAACGAAAGATTGCATATAAGGATATAGTACAGGAAGAAAGAATTAGTTCGTAGAAAGAAAGATGTGAAGCGATTTTAATCTCATAATTTAAGGGGAGATAGTGAGTGTATACACCGACGCCATTGTGATCGATTCGGAGCCATGACATCCAAAGTCTCCAAACATTGGTTACGATAGTCACACGGACCCCAAGCAAGTAGTCTGCATCTACCAACATGGCTCAGACTAGAAATTAGTGTCTTCAAGCACTGACGCCACGTTTTGGTTTGACCACCCCTAATTTTCTCCCAACCATTCCCAACACTAATCAGCATTGCGCGTCGCGGTTTTCGGTGTTCAGACATACGTAACACGTGAACCGACCATCTCAGTCGATGAAGATTCACAACCTCATCAACTGATTTACCATCATCACTCCCTAATACCCTGTGCCTAACCTCACTATTATTTACCCGGTGATCCCAATAGACCCTGGCAATATTTCTAAGGCATCTGTGATCAAATACTAGTAGCTTACGCGTGTCTTCTACCCTTAATGGCCATGTTTCACAGTCGTAAATTAAAACAGAACGGACTGGCGCGCAGTATACTCGTCGTTTATTTGATAGACGAATATCTCGCCTTCTTCATAGGTGACGTAAGTTGGTAAAAGCCAACCGAGCTTTTCGAATCCGTGCGACTACTTCCTAACTCCTAGACAATTTCCACTCTTGAACCCAGAACATAAAAACAAAATTTGGAAAGAATAGACTAAGATGTTTACTAAGATTATTAGAAATGATAATCTTAATTACTCTTTTTTTGAAATCAATTCTTCGTATGACTTTCGGTTACTTCTGATTGATTTTCATTGGTTTTAATTCATTTATTTCATGTAAGCTTTAGAAGGAGTTATATCACTTTGTTTTATTCAACTTGTTCTGTTTTGAATATATATCAAGTTTTCCTTATAGTTCATCTTCTTGATATGTTAATGATCGAATGTTGTATGATATCTTCCATTATTGATTGTATTAGGGTAGTTCAGCTCTTTCTATATTTGCAATCATCATTTGTTCATAGTAAACCTTAATTATGAAAATTTAACAGTACAAAAAATAAGGGTATTTATAGGACCGTGTATGACTCTGGTGTGCACCACACAAGTCAGTTGATTTGTGTGAGGGCTGTGATACGGCACAAGTCCCCAAACCGAACCAGGTGGTTTTCTTAGGCGGCCACAACTGGAGCCTTTGATCTAAAGGTTTAGTTCACAAGGCATTGGAGCAACGTAGGAAGGTGCAATTCTATGACAAACAATAGGTTTATATGTCACTTGTATCCTTACGATCCTGGAGCCCATGTGAACCATTGGTTTGGAATGAGAGTTTTCCAACTCCCCCAGATGAGTCCACCATATATTCATCAACCCAGTTAAAGCGCTGGACATTCTAGGAGTTTTTAGAATGTATTCTAAAATTCATAACAAATTTGATCATTGCCTAATTAGGATAACGAAAACATGATCAGTGATTTTCTATATTTATAATGGGAATTTCTCAAAAAAAAACACTGAGGAGGTTTTTTGGCGAGACTCTAATTTATGGACCACCTTTGAACGAATCTTCAGTAACCTTGAGAAATATTAGCCAATCAGCAAACAGTCAGTATAGAGTAAAAATATATTATACAAAACCATGGAAATAAAGTGGATACACTTCTTATACATGGTTCAAAAGCTTGTCAAGGTTAGAAAGAGGTTCAGAGGTTCTAAACTTGTAATGCATGCAGTAGCGGAAATCATCCATATGTCTACAGAATAGTCGGTCTCTGGATCCATGATAAAGTCTCAAAAACTCTTTCAGCCTCGACCACATAGCTTCAATATTGCTAAAGCGCACTCCGGTTGTTGAGTGCACAAAATGCCACTTTCGGATAACACTATACACATAATCAAACCTATGTAGGAGTCTGTACGCTCTCCAATCATCCGTATATATTGTAGTACCTGGCTGCAGCCAGTGTTAATGGTGCTTTTATTATCTAGTTCGGAATAATTGTCGTAATTTGCCTTAGTAAGGAATTATATATGGGGTTTTCATCACGAACTGACATCAGCTATGATGCCAGAAATTTATTTGGTCAAATGGATGAAAGGCTTTCGCGTTAAAATCCGAGATCTATTATCTTATACCTGATTGATTCGTTCACAAATTATAGTCTCGCTGTTTTATTTGTTATAGACGCTCAATTATCACGTTTTGTACAAAATTCCCTGTGGACCGATCGTACATTAGCATGAAGCACTGAAGTTGGCTCTGTAACCTTGGAATATCTAAAACGCCTCTGATTGGCTCGTCCATAAATTAGAGTCTCACCGTTTTCTTTTAACTAATGAACTTGTTCGAGTCCTAAATGAATGTGCCCTATTGTGGAATCTTATACTAAGACGTAAAGACCGTCCAGTTCTCCCATGTTTTCAATGATTATTTAGATTAGATCGTTTCATGAATTTAATCATTTAAAATACATAAATATTTATTTTTTAATTATTGTCAATTCAATTCAATATTTAGACAATTGATATTGAATTATTGGAAAATCGTCGTGAATTAGCTAATCTAATTAAAAATCTTCATCTTGCTGAATTAATGCATCATCGTTTTACTAATCTTACATGGTCTGAACAACGTAATCGTTGGCAAATCATAAATATCAATGAAGCTATACATAATTTTCGGTAAAATGATGATAATTATCCATTTTTTCTGTTGTTGTTATTGTTGTTGATGATGATGATATTCTTGGTGAAAGAATATATAATAATTCTGGCTGAAAAGTAGGGATTTTGGATATGTTGTTATGTGGTGTGTGCTACTTATATTGACATAAGTAGTAGATGATGTTAGTCGTGAACACGAGAGAGAGACAAGAGGATCGAATAATAAAGAATGGAAACAGAATGCAATTTGTATGAAAATGAAAGAACAATGAAGTCTTAGTCATTATGAGACAATTGATGGACTAGATGGTGGTTGGAGGTAGTCGACAGGAAACCCGGGTCCAGGGTCTCCTGTAGACTACCTCCAACCACCATCTAATCTCAATATATAGCGCCCACAGTGTCGAGTCACCTAGACTGGTGGTCACATTGCAACATGATCGATAGCATTCGATCTGCACTAGTAAGGACTAGACACGCATGACATTGATCGCCACCCAGTAATCAATCAATTGTGATTACAATTGATGGACGTTTCGGAAATTACGTATTTATTATTTGATTGTTAGATTTTATTAACAAGTCCTGCAATTTTGTGTCAAATACATTCGATTGTCCCCACTGGTGTTCTTGTTAACTACAGTTACGTGCACTGTAAGTTGACTAGTTTTGTTATGAAACTAATGGTATTTTTGGGAAAAAATAAACAATAAAACCTTCATGATTAAATCATTCATCTCAATGAATACAATGTCCATTCAAAACAATATGCATGTTAATAATTACTTGTAAGCGATTTTTTTCATCCACGATCCCGCCCAGCGAGATTCGAACCCAGGAACTATAGGTTTCGCACGCGAACGCTTAACATCTAGATCACTGAGTTGGTATCTAACGGTATTAATGTCCAACTTTAACTAATCCACGAACTTCAGCGACAGGTTCTGGGTTCGAATCCTGCAGGGCGGGATCGTGGATGTGCGCCGCTGAAGAATACCATACTGGAACGAAACGGTCATTGTGGTCTAGCTCCAAATGACTCATGGATTCAACACTTAAAATTACTATAATATCCACAAAAAACCCCTTCTCATATTAATGAACATATGCTCACTATTGACTGGCTTCAAGAGGTATTACCCGGAGTTCTAGTGAGAAGCAGTGACCAGTGGATATCAACCAGGTATATTAGTTCCTTGGGCGAGTCGCTACATGTATTGTCTGTAGTTGAACATTGATTATATGTCGAATACATTTCATTCAATTTGGGACTTGAACAAATTAGTTGATATGATTTTGGATCTTGATCTATGTACTACTCCTCTGGTTGACATAGGCGTACATTGAAAGAAAGCTAAGAGCGGCTAAATCGAAATATGGCATCAATCTGTGAAATCATCGATTGTTCATCTGACCTAATATTGGTAAATGTAGTCAACCAGTTTAAAATCTGTATAATTATTGTGACAAACGGTTCGTCAACCTCAGGTGATATATCTCAATATTTAAGAGGTACTTTAAGTTCGATCTATGGTCAGGTCATAGATTCACTCTACTGAAATTTCTCACACTAGGATGAAAGAGCGATACAGTATTGTTTAGTTTCCTAAATTACCCTGATTAAGATTAGTTCGTGATGAATACCATCCACAAATAATTAATAGTGTTATTATATCATTATTGTTATTATTATTATTACTACAGAATTTGTCTTAATGATGAGAAATTCCGGTATCCTAATGATGTCAAAATAAAGATAAATGATTTAACAACAAACATAACTGAATTTGAAAAGCGAAAAGATAATCTTATCGATGAATTATGGTAAGTATCTTATTTTGTAAAATATTTAAATATTTGCTTATGCTATATGTTTGAAGCGATTATGAGTTCACCTAGTCTGCGAACGGAACAAAGACTCTGTGACTAAAGACCAATAAGTTAGCTATTCTGATGCGTCCCAGCCTTGATAACTAGAGAGAAAAGTCGAAGATTGGAATGGGGAAATATATTCTGCAAGCAGCCAGAAGTACGAGCATTAACGACAGGCACAAATCAACCGTATATATAAAGCATAAAATTTTCATTCGGACGCGTTACAAAATAGCGTACTGAAAGATACAACGAACCAATATCGTTTAAGATTCTCCTAAGTGGGAAATACCACATCAAGATGAAAATGAGCGCTTTTAGAGCAAAAACAGGAAATTCAAATTTTTAAAATAAAATTTAAAAAATAAGATATTTACCAAGTGAGTTCTAGGGATCTAACATCTCCAACAGGTTACAGGTTATAATCATCTATCATTTCATCTTCAAATGATAATTATATCTAGCTGTGGCAATGGGGTATTGGGAAATTCAGTCGATGTACATATGTGTCATGTTCTATGTTGTGTTTGACTAACCGATTGACTAAATATGTCATCAGACATCATAAAAGACGATCATATTCAAAACTAACTACTGTTATATCTTGTAGCTTAATGCCCTACTAATATGTAAACCTAATGATACTGCCATTTAGAGAACAGTAACTTGTCGACTGGATCAATCATGTATAAAACCGTACCAGCAGTCCAGAGTCCTTATCGGTCTTGATTCCCGCCTCAGTCAGTCAGTCAGCTACAACGTAGGACCAGGCACATATGTGCATTGGTTCAGGTTGCCATACCGTATCAGCACAACAAGATGAACACCGGATTCATAGCAGTGGTTAGGTCAAAGGTGGTAATATATAAGAGAAAGATTGCATATAGAGATATAGTATAAGAAGAAAGAATTGGTTCGTAGAAAGAAAGATATGAAGCGATTTTAATCTCTTAGTTTAAGGGAAGACAGGGAGTGTATACACCGACGCCATTGTGATCGATTCCCGCCTAGCCCTAATTGTTCAGTCCAGAACACCAATCTCAGCCTCTACGATATGAATCATGTATTTCAAACATAAGTGGCTTATATACGAAACAATTAGAGCACATCGTACCACAAAATAGAAAATACACATTTGTACAAGATTTAGCCAAAAGTGGCTGTGAATGTGGGAGACTGTAATTGATAGACCAGGCATAACTCTCGAATGGTAAATCGTATAATCATAGTGTATAGGTCGATATAAAGCTTATAATAAGAAGAACAAGAATATGAATAGTTTAGCTACTTGACAATTATACAATAAGAATGTATGTATAGTATTAGTCTACAAATGGATCGCAGCAGTTACCATTCATTATTCTCTTTGGGATATAACAAATACGTGAATAGTTTTAATAATATAATTTATAAACCTTCATTCATAAGAATACCAGGTAGTACAGAGGTGTCATTCATATTTACTTAAGCACATATTTCTACATTCTGGTTTTGTTATAAATACAGTGACGTCACTAGAACTCCAGGAAATACGTCTTGGAGACTGTCACTAGTGAGCATATGATGATTATAATCAGAGAGGATTTTAAGATATTATAGTAATTTAATTTGGATGCGCACTGGTGAGAAGTCCTACAATAGGACGAAATCGCCGTCCAGTGCTTCCAGATTTTCCATGGTGGTCTAGCTTCAATTGACTGATGATCTCAACCATTGAAATTACTATAATTTCCACAAAGCCCCTTCTGATAATAATTAACATATGCTCACTAGTGACTGGATTCGAGAGGTATTTCCAGGAGTTTTAGGGAAAAAATAGTGACCAGTGGAGTTCAACCGGGTCAGTTGTGAGGTAGTGACTCAGTGATGACAATGGTGGATGTGTCGCTCAATTTCGTGGATTAGTTGAAGTTAGATATTAACATCATTGAATGCCGTCTCAGTGGTCTAGCTGGTTAAGCGCCTGGCGCGAGACTGGTAGGTCCTGGGTTCGAGTCCCGCGGGGCGGGGTCGTGGATGCGTAGTGCTGTGGTCCCACAACAGGACGAAACGGCCGTCCAGTGCTTCCGGGTTTTCCATGGTGGTGTAGCTTCAATTGGCTCATGAATTCAACTATTAAATTACTACAATCTCTATGAAACCCTCTTTCTGATTACAATTATTTGTTATTGCTAATCATCTTACAGATTATTAAATATTTACAATAATTTTCTATCTAGTGAAAATTTGGTACCATCAAATAATATGGAAGAATTTCTAGAAAATTGGAATATTAAAATCAAACAGTTATTTACTGAATGGGGTATGTTACCTTTCAAGTTCTTAGTTTTAATTGAATTTTATCGATCAAATTACAACATAGAGACTAGTCTAAGTGACTCAACATATCATACAGTATGTTAAGATGTAAGGTAGTAATTGGAGATAATCGACAAGAAATCCTGCTCGATCTAAATTTCATACTATTTGCCACTCGTCAGTAAAGTGTAATTGTGATTTTAAAGGTGCTGATGATCCCTGGTGAATTTGATACTAGACTTGACAAACATGACAATGGTCACCAAATAGAGATTGGTCAGTTGTGAAAAATTATTTCTAAAGGAGGTCAGTCACGGTCCAAATAGCTCAGCGATAATGTTTCAGGCTGTGAAGCTGAGTGACACAGGATCAAGTTTGCTAGAGAGAGAGAGAGCCGATTCTCTCAAGATTATAGGTATACCTTAATGATGAATGCCGAACTAGCACAAAACAAGGGTCCGAAATTTCTTGTCGGTTACCTCAAACCACCTTACAGAACTGAATTTAGTTAGATAACTATTAAAAACCAACATACAAACATTTACATGGTTGAGCAATACCACAAATTGACTAGGATTAGAGATGTAAATCATTGAAAGTCAACCAAATGGTCTGTAAATTAAGTACTGCTCTCAAGATCTGACAGCCCTAGGTTTGACCCCCCCCCAGTGAAGCCACTGAATAGCTCTTTCATTTTAATTTTGGGATTCCTCAACTGTACAAACCTGTAATTGGACCTGAAGGCTGATAACTTTAAACTGAAGGAAATAATGTCATCGTAAGTAATACATAAAACTACTGTGTGACAAACTAATAAAATATGTGTCGATACGATTAAACCAAGTCGAACCAAGTGACATTTAACTATGTTTGAATAAGTGGCTAACTATGATATTTTGGAACAGATGCTCTTGTATCTAGCAAGTGTGGTATGGACGACGTTGGTTGATCGGACTTAGATGATTGATATTAGTAGTTAGTGGAAACATCAATCAATCATTGGCGACACCTGTTGAAAAGAGACGTGTGAATTTGAGGCATTGAGGTAATGCACCATACAATCCAAATATTGAATGAGAGTTGTGCTGCATATGATAGAAAAGTGAGGAAAGTTAGCAAAAGATATCGAATGAGAATGGACAGTGTAAGTGAAGATGTTTTAAATGACACAGCATATTTAGTTTACGAAAAGTGTAAACTAAACTTAACTACGTTTATTATTTATTCTATAGATGAAATGAATCAAAACGCTTTGAATTCCATATACAAAGCTTATGAAGATAATTCACAACAGTGTATTGATCAAATCCAACAGATGAAAGTAAGCTGTCAAGGCCTTTGTTTTCCTATAGAAACTTCAGAACATCTCAAATTCTTCAGAGGATAACATTAGGTTGCGATTGATTTTCTGTTGATCTACTTAACACGCAACTTTAGGTTTCGTATGTGTGACAGTGTGGTGTATACTACTTATGTTGACATAAGTAGTATGGAAGACTGATCAAAAGTGAAATGCCTTAGAAGTAGAAGGTTGGGAAGATCAAATCGAAGAGAACAGGAACAGAAAGCATTTGTTGTGGTAATGAAGGAACGATGAAGTTTGAGACAACTGATAGAGCATTTGCAAATGAAGTATTAGACGTATGGTTTTCACATTTCGTGAAAGAACTCTGTAATTTAATGTTAAAATACAATTGGTTGTCCCTATTTGTGTTCTCGTTCATCACAACAGTACCTTTAGACTCTGTTATCTTGAAGTCTACAGTGTTTCTTTCTAGTTAAAGAGACTATTCATTCCATTTTTGGCATTTTTTGAAGTAAGAATATTCCTATCCTGCTTATGAGATATTTTTTCAGGAGTTTACTGAATTGTATGAATCTGAAGATTTCGTCTGAAGTCTTTCTAGGGGTACTGCCGGTTCTGAACCAGGATAAAATGATAAGGGTTGAGAATAGGGTTAGTAACCCTATCCCATAGAAAAGAATCTTGTTAGAAAAAAACGCTAATCAGGAAAATTAATCATTTAAACCATTGAAAGTCGAATGCTTTGAGGCTTAAGGAATTTATTTATATGCATACGGATGTTTAGGACAGCAACTGACCAGTCTATTCTGGCTTATGTGCGTCCTATACCGATTGCTTTAATATTGTCATTAAATCACAAGCATTTTAAGCAGAGATAGATAGTAGCTAGTAGTGGAATCAAGGACACTCGTTTCGTCTTTTTTAGGACTCGTCTTTAGTTAAATGTAACTGCACTCCAGAGTGACTTAATATTAACTCTTGGACTCGAACCTAACACGGTTTGATTCAAATGCTCACTGCACAAGTGAGTGGCTGTGTTCTGATTTATCTTAACTGACCAGTAATGCGTAATAACTGCCTAATTATTGAAGCGCTCCTACAAGAAGTTTACAACCTGTCATGAAGGGAATTATTTTGTGTATTTTAGCATTTGTTTCAATGATATCATGAACCGACCGATGTTAGACCAACATTAAAAACCTGAAAGCATTAAACGGCCGTTTCGTCCCTGTGTGGAACTTCTCAGTGGTTCGCATCAATGACCCCGCACGCCAAAATCAGACCCAGGATCTTCGGTTTCGCTTGCGAATTTTTGACGTCCAGACCACTGAGCAGACATTTAACGGTGTTATTATCGTACATCATTTAATCCACGACATTGTGCAACCAACTTTACTGATAAATATTTACCATTCGTATTCGCTCTAGGGAAATGAGAAGTAATTGTCTTGGATTTCATACAACAAATATATAGTATGAGATAATAATTTGTGTTATAACAGCAAAAGATTAAAAAATGCCTGCGTATGAAAATAAATGACAGTTAGTTGCTATGGCTTGAAACTTAAATCTATATCACGTGCTAAATTTAGTAATCATAATTCTGGTTAGAAATTTTTCTATCCCGCGTCTACGACTTCTTCTGTAGCTTAGTGTCCCAGACTTGACCAATTATACATTCTGACCAGTACAGTTAATCCTGTACTAATTCAGGCTGTACTCCGATTAGTCCACCACATGAAGACTTTTCTCTATTCCCTGTCTTGAGCTCAAAGATGAGTCAAGAGTCAGTATCTACAACATACATATTTCAACTATCCAGTCCAACCAACTGACACAGTCAACTATTATAGCCTACAACTAATTCAAACACCATTGAACAAAGATTAATTGCGATGCTGTGAACTTGTGCTGAGAATTCTACACTGTAAATAATAATTCGAACCTGCAATCGCTGAACGATTGAACTACAACTCATCGAATGAAAGGTTGTACACTATTAACGAGACCCGAACATATCTAGTTTGAATTCTATCTAGATTTAAGTGTGTGTGCTTTGTGTCGAAGAGTTCGAAGCTATCATTATTTCATTGACGTTTTTATTACATCCTTTACCTGTTTACTCATTAATACACAGAAGACAGTTTGTTTCAACCTAGATCAAGGCCTTGATACGATAGACTGACTGAATAAATTTGAGGCTAGAAACGCGTAAGTTCGAAATGAGACTAACTGCCTTGAGTGAAGGAACAAAAACTATTCCATCACCTGATTGGTTGACATCCACGTGATCGAGAGAGAAAGACGAAACGACTGGAACACTACTCGATTTATTCTCAATCCCGATTCACACATCGATTCGGTTCCGATTCAGATTAGTGCAAAAAGATACATGAGTAGTATAGATGATTAACATGACCACAACACGCAAACAATTAGGAAAATACAATTATATGCAAAACTGGGGATTACTTACTTACTTATTTATGCCTGTTCCCACTAACACTCTCCATCCAACCCTGTCCTAGGCAATCCTTTCCAGCTCTTTCCAGTTGTTATTCATCCTTTTCTTATCTGCTTCCATCTCCCAACGTAGTGTGTTCTTCGACCTTCCTCTTTTCCGCTTTCCTTCATGATTCCAAGTTAGGGCTTGTATCGTGATGTGGTTTAATGATTTCGTCAATGTATGTCCTATCCACTTCTACTGTCTTTTCTTAATTTCATCTTCAACTGGAAGCTCGTTTGTCCACTTCCATAGAAGTCTGTTACTGATGGTATCCGGCCAATGGATATTGATTAGGTTAAGAAAATAGAGTACTAAATGTTACATCTAAACTACAATAGATTTGGAACAGAAAACAATATGACAATGAACCATATATCAAACGAAAGCTTATGATCTGTAGAATAGATTAGGAACAAAAGTAAATGTTACTGTTTTACATGGTTTGATCTAAATGAAATAACGTCCCCCCCCGCCCCCTCATTGTGTTTGTCATAACTTCATTGTTTCTCTGTTCTCATTCATTTCTTTTCAATCATTATTTTGTTTTCTTTTATTATAAATTTCTCTTTATTATTCATAAATAGAATCAATTGTTACATCGTAAATTGATCAACTCAATGGATGAAATTGAAAATTTAATTAAAGAAAATTGTATCACCATTTTAGGTGAATTACAAAGTCAATTTGAAAATAATTTAAATTATCTTGATGTAAGTAATGCTTTATCATATAATTCAATGGCCACAATGGAAAACCTGGAAGCATTGGACGGCCGTTTCGTCCTAGTATGGGACTCTTCAGCAGTGCGCATCCACGATCCCGCACCCCGCGAGATTCGAACTCAGGACCTATCAGTCTCGCGTCAGGCGCTTAACCAACGAAACGGCCGTCTAGTGCTTCCAGGTTTTTCATGGTGATCTAGCTTCAATTGATTCATGATTTCAATCAGTGAAGTTTCTAAAATCTCCACAAAAACCCCTTCTGATAATTATTATCAATAGGAGGTTTTAATGGAGATGTTGGATACTGACTCAGTGATCTAGATGTTAAGTGTTCATGTGTGAAATTGATAGGTCCTGGGTTTGAATCCTGTGGATGGGATGATAGATGAGTACTGTTGAAGAGTTCCATACTAGGATGAAATGGTTATTCAGTACTTCTAAGTTTTCATTGGTGTTCTAGCTATAATTGATTCATGAATTCAATGACTAAATTAATTTATTATCTCCTTATACATATATACATTTTATCAGCCTATGATTTTGTGGAAATTACAGTTGTTTTAGTTATAAATCATGAATAGATTTTAGCTAAACCAAAAGATATTAGATAGCTGTTTTTCCCTTGTATAGAACTTTTCAGGAGTGCATATCAATGACTTCACATCCTAGAATTGAACCTAATACCTTTAGTCTCACGTGTGAACACTCAATCTTTCGATCATTGAACCAGGACCCAATGATGTTAATGTCCGGTTTCAATCAGTTCATAATGTTACGTAAATATCTTCCATTGCCTGAGGTGGATAACGGTCTGACGTTCAAGGTGGTTGATTATAGTTAGATGGATTTGATACTTTGGACCCTAAGTATAAATAAAATATCGTAAAATTGTAAAATGTCTGAATACCTTTATGATGTTGGTTTATCGTCAATAAATTGACGTTATAATCCAATTTTATATATGAACGAATATACATTAATGAACTGTACAAAATTGACTTAGTGTGTGGTGTGCTTGACTTTCAATCTCAATCTGTGTTTCGTATGAATATAGCTTATGTCATCTGTACTTGTACTAGTTGTTATTACTTGTGACCTAAGTGCCCTGTTAATGGATAAGTAATGATGCCGCCAAATAGGGAGCAGTGACTTATCAATCGAACCAAGGACCCTGCTTTCCGCCTAGCCCAGCCAGTTGAGTCCAGAACACCAATCTCAGCCTTTGTGATATGAGTTATGTATTTCAAACATACTCGGTTTATATACCAACCAGACAGATCACAACGTAGCATAAAATAGAAAATAACATTTGTACAAAATTTGGCCAAATGTGGCTGTGAATGTGCGAATCAGTGACTAATAAACAGGGCATAATTCAAGAATGGTAAAACGTATAATAATAGTTCATAGGTCAAAATAAGGCTCATAATAAGAGGAATATGAATAGTTTAGTTAATTAACAATTATACGATAAAAATATACGTTTATTATTGGTCCATAAATGGATCCCAAAAGTTACCATTCATAATGCTTATCGGGACCTAACACAAGTGTACTAGTTATTACTTGTATAACCCAATTCCTCATATGTATTAATGAAGTAAAATTGCACCGATATGCATGTGTTAATATATGGGAGTATAAACAAATCAACTATGTCAAGTGTATTGAAGATTTTCATCATAAACTGGCTTCAGGTAAAAAACAACAACAACAACAACTGGAGAACAGTCGACACGTATTGTATTGTAGTTTCAGTTAAAGGGAAACTAATTATCTTATGATATCTTATATTGTTCATGTTTAATTGTAATCAAGATGATGAAAGCTGTATAAGCAATAGAAATATTCTGATCTGTTCTTAAAAGTATACCGTAGTAACTACGAATGGATCAGCACACAAAAAGCTCACATGATAGTAATATCTTGTAATTAGCTATAGAGTATACAATTACTTACAAAATAATTATCATTTTTTGTAAACATGATAAACTCCTACAACTTAAATGAAAGTTTGTAGTTCACTATACATCTGTCTACGAAAGATTCATTGAATGTATAACAGATTCTTTATAAGAGATAGTTCATGTATTGACAAATTCAATAGCGGCAGCCTTCTTGAATATCTGAGCTACAAGTTGTTTGTTTTAACACATTATTATGCCTATTAATCTCATAGCTTATTCAGGTACGTTTGTGTAAAGTTTAAGATCTTTCAGTGTACAAGTTACAAAAGGGCCCAATCAGAGATTTCGTGATAACTGTCAATATATATTGGAAAAGAATGAACATTATTCAAATGTCAATTCATGAACTGCCAACATCTAACTGACGATCACTCAATATGTTATAGTCAGGATTGATCAAGAAATAAGAAATACTTTGCGCTGAGAACTCTATATTGTACCAAAAAGTATAATACTGAATATAGCCACTAATAATAATGATAATAATAAATTCACATGATATTGTTTACATGAATCTTCCCATCGATGTTTAGGACTACGAATGATCAGTCTCTTATTGGCATATGTGAATACTGCCTTAATTCACAAGCATTCTAAGCAAAGATGGATAGTGGATAGCAGTGGAATCCAGTTTTGACGCGCGTTTCTTCCTGTTTGGAACTCGTCAACTGGATGTACCTGCATCTCAGTATTGATGTTCACTCTTGCATAGCTAGGTGAATAATGCGATAGCTTCTACCACATAACTCATTTATTTCAGACATACTTGGTTTATATACAAACCAAACCAGACCGCATCATACCATAAAGTAGGAAATAACATTTGTACAAGACCAAGCCAAAAAGTGGTTATGATTGTGAGAGACTGTAACTAATCGATTGAAAATAACTTAAGAATAGTAAATAGTACAATAGTAGTCAATAGGTCAAATAAAGGAATACAAATACATGTATAGTTCAGTTATTTAATAGTTATACAATAAGAATATATTTATGTATAATAACAGTTCATAAGTAGACCCTAACATTTACCATTTACTTATAACAAATGTAATCATTATAAGCAAGGATCAATAGTGGCTAGCAGTGGAATCGAGGACGCGCGTTTCGTTCTATTTGGAACTCAATAGCTAAATGAATAACACGATAGTGTTTGAAGCGTACGGTACTGGGTTCGAATCCCGGAGTGAACATCAACTCTGAGATGCATGTATATCCAGCTGACGAGTCTCGAATAGGACGAAATGCGCATCAAACTAGATTCTATTGCTATCCACTATTCATCTTTGCCTAATGATAATAATAATAACAATACTTATTAACTATAAGAGTTGGAACAGACTCATCTATAGACACTCGATGCTTATTATAACCAACATAGCGGTTGTATATATTTGAATAGTTGGATTCATGAGTCAGTTGAAGCTGGCCCACAATGGAAAACCTGGAAGCACTGGATGACCGTTTCGTCCTAGTATGGTACTCCTCAGCAGCGCGCGTACACGACTCCGCCTCGTGGGATTCGGACCCTGGACCTATCAGTTATATATTTACAATGAAGTTTTTTTATAATAATATTCAATATACCCACTAATAGAACTTCTTTTATCCTTTTCTCCTTATTAGCATTGTTTCTCATGGTGTTTATCTATATGGTTAAATGAATGTATTCCATCATTATTAAAATTTAGTCAAATCCTAATTCAATTATGGCAATTCTATGCTCATCTACCTATTGTTCATTTAAAAAATGAATTAAATTTTAATTTACTTAATATAAAACAAGTAGTATATGATGAAATTTTAAAAAAAGATGAATTCATTAATTCATTAATTGATTTATTAAGACAAAGTTCAACAGAACAAATAATTAATGAAAAATTACAAGAAGTAATTAATTTATTCAATGAAATTAGTGTCATGTAAGTATGTTGTTTTAATGTTTGTGTTTGTGTGTGTGGGTGTGTGGATATTATAGTAATATTTTAAGAGTTGAATATATGAGTCAATTGAAGGTAGAACATCATGGGATAGCTGGAAGCATTGGACGGGCGTTTCGTTCTAATATAGGACTACTTAGCAATGCTCATCCACAATCACGGCCTACGAGATTCGAACCCAGGAACTACACCGTTGAGCTGGCCAGCATCCAACGGTGTTAATGTCTAACTTGAACTAATCCACGAAATTGAGCGACACATCCATCACTGTATTTAGTGAGTTACTATCTCACAACAGACCCAATTGAACTTCACTGATCAATCCTTCTCACTAGAACTCCAGGAAATACCTCTTGGAAACCGTCGTTACTGAGCATATGATGTTAACAATCAGAGAGGGATTTTGTGGATATTATATTAATTTTAATAGTTGAATTCATGAGTCAATTAAAGCTAGATCACTATGAAAAATCTTGTATGAGACTGCTCTCAGCAATGTGTATCCACGGCGACGGTGCAATTTAATGGATTGGATGAAGTTGAACATCGACACTGTTGGATACCGAACGGCTCAGTGGTCTAGAGGTTGAACGTTCGCTTGAGAGACCTATAGGTCCTGGGTTCGAATTTCATGAGGCTGTATCGTGGATGCGCATTGCTAAGTCTCATACTAGGACGAAATGGCCGTCAAGTGCTTTCAGGTTTTCAATGTTGGTCTAACTTTAATTGACCCACGAATTCAAGTATTAAATTTTTTTGATACTTGACTTTCAATAAATCTCAAATAGAATAATGATTATTGAGTACATTTCTGAAGGTGGATAACAGTGGATTCATCAGTTGGAAGATCCTATATTATATTATTGATCTACCCGTTCGAATTCAAATTAAGTGTCTTTCTTTCCAGTCGAAAAAGCATTACTCTCTGAGCTATTAATTTCACATAAGCACTGACTTGTATAGGGTTTTTATTTCATTTATTTCATAGTGTATACATCAACACTGGGTTGCAGGTATTTATTTGTTTATTTAAACACATAAACATTGATAGAAGAAGGCACCAAATAGATATGCGCCACATAAATCATTCGATTTGTGTGAGGACTGTGATAGTGCCCGGGTGCACAGACCGGAGCAGGTGGTTTTCTTAGGAGGCCACAACCGGAGCCTTTGACCTAAAGGTGTGATCTACAAAGTAGTGGAGCATTGTCCGGAGATGTAGTCCCATGTTACCCAGTTTTCAACAATAGGTTCGTACGTCATTTGTTCCTTCAGGATCCTGGAGCCAATGTGAACTATTGCTTGTAATGAGGGTTTTCCAACTCCCTTAAGTGGTCCTCCGTATCTACCAGCCGGATAGAAGCTCCTGACATTCGCTCTTCTTCCTCTTAATATCGTAAACAAAACTCGTAGTGCTGCCCTTGTAGTGGTTATATGCACGTGGCCATATGAGAGCTGCTTCTCCCCACCTTCGGCCGTACCAGACGAAATGCTGGTCCTGAATTCTACTCATAGCCACAATTCATCTATTCTTAAACAACTTGTAACAAAATGACTCAGTCAGTCAGCTACAACGTAGGAACAGGCATATATATGCATCAGTTCAAGTTGCCACACCTCATTAGCACAAGATGAACAGCGAATTCATTGAAGTAGTTACTTCAGTGGTTGTAAAAAAAAGAAATTTTGTACAAGGATACGATACAGTAAGAAAGAATCAATTCGTAAAAAGTAAGACACAAAGTAATTTTAGTCTCACGATTTAAGGGAAGACAGAGAGTGCATACACTGACGCCATTGTGATCGATTCTGAGTCATATCATCTTTAGTTTCCTACCATTGATTAAAATAGTCGCGTGAACTCCAACCAAGTAGTCTGAATCTACTAACATGGCTCAGATCAGAAGTTAGTGACTTCAAGGGTTGATTCCACGTTTCGATCAGTTTGGCCACCCCTAACTTTCTTCCAACTATCCCCAACACTGGTCAAGATGACTAAATCGAGACAATTCTTCAGGATACACAGATATCCTTGTTTCAGTCCTTATAATTAACAACGGACAGATTTAAACTCCTAAAAATGAATTAGAATAGTGATTCGTTTAAATATCACCAAATAAATGTTCAATGTACCCAAATGAAATCCCACCTGAATCCTTTCTAGAACGCCTAATAAAACGACATAGTTCAGCCAATATGAAAACACCAAAACAAATTACTTCATTGATACAAATTAAAACGATATAAACTGAATCCTTAGATAAGATACATTTCACTATTTCACATTTTGAATTGCTCATTCCATTTTAACATAGTTAAGAGTAGATATTTTACACTATTAACCTATTACTTCTCAATTCATGACAAATCTAGAAATTAGGTTATGTTTATACATTTATGAACGTAAGGTGGTTGAATGTAGTTAACAGGAAACTTTACTTGATCTAGATTTCACGCTACTTTGAACTTGTCAGAAAGACATACCTGTAATTTTGAGGCAACTGATGTTTCCTGTCGGATATAAACTTTCATCATCCAGCTTCTCAATCTTCAACGTTACCACTGAGCTAGTCAAACCGCGAATGATAATTTTTAAATGATTTACCTCCATTATTGAATCAATTCATTATACAGTCCACTATGACACGTTTACTTTGTCCAAATCAAAACAACAATCTACACTTGGCTAATTACACTGTAAATAATGACCGGGATTTTAACATCTTTTAATCCAAGGGGTACTCTTATCCAGAGATTCTATCAAAAGACAGTGACAGTAAAAGAATTTAACTATTTATTAGTCTCATTTTGTTTCTACTGCTTTTGACTCAAAAACTCATAGGGTTATATTTACTGGATTCTGATTATAATAAACCACAAATTAAAGATCATAACATGTATACAACCGAACTGTAAGTAGCCAATACGTTCATAGTTAATTAATGATAATTTAAGAACGGTAGAACACGTAATGACTTACTTACTTACTTACTTACTTACTCCTGTTACCCCTTGTGGAGGTGCATAGGCCATCCACTAGCACTCTTCAATAACACCAACCAAATTAAACAGAACACATAATTACAGTTAATTTAAGATAATGAAAGTATGCATCATGTATAGATGATTACATAGAACCCTTTATTAATTGAATATTTCTTTCCTTCTTTCTTTCTTTTCTTTTCTTTTTCCTAAATCTATAAAGCTACAAATCACTATATGATAAACAATTACAATTTCTAGATACATATGTAAAACAAATAACCACGGTTATCGATTTATGCGAAACTGCTATTTGCCGATTTTTCGGTGTAACCCATTGTACAAAACAACAATCTTTACATCTGGAAGTAAGTATTATTAGCCATTATTTTTGTTTTCTTTATTGATAATACTAAATGACTTATATTTATGTAATGCATACTACTTATGCTAACAAATATAAGTAGTGCGCACCCACGATCCCGCTTGCGGGATTCGAACCCAGGGCCTTCGGTCTCGCAAGCGAACGCTTAACCTACTGGACCACTAAGCCGGCATCCAATGGTGAAAGTGTCTAAAATTAACTAGTCCACGAAATTTCGCGACCGTCTTCCATTGTACTGAGGTAGATACCTGTCTTTACCCGAGATGGATCAGCTCCACTGGTCACGGCTTCTCACTAGAACTCTGAGAATTCGCTCACGAAGTTAGTCACTAGTGAACACATGTTAATTACTAGTATAGGGGTTGTGGAGATGACTAAGTTTTTCACTGAGATCATTAACTGATTGATGTTAAACCACCTTTGGAAACCTGGAAGCACTGGACGGCCGTTTGTGGAACTCCACAGCAGCGCGCATCCCACAACCCCTATACTAGTGAATATAAGTAGTATGTAACGGTGATCGGAATTTGAATGCTTGTCAGTAGAAGATTGAATTAAAAAGAATAGAAGAGGAAGCAGAGAGCAATTGTAACAACAATAGAAAGGATAAACCATAGGAAGATATGTAAATAATGTATGATTTTCATATTTTATAAAGCTACTCTGTAGTGTTTGGATTGATCTTCCCCATTTGAGTTCTCATTCACTACATATACATTGGTAATAATATATTCATAAAGATGAATAAGTCAAGATATGATATCATTCCATTTATATGAGCTATATTGATAGATGGATAGTACCTAGTCTAGACTGACTTTGAAATCAGGTAATATGACTTTTAATTGGAGAAATGAAGTTGATGTCTACTCCTAGAAATTTTCTATTTCTGGAATTCATATCTGTTTCCAGAATTATATGCTTTGTTTCTAAAGTTTTTCTTGTGTACTGTCACTGATACTTTAGAGAATGAGAACATAGGCAGGGGACAATCGAATGTATCTGAATACAAAAATCTAAGAACCATATAGTAAATAGTTTATATGCAAAATATTCATCAATCGTCTCAGACTTGATTGTTCTTTTGTTTTAACACTAATCATTCTCTGTTCTAGTTCTCTTTTCTTCAATGTTCTTAACCGTCTGCCGTCAGGCAATTCACTTTGAATTGTTAATACATACTACTTATATCTATTGACATCAGTAGCATACACTGCAGTATCATAATCAGGATCGAGAATGTGACTGTTCGATTTCCGCGTAAAATTCAACAAAGTAGTAAAATGATCTTTACATATTGTACCTGATATCAATTGGTGATTAAAATGTCAACTGAAAAAAAACTCTTAATGTTTAATTCATTAATGGATATTTAGAGATCTCATTGAACCCGTTTTAAGAATTCCAGAATATGTACAATTTATATTCATTGGGATGAGTTGATACCTTTCTTTTCTTTTGAAGAAGACTATTGTAGATTTATCAAATATGTACAATTTGTTAACACTTGGTAATATTATTATTTTCGTTTTAATAAACTACACATTTTTATGAAAGATGCTTTCCGACTGGCTAAGAACTGATATAAATATCATGAGGGTAAATATGAAAATGCAACACCGACAATCTACTATAATGAAAATAATGATCATGACATTTTTATAGACTCGAGGATATGGGAAGCAAGACAATCACTGAGACTCAAGAACAGAGGAACAGATGACCAAAACACTTTGAGGAACTCTTTAAAAACCCACCGGACATCGAAGCAACACACACAGATCTTTTTATAGATTTTAGTCAACCAGTGATAAAAGAAATCAGGATGGCCACCAGACAAATCAAGAATGGGAAAGCAACAGTTCCTGACAATATATAAACTGAAGCACTGAAGGCAGACATAGAAGCGACTGCAAACATGTTTCATACTCTATTCAAGAAGATTTAGGAGGAAGAACAAGGGCCATAAACATACTGGAAAGAAGGACACTTCATCAAGATACCAAAGAAAGGAGATCTGAGCAATGTGAGAACTACATAGGCATCACACTACTGGCAGTATCAGGAAAATGTTGCAACAGTGTTGCTGAACAGGATGAAAGATTTTATAAAAGGTATTTTCTATTTGGCTACTAATACTACTACTACACACTACTTATATCTATCGACATCGATAACACACACACACACCACAAAATGATATTAGACTATTTTGGTAAATTAACTCATAATCCCTTTGTTTCTCTTTTTTGTTTCTTATTAATTCTAGAAAAAAGTAAACCGTCAAACACCAATCAATAACATAGTTACACTTGGATTTGAAAAATATATTTGTATACAACAACAACAACAACAACCATCACCATCAGCACTACAACAACCACAATCACCATCACCATCACTACCACAACAACAACCACCACCACCATCACCACAACCATCACCATCACCACCACCACAACAACAACAACAATTCGATGGAAATGTTTCTAAATTCAATCATATTTTCTATTATATAAAACATCATGATATTGCTATAGATGATTTAATTAAATTTTTACAATCAGAAATGAAATCTAATTCTACATTGAATATATTTATTGATTATTTAATTAAAAATATTCAATTAACCGGTATTATCACTGGTAATGAAATGAATCATTTGAATGAAATCAATAATAATTTATCAATTAAATTCATTAAAAAATCAATAAAATCAGAGAATACAAAAACTAATGATACTCAATTATTGATTATCAGTAATAATAATAATAATAATAAACCAATTACTGTAAATAATTATGTAACCGATTATATTCAACCAATTAAAACTGAAAAATGTTTAAATCTAATCAAACATGTTAAAGCAATCGTTCGTATAGTAAGTGAATTTCTATTAGTTTTTTGTATAAAAACAAATGTGATTTCATCATTTCAATAGTTGAAATCATGAGTTAATTGAAGATAGACCACAGTGGAAAACCTGGAAGTATTGGACGATCGTTTTGCCTTAATATGGGACAGTTCAGCAGTACGCATCCACGATCCCACCACCTCACGTGATTCGAACCCAGGACATATCAGTTTCGCGCGCGAGCACTTAACCATTAGACTACTGAGCCGGCATTCTGAGTTCGAGGCGGACCGTGGATGCGTACTTCTGAGGAGCCCTATATTACGATGAAACGGCCATCTAGTGTTTCCAGGTTTTCCATAGTTGTCTAGCTTCAATTAACCCGTGATTTCAACTGTTGAAATTACTAAAATCTCTATAAAACCCTTTCTGATTTAATTATTTGTTGAATTGATAAGTTATAACTTACTTGGCGCTGGGGTTCAGAGTGATCAGGAATGTGTCTGATCCCGGGGTGGAGGTTCACTATTGTATCTTGGTGGGTTAAAATTCAGGATGAACCGTAATCGGGTGAATACGGGTGTGTAGCTTTGTCAGTAATAAAAATTTGTAAATTAGACCATTAATAAAAATCTGGAAATACTAAATGAACGTTTTGTCCTAATATGGGACTATTCATCAGTGCGTGTCTACGATCCCGCATACGGGATTCAAATCCAGGATATATCGGTCTCGCACATGAACACTTAACCTATAGATCATTAAGCCGGCATCCTATGGTGTTATTGTCTAAATTCAATCAGTTCACGATATTGCACGACTATCTTCAATTGTCTGAGGTAGATACCTGTCTCTACCCAACACAGATTGGACTCTACTGGTCATGGCTTCTCACTAGAACTCCACGAAATCCATCTTGAAGCCAGTCACTATTGAGCACATGATAATTATTATTAAAATGGGGATTTGTGGGAATTGTACTGAGTTTAATTGTCGGGTAAAGACAAGTGTCTACCTCAGACAATGGGTGAATTGTTGTGCAAGATCATGGATCGATTGAATTTAGACAGTGACACTACCTGATGCAGGCTCAGTAGTCTATAGGTTAGGCGTTCGCATGCGGGATCGTAGACGCACACTGCTGACGAGTTCAATGCTTGGACGAAATGGTCGTCCAATACTTCCAGGTTTTCAATGATGGTCTAGCTTACATCGACTCATGAGGTCAACTATTAAAATCATTACAATCTTCACAAATCCCCATTCTAATTTATTCATTTGTCAAGCGATTTCGATATGTTCATTTGAATCAAAGGCATCTGATTATAGTGTCCGGTTATTGGTGATTCACCTTATACTAATCTGACCAATAGCACAGTGATCGTGAAAAATAGCCGAAGGCTTCAATACCTATTTGTTCATACATCATATTTGCCCTCTGTGATCAATCACAATTCAAAGTCAACAAGTAGATCTACCTTGTATTATTGGATTTACATAGTGAACAGACCATAACACACTAAATATAAGAAATCATAAGTTGTGTGCAGCAAAGCCATAAGGGATATAAAATGACGTAATAAATGGATGATTATTTAAGGAGCGATCAATTTCTACGTAGAATACTTCTGAAAGTTCCATCTGTCCCATTTATTTAGTCTGATCTAACAAAGTGTACAGCTATTTTGTCTTATTTTATAGAACTCTTCAATAATAGTCACAAGCATAACCTACAGAACCAGTGGCATGTATAACACTTTTAGGTCACTGTGTTGGAATACAACTTCAAATCAATTTGCATCAAGCCCTATGTCTGATTTAAGATCGTGAACTCAAATCCCTAGTTTTCCCGTTACAATATGTGTACATATACATATAGTCTATTTTACTAATTACCCAATGATATTGATATGCATCAGTAAAGATAAGAAGTGATTGACTAACAAGCGTAAACAAACACTCAGTTTACTAAATATTGTGATAATATAATGCCTTGAATTCTTTTCTACTAGTGATTCGTATTCCAATTTCATTGCGAACTTGTGTTGTTGTGGTTTCTGATTCTGATATTGATATATAAGCTTCCTAAAAACAAGCGAAACGGCTTTCTTGAATGAGAAGGGAGCTTTTCTGGGTAAACCAAACTGAGAAATATATGCACATTTATATATCTATCCCTTAGAATGTTAAATGACATATTCAACCATTGGTTGGTCTCTGGTTTATTAAGAAAGTCTTGGCTAATTGAGTAAGCTTTTTGTTTGATGGATATATGAATGGCTAAACGTAACGTAATTCTATTTCTTTATATGAACTAGTAGTAATTGTGTTAAGTAAACTGTTATGTGGTTGCCAATTTTTGATCATAAATCCTGTATGTGTATAACTTGATCCAGCCTGTGCTTAGTGTATCGAGTCGTAGTATTATACATCCATCATTCTATAGTCGTGGAATGCAAAAATATTATACTTGTTTGTTTCTTGAAATCATGAACCGATCATTGTTAGAACACCATTGAGAACCTGACAGCACTGAACGATCATTTTGTCGTAGTATGGGTTTTGTCAGCATCGCACATCCATGACGCTGCACGTGGTAGTCTAACCCGGGACCTTCTGTTCTATTCACAAACGCTTGACGTTCAGACCAGTAAACCAGCTAGTGCTAGTGTTTAACTTCAATCAGCCCATGAAATTCAGCGACTGTCTTCGATTGTTTTTTGGTAGGTAATTGCTTTACACCAGACATGGTCGAATTCCACTATTCATGTCTTCTCACTAGAACTCGGGAAATTTTTTCTCGAATCTAGTGACCATTATTTTTGTTTGTGTTTTTTTGTAATAGAAAATATTAGAATATTTGGAACAATGGAAGAATACAACCATATTAGCCGTAAAAGAGGAAGTTATAGTTAGAAAAACTGAAATAGACGATGAATATCAACTGCAACTCAAACTGCATGAACCACGTATTCGTCGGGTGAAAGAAGTAAGTCAACTTTTAAAAGAAAATTAACTAATAAATGTGTTTTTCTATACATTAATAACACGATCAGTATCCCTACTGATTTACTTACTTATGTCTGATACCCTTTGAATAGCATAGGCCACCGACTAGGATTCTACAACCTACTCTGTCCTGAGTTCCCCTTTACAGTTTTTTTTAAAGTACTGTCCATATGTTTTGATATCGCAAAGCCCATCCAAGGATATTATGTGAGCTTTCAATTTCCCGTAATCACCTACAGTGTACATTATAAATTCGCAAATTGCTTACCAGGAAGGTTCGCCTGTGAGAACATTTTGTACCGCAGATTACACACATCTTGATCATTAAGACGTTTATCATAAGAATGGTAAGCGAAATTCTTAATGTGGAAGGAAGCCGTACCACATATGAGCAGTGGCCGCACAGTTTCAAACTCAGCATCCGTTAACCTGCGCATCCATGAATTATTTTGGTACCTCAGGGAATTGCACTCGTGATTGTGATGCACATTCCCACGCACAACAGTCCAATACCTGTCTATAATCTTACAAAACATGAATGCCGGACATTGCGTGTTCATGGAAGCCCTTCGTGAAAAAAATTATAATTACATTAACCAAATTACCTCCTCCGTCTAATCCTCTGTGACGAACCGCTAGACCTTATACGCCCATTTCTCCAACACATAAATTTAATATACGAATTCTGATCTCTGCCCGTATGCGAATCTCTCACTACATAATGATTGTAAGTCGATCTTTCGAAAGTTGCGATAGCGGCCTTTAACGCTTCAACTGATGGGAACGCAACGAAAAACAATGTTGTCAAAAGCACTTTCTCCGTTTCTGTGACGTCAGAAACACTAGCGCTTGTACTTGACAAGTTACTCTCCTCCATAATGACGATTAAAATGTACTTCGTCGACAAGTACTAATATTTTATAACAATTTTCAAGGCATAACTAACCAATTAAAACGAAATTTAAAACTAGCCATTTCATTGGACGAAAAAAGGGATGAAAAATATTGTAATTTGGGGGTGGAAAAAATTTTGCAGTAGGGGGGGAATTTTAAAAAAGAATTTTCAAAAATTGCCGGGTGGATAATAAAAATCATCTGCCTCAATTTCTGGAGCACTGTGTTCTTTAGTCTGCTTCATTTCCAGTCACTATGATGATTCCAAGTTAGGACTTGCTTTGTGGTTCATTTTGATTATTTCAGCGATGTGCGTTCTATCCACTTCGTCTTTATTGACTACTCTACGAATGTTTGTGAGTAGTATTGTTTTTTTTTAAACTGGCGTGATTAAGGTATCAATTTTGGTGTGTTATTACACTATAAACTATTGTAGTGAACGAGAATACAAGTTGAGACAATCGAATACGAAATTAAAGAGTATCTTAGTAAAATCGGAGGACCATATATAGTAAATACTTTATTTGCAAAATGTCAGTCAATCGTCTCAGACTTCGTTGTTTTTTCGTTTCCACACTAATCATTCTCTGTTCTCGTTCGCTTTTCTTGAATCTTCTTAACGTTCTATCACTAGGCATTTCACATTCAACTGGTGATGTATACTACTTATATCTGTCGACATCAGTAGCACACATCACACTACTACCAACTGTATAGCTGACAATATTTATCTCCCAATGAAATAGGTACTGTTGTGATGGTGTACTCAAGTGTGGACAATCAAACGTTTTTGAATACAAAATTACCGAATTTCTTAGAACCATATAGTAAATAATTCATTTGTAAAATGTCAATCAATCGTCTTAGACTTCATTGTTCTTTCGTTTCTACATCAATCATTCTCTGTTCTCAGTCGTCTCTTTTCTTTAATCTTCTTAATCTTCTGCCTCCAGGCCTTTCACTTTGAAATGATGATATATACTCTTTATATCTGCCGACATCAGTAGCACACATCACATTGTGATTGTATACAATGCAGATAATTAGCTCTGATCAAGTTGTGTAAAGTCTCGGCTTCTAACCAATAAGTTTCGTGTTCGAATCCTGTCATACCTATTCTAGTTTAGGCAACTAGATATTACTATTAATCCTCATACAATTAGAAAGATCACCAAAGTCCTACTACCCCCATGATTTGATGTGATTCTATTTGATGCATAAGTTACACATGAATTATTATAAAAAAAACGTTATTAACACGAGTACACTAATTAAAAATGGTGTTACAAACAGAAATGTCACAATCAGGTTACTGGTGTATTGAGTAGTGACATGAGACTGAATCTTTTAGAAAATGTCACTTTTTAAAAGGCTATAAATAACACTTAGTACTGAGTGCTGATCACCACAAAACGTAGGCTTAATATATCCTCATGATCGCTTACAACCATATACATATAGAAAGAGACTGTAAGTAATGGAATAGATAATACGAAGACGAAGGCTTTTTACTCAAATACTATTAGTCGACTGAGAGCTTGTGGGGATCTGTTCATCTAAGTTATCAACAAAAATAGTTAGTGGTAGTAATAATAATAGTGACACTAATTCTAAAACATGTTCCGAAAGTTTTAACTTTTACAATATTCGTCTTGTTTTAACACAAATGACTTATTGACTGACTAAAATAGAACTCCAGTTTAGTTTTTGATACTCAGTTGTACACAATAGTGAGATTAAGATAGTGTTATAAGAAGATAAAGATCGTCAAGACTATGCGAACATGTACCGAAATGGATGGTGGCTAGCAGTGGAACCTAGAACGCACGTTTCGTTCTGTTTGTGACTCGTCAGCTAAATGTATCTTCATCTCAAAACTCGAACCCAGTACAGTTCGCTTCAAATGTCATCACATTATATACTTAGTTACTGAGTCTAGATAGCCACTAACTTGTACAATCGGGTGAAGTTAAATTCTCTATATTTATAATACTTGTGACTTAAGACAATATCAAGGCCAGTAAGATACTGACCATTGATTATAAATATACATAAAATCAAATGACTTAATAAGAGTAGAAAATATAAATACATCATCCTCTATTGCTAAACACATCGTTGAAACAGGTTATAAGATTGATCTTATCTCAACTGTTGTGGTTTTGTACAAAAAAATGTCTTAATGGCGTATATACTAAGGTTTATTGTAGCCTTGACCCTATGAAAATTGAAAACCTTTTCTATATTTTAATGGCCTGATATCTGACCCCAATTAGATCGTATGATGATTGTTGTCTAAATATACATGTCACCAACCCTCGACTTAATTTGTGTTAGAGAATAATGGAACAAAATAAGTGAAATACAAGAATCAAGTTTGATTACATATTTTACGTACACTAGTTGATATGAACGGATAATCAGGGAAACGAAGCGAATAATGCGAAGAGGAGAGAGCGAAACGAAACGAAATGACGCGTAGTGGAGAAGACGATTGAGCCAACTCTATTTTATCAAGTGTGCCTCAATATTTATATTCAAACAAGTATAAATTACAAATACACGATGAAAAGGGTAAGTAATTAACACACATATGATCACATAAAAACAGTCAGGGTTAATTGGCAAATAAGTGACAGGGTAAAAATATGGCTTGAGAAGAATAAATTGATTGGTCTGTCCAGAGGTTAGAATAACCTATGTAGCCTTGGCATAGTACCATCCACTACAATATGTTCAAAAAAACAGTTTGTTCTCACCATCAACTTACCTTGGTAATATGGTTTTATTATCCAGCGTGGTGAGTTTCACAAATATATTCTTTATCATATTTGTTTTCTTTCACCTTTCATTTGTCTAGTTGACCTTTCTTGTATAAATGATGTTAACAAGTATGTGTGTGACCGATTGTTTGAAATGTATTCCGCTAATCTAACATCACATTGTTCTGATAAACTTTATCTTCTTATATTGCACTATTCAAATTTATCAATTGAATTAATTGTTTTCAATGATGATATCGATCTGTCAACTTTTATCAGTATAAAGTAGTTAAGTTTGTCGAGTTTTATTTGTAATAATAAACGGAACGATATTAGACCACCATTGAAAACCACGCGAGAGATCATGGATGCGCATTACTGAGGAGTCCCGCACTAGGACGAAACGACCGTCCAGTCAGTCACCTACAACGTACGAGCAGACACATATATGCATCGGTCCAAGTTGCAATACCTCACTCATTACCGCAACAAGGTAAACATCAAATTCATAGAAGTAGTTAATTCACTGGTGGTAATATATAAATGAAAGATTGCATATAAGGAAGAAAAATTAGTTCGTAGAAAGAAAAGTGCAAAGTAATTTTAATCTCACCATTTAAGGGAAGACAGTGAGTGTATACACCTACACCATTGTGATCGATTCTGAGCCATGTCGCCAAGAGTCTCCAACCATTGGTTACAATAGTCGCGCGGACCCAAACCAAGTAGTGTGCATCTACCAACATGTCTCAGACTAGAAGTTAGTGACTTCACACACTGATGCCACGTTTTGGTTTGACCACCCCTAATTTTCTCCCAACCATTCTGTTAGGATGTGCAGAAAAATATACCAATAATTATCGTGTTAAGTCTGGTGGTGTCCTTGGACGTTAAATGGACATTTCCTATTGGTCGATATTTATTTCATTTGTCAAATATTGTACAAATGTTGTTTTCTATTTTATGGTACGATGTGGTCTGGTTGATTGCTATATAAATAGAGTATGTCTGAAATATAATGATTCATATCTCAGAGGCTAAGACTTGCGTTCCGGACTCAACTGGCTGGGCTAGACAGGGAAGCGGAGTCAATCAAGACTCTAGGTCGTTCGTAGGTGTATTACGTGTCACCGAATCGGTCGATAATAATACGCTGCTCTCTAATCTTTCAGTCAAGGACACAAAAATTGGCACAGGGTAAAAAGCGATCCAAGTTTAAAGTCACAACACATTCCCAACACTAATCAGCATTGCGCGTCGCGGTTTTCGGTGTTCAGACATACGTAACATGTGGCCCAACCATTTCAGTCGTTGGAGATTCACAACCTCATCAACTGATTTACCATCATCATTCACTAATACCCTGTGCCTAACCTCACTATTATTTACCCGGTGATCCCATCAGATGTGAGCAATATTTCTAAGACATTTGTGGTCAAATACTAGTAGCTTATGAATATCTTCTACTCTTAATGGCCACGTTTCGTAGCCGTAAAGTAGAACAGAGAGAACTGCAGCTCAGTATACTCGTCCATTAATTGAAAGATGGATATCTCGCCTTCACCATAGATGACGTAAGTTGGCAAAAGCCAAACAAGATTTTCGAATCCGTGCTGAGATTTCGTCAGACATCAATCCATTAGGGCTGATCAAACTTCCAAGATAAGTGAAATTGTCGACGCGTTCAACTACTTCACTCCAATGCTTCCAAGTTTTAAATGATAGTGTCTAATATCGATTCATTCATGATATCATCTTTTCTTATACTGAATATTTTATCTTTTTTTTCTTCTTTATAGGATGTAGCAAATGTAAGATTAACTGAATTAATTTTTCATCAAACACGTATTGAACGACATATAAGCTCAGTGAATTTAATATTAAATGAAATGAAAATTAATTCAACTAAAAGTTTAATTGAAAAATTAAATAAGTCTGAAGAACAAATGAATGAAGCAATTCAACAATCAATTGATTCAACCATTAGTAAAGCAACAAAATCATCAACGTAAGTAGTAAATTCAATCATAATTAATTGGGTCTTTTTCCCAGAGGAGGTAAAAGAAATTGGATTAAAGGTGGTCTTAGTGACCTGAGAGTGTGAATGCAGTGCTCAAGGGACAACTGCTTGAGATCAGTCACATACAACCTTTTTGTGAGTAATTTTCATGTTAGCTCCATATTTGTTGAGACCTTACCGCCGGAGACGGATATCCGTGGGATAAGGTGAGGTGTGCATTTTTAGGGTCAACCTTTCCTAAACCCACCCCTCCTTGTGGGAAGGCAGCATCGTTGTCATGCTGGTTGTCTGAAGGAAACACCTTACTGCCATCACAACTCTGTACAGTCAGAAGTACGACTTCGCCTTAGGACCTCGGCTTCGTTGCTTATAGTTTTACTGTTTTTCAATCAACCTATCTGGCATAGTAGGACCTTGAGGAACGATTGTTCCAGCCAGTATAGTTCGATTGATTCATTACGATAGGCATGCGTCAAGGTAGTAACAACGGTCGGGTTTTTTACCTAATCAGTTCAATTGTATACGTCTTGATTTTAAAGAAAACATTGAAATTCATAGAAATTAAACTGTGTCAATTGTGTCATAACTTATGGCTAATAGTATGTGATAAAACCACTCATGAGTTAACCAATGACACATTAACCAGTATTAGTGTCCTTGACTCCCTTCTAAGTCATCTCCTTGCTCTCATCGTTGAGTCCAGAATAGAGTAATCAGTCTCCACTATACGAATATTATATTTCAGATCGTACGTGGTTTATGTATACCTGACCACATCATTATGGTAAAATGATAAACAATAATTTTACAAGATCAAACTGAAAGTGGCTATGAATAGGGGAGTTTGTAACTTGTAGTGGCTCTGCTTCGTTAACCAATCACCCTCGTAACCGTTATTATATAAACCTCAACGGTGTTTGAAATCAGAAGGCAAAGAGCAAAGGCAACTACAGTTTATTAGCGGATATCTCAGACCACAAAGCTATGAGCACATCGAACGGATTTGAAACAGAGCGGCGAATATGTGTGTGTGTGTGATCAAATACAGAGGTGAGTTTCTAGTTAAATCGAATAAGGTGCAGCTAAGCAAGGCGAAGGTTAATAATAGGATTTGAGATCGTATACACAGGAGGAAGAGAATGAATCATGAAGTGATATTTAAGCATTCAACACTTAAGCTCGAGTTTATCATGTGATCTAATAATCATAACGGTACAAAGACATATATGTGAATTGTTACTATTCAAATGACATTGTCTGTTAAGTAAGTTAATAAAAGATCTTAACTAAAATTAGCCATAATCGAAATTGGTTGTAAGATAGTTGCTATAAGCTAATAGATGAGGAATATGATAATAATAATAATAATAATAATAATAATTAATGCGTCAAATGAAAGCAGTTTATGATGAATAGAGTTATGAAAATATGATAATCTGGTTGCTGAATAATTATGAATAAGAATATATATCAGAATAGTCCATAAAATAGTTCCGGAAGTGACTATTGCTTTAGTTTTTGTTTGGTGTAGTTTCACTCTTTGAGTTGGATAGTTTGATTGTGGAGCTTATATTGCTCGTCTGAATAAAACAATCATCAGTATAAACTCCAGATCAAAGAACGAAACTTTATTTAATGAATTAGTTTACTACGAGATGGTATGGTTAACCCCCATGCTCAACCGTCCTCCTTTATCTAGGCTTGGGATCAGCAGTATCCCCATAGGGGCTCCATGTGGTGTTAGGTTACATTATTAATCATAACAAATTTTCCATTGGATTTGATAATATTAACCTAATTCACTTTATTCATTAATAAAGTTTTTAATTATAAATAACAATCAAAATTAATTGATAAACTTGATTATTCTTGCTTTCCCTATTGTCCACCATTTGGAAACACTTCAAGATTATTATTATTACGAAAACGTATAGAAAGCTTTGCTGAATCTCATACTCAATGTGTACGTCATGCATTGAAAGAGTTTCGTCAAAATTTTGAAAATCAAATACAAACTTTAAACAATTCCAATTTAAAATTGATTGAATCATTAGAGTAAGATTTAATGAACGAACTATTGAATCATTATAACTATTATTATTATTATTATTATTATTATTATTATTATTATTATTATTATTATTATTAATGGTTGAGATCATGAGTCAGTTGAAACTAGATCACCATGGAAAACCTGAAAGCGCCGGAAGGCCGTTTCGTCCTACTGTGGAACTCCTCAGTAGTACGCATCTACGATCTCAACTATTAAAATTACTATAATATCCATAAAACCCCTTCTGATATTATTATTATTTAAAGCATGTTTATCTGAAAATGTTTGTATATATATATATATATATATATATATATATATATATATATTAGATGGTGGTTGGAAGTAGTTGATAGGAAACTTGGACCAGGGTTTCGTGTTACTTGGCACTCGTCAGCAACGTGTATCTGTAACCTTGAGGGAACTGGCGCTCCCTGACGGGTTCGATCCCGAGTCACCCAGCTTCTCAGTCAGTGACGTTACCACTGAGCTATTCGGGTCGGGTCCGGGGTTTCCTGTCGACTACCTCCAACCACCATCGAATCTCAATATATAGTGCACGCAGTGTCGAGTCACCTAGACTGGTGGCCACATTGCATCATGTTCTATAGCATTCGATCTGCACTAATAATAAGGACTTGACACACATGACATTGATCACCACCCAGTGATCAATCAATTGTGATATATATATATATATATATATATATATATATATATATCACGATTATATCTTAGCAGGACAATCTCGAAAAATCAAGAAGGAAATTACAGTTATATCAAAATATTTTGAGACTTCTTAATAATGGACATATAAAAACTTGAGAGAAATCTAACTAAGAACATTCTGGTCTCGAAGTTACTACCTTCAGACCTATAAAGTTGAATTCTGAAGTTGTCTGAATTTAATCTATTGTGTATTTGTTGTGTAATCTCATTTGTCATACGTCTACTCTAGTTGATCTCCGATGGTGATGGTTTCTCTCTAGAATTTCATAAATTCTCAAGCCTAGAGCTTTAGATTCTTAATATGCTGCGTATAACTTGAGCACTCGACGCTAGAACTCTCCCAAGTCGCAAATGAGAAGACAGAAGACAAGTGAAAGGAATGTTATTCCAAACAGTGTCAATTATGATACAAAAAATGTAAGGTATTTATAATTTTTAGCAAAAAGGAAATTATTATTATAGTCCTCCAATCTGCATATAGGGGGTTATTAGCGTTTTTCCAATAGGGAAGCTATACGAAATGATTCTGGAATATTCTCCCTAAAGATGATTGGATGGGATATCTTCAGCTCTTTCTGAGCTTCTTAGACCTTCATCGAGTTTACCAGTGAACTTTTCTCACAGATACTAAATGAAATCGAACTTAACCGATGGAATCGCATTACGATTGTATGATATCGTGAATTGATTTGGGTTGGGAATATGAACAATTAATTTTTGTCTCTATAGTACAAAGGTAACTCTCGAACAGTGAAATGTGAGAATTCTAGATCAGATGCCTGACGAGATTGTAGATGAATACTGATAAGAGGTCTTAAAATAGAACGAAACATCTCTCATTTTTAATGATTGTTTAGGTGAAGTTAATGATTTATAATATGAATCCTCTCCAAATTGAACAATTTGTACAAATATCTCATCTAGTTTTTGGTTGAGATCATGAACCGATTGATGTTAGACCACCGTTGTAAACCTGGAAGCACTGGACGGATGTTTCGTCCTATTGTGGGATTCCTCAGCAGTGCTCAACTTCATGGATTAGTTGATGTTAGACACTAACACCATTGGATCCCGGCTTAGTGGTCCAGTAGGTTAAGCGTTCACGCGCAAGACTGAAGGCCCTTGGTTCGAATCCCGCAAGCGGGATCGTGGATGCGCACTGCTGAGGAGTCCCACAATAGGACGAGACGGCCATCCCGTGCTTTCAAGTTTCCAACGGTGGTCTAACATCAATCAGTTCATGATCTCAACCAAAAACTTAATAATTCGCACAACCCCTGTACTGATATCTCATCCAGATTGTACATTTTTTGTAGAACTGACATGAAGCAATAAAAAATCTTAATATTAAGGAGGACTTTTAGAAAACATTGGTTCATTCATAATGAACTAGCATTTTTGTATAAAGATATCATCAAAGTGTATATATGAAAGGAGAAAAATTGTAATTGTCAGTATAGGTTTGTGGAGATTGTTGAGTTTTTCAATTTGGATCATTAACCGATCAGTGCTAAACCACCATCGAAAGCTTGGAAACATTCAAGGGCTGTTTTGTCCTGGTATTGGACTTCTTAGACGTGTATAATCATGATCCCGCATGGGGAACTCGAACCCAGTATCGTCGGTCTCGCGCGCAAACACTTAACCTGCAGACCACGAAGCTGTCATCCAGCGGCGTTAATGTCTAACTTCAATCAATCCACGAAATTGCGCCATCATCCACCATTGTCTTCAGTGAGTTACTCATGAATTCAACCATTAAATTGCTACAATCTTCGCAGAACTCCTTTTCTGATAATAATCATCATGTGCTCAGTAGTGACTGGCTCCAAGAGGTATTTCCTGGAGTCCTAATGAGAAGCTGTGACCAATGGAGTTCAACTGTGTTTGTTGTGAGGCAGCTGACTTACAAATAGTACACCAACATGCAATTCAATCCTGTAAAACGCTATCTAAACTCTTTAAATTTTCAAATATTATAAACGAACAATTTAATGTTTTGCTTTAAAAATTTCAAATGAACTAAAGTGTTAAATGAAAATACTTCATATAGTCTTAAACCTTGATAAATTTTTTAGAATGGATAGAATATTGGACAGGTTGGGACTCTTAATTGTGACCTATGCTACTTATTTCGGTAAATGTAAGTAGCATGTAACATCAATCAGAAGTAGTATGCCTAGTAGCAGAAAGTTGAGAAGATCCAATTGAGGAAAACCGGAAGAGCAACAGCGAGTAATTGTAATAACAGCAGAAATCAAACATTGATGGAGGGTTTGTATTCCTAATGTGTTTAACTTCTTACTGTCTACCGGGTTAGAGAGAACTTGTTTGCTAAATCAATAGATATAGAGGTGGACTCATGTTGATTTGTTGTCGGTCAATGCGTGACATTGATCAGTGTATAAGTTAGTAGTCTACTAGGCGTTAATGATATTCATATTACTGAACTGAATTTATTTATTTATTTGAACACATACATATTGGTACAAAGGGGCACCGAATACATATGCGCCACACAAGTCACTTGATTTATGTGTGAGCTGTGATGCTGCACGAGTGCACAGACCAAAGCAGGTGGCTTTCTTAGGGGCAACAACTCTAGCCTTAGACCTAAAGGTTTGATCCACAAGTCAACGGAGCAACGTAAGGAGATGCAGTCCCATGGTAGCTGGTGACCAGCAATAGGTTCATAAACCATTTGTTCCTTCAGGATCATGGAGCCCATGTTCACTATTGGTTTGGGATCAAGGTTTTCCAACTCCTCTAGGTGGATCTCCCGTATCCATCAACCCGGGTAAATCCCCTGGCGGACATTCTCTTTCCTTCCTCTCAATTTCGTAACCAACAACCATGGTGCGAGAAGACAGTGAATAGGACTTCCCTTGGAGTAGTTTTACGCACATGGCCATATAAGAGCATTTGGATATGGAGAGTGGACTATCACCATTCTCGGTTGTAGCAGGGTATTCGAGGGCAGTGAACTATATACAATGGTTTAATTCCGAAACATATGATAAGACTAAAGATCACAACAGAATTTAAATTTAATAAAGATGTTCACACTCTAAATCATAAATTGATCTTAGCCAGAGCATTAACAAAAACCTAGAAGCATTCGAAGGAATCCTATACTCAGACGAAATGACTATCCAGTGCTTCTGAGTCTAACTAAGATGAGTTCATGATGTTATGTATGAAAATTTTACAATCTCCACAAATTGCCAAGATAAAGGTGCCTTGTTCTTGTTCTTGTTCTTCTTCTATAATAAATAGACTTTTTATTGATGGAGGCAATTTTTCAACTATTGAAGCTAAAAAATACACAATCACATTAAATCAATTAAGTAGAACAATTCAATTATTTGAAGAAGAAATTATTGGTCATATAGAATCCATTGAAAAAGAACGTCAATTCATAACCGATAATAAATTGAAACAATTTGACACCTATTTAAAACCATATTTAGCTGATGTTATTTATATGGAGAATATGATACGTTGTATAACCAATACACAAGTAAGTTAAAATTGTTTATGATGATTCTCTTTTATTTTATACAATCCATTATGAACGACATCTAAACACCATTTTGAGATCCCATGATGCTTGTACCATTGGAGACATTTTGCTGAACACAGTGTCGAAAGTCAATTCTCTTGGTGTTATCTTTTCCTCTGATCTCTTTTGTTCTTCTCATGTTTTACTGTTATCGAAGAAAGTTTTCCATCTGACTTACTACATAATGCGATTGCATGCTCTTGGAATTACTCGTCATTTACTCTTTCAGTTTGTCAATTCTTGCATATTACCTATTATTCCTTTCCGGGCTTTTGAGAAAAGACTTTGCTGTATTGCAGAGAGTGCTGAAGGCAGTTAGCAAGGTGTGTGGTAAATCTTTCGAAGTCATAATTAATATGGTTGTGGATAGACATCTAAAGTCATACAAACTCCTGGCAGGTGTTATTTTATCAGATACTGGCCATCCCCCTTTCTCTTATCTTTCTCCTTGTATATCTTCTGGTAGAACGAGACGTCAATGCATTAAAATTCATACATGCAAGCCAAAATATAAATGTTCATTATTACTTTATCTAGCAAATATACCCTGTGACGAACAGGTTGTTAGAGTCAACCAAGTCAATAACTTGCATTCATAACATGTCTCTAATTTGAAAAGTTGTACAGTTTTTTCGGGATTTTTTTAAAACCTTTTTTCCCCTTTTTTCGTCTGTTTTTTTTGTGTGTGTAAGAAATCTTTACAAAGGTCAACATATTCTTGTTGTTGATATGGAATATTACAGTTGATCAGTATTGGTCAGAATAGGTGGATCATGAAAAGGATTTCACAGTGTTTTTATTTTAGCTAGAAAAATATTCCGATTTATGAATAAAAGTAGAGCCTAAGATTCAAATTTCATTCTATTTGAGACTTATCAGTTATATGTACATTAATTCTACTGTTTATGTATACAATAAAACTCGGATGCAGTTCAACATGTTACTTACTTACTTACGCCTGTTACTCAACGTGGAGCATAGGCCACCCACCATCACTCTCCATCCAACCCTGTCCTGGGCAATCCTTTCTAGCTCTTTCCAGTTGTTATTTATGTATAGGTAAGTTAGTGGTTAAATGTACTCAGTAACATAGCGGATAACGCGGTTGAATTTGAAATTGGATCAAGTTTCAGTATCACTTTCAGCAGCACCCACGGACCTCCTAATCGATGCTGGCCCACCAACAATTGAAGAGGTCAGCATGGCCATCAGACAAATCAAGAGTGATAAAGCAGTAGGACCAGACAACATTCCAGCAGAGGCATTGAAAGCAGATGCAGCAGTAACTGCAAAGATACTCCACATTCTCTTCAATAAGATTTGAGATGAAGAACAAGTACCAACAGACTGGAAAGAAGGATACCTGATCAAAATACCAAGAAAGGGAATCTCAGCAAGTGTGAGAACTACAGAGGCACCACTTTTCTCTCAATACCAGGAAAAGTCTTCAACAGGGTATTGTTAAACAGAATGAAGGACTCCGTAGATCCCAAACTTCGAGACTAATAGGCAGGATTCTGTAAGGATAGATCGTGTACAGAGCAAATCGCAACTCTACGGATCATTGTGGAACAATCAATTGAATGGAATTCATCACTCTACATCAACTTCATTGACTACGAAAAAGCATTTGATAGCGTGGACAAAAAAAACTATGGAAGCTTCTTCGATACTACGGCGTGCCTCAGAAGATAGTCAATATCATACAGAACTCATATGATGGGTTACACTGCAAAATTGTGCATGGAGGACAGTTGACAAAGTCGTTCGAAGTGAAGACCGGTGTTAGGCAATGTTGCTTACTCTCACCCTTTCTCTTTCTCCTGGTGATCGACTGGATCATGAAGACGTTAACATCCGAAGGGAAACGCGGGATACAATGAACACCTAAGATGCAGTTGGATGATCTAGACTTCGCAGATGATCTGGCCCTCCTCTCATAATCGCAACGGCAAATGCAGGAGAAAACGACCAGTGTGGCAGCAGCCTCAGCAGCAGTAGGTCTCAATATACACAAAGGGAAAAGCAAGATTCTCCGATACAACACAGCATGCACCAATTCAGTCACAATTGACGGAGAAGATTTGGAAGATGTAAAAACCTTTACGTATTTGGACAGCATCATTGATGAACAGGGTGGATCTGATGCAGATGTGAAGGCGCGGATGGGCAAAGCAAGAGCAGCATATTTACAACTGAGGAACATCTGGAGCTCAAAGCAACTGTCAACCAACACCAAGGTCAGGATTTCCAATACAAATGTCAAGACATTTTTACTGTATGGGGCGGAGACCTGGAGAACTACGAAAGCCATCATTCAGAAGATACAGGTGTTTATTAACAGTTGTCTACGTAAAATACTTCAGATCCGTTGGCCGGACACTATCAACAACAATCTACTATGCGAAAGAGAACAAACCAGATCCCAGCGGAGGAAGAAATCAGGATGAAGTGCTGGAAGTGGGTAGGACACACATTGAGGAAAGCACCCAACTGCGTCACAAGACAAGCCCTCACATGGAACACTCAAAGCCAAAGGAAAAGAGGAAGACCAAAGAACACATTGCTCTGGGAAATGGAGATAGACATGAGAAGAATGAACAAGAATTGGATGGAACTAGAAAAGAAGGCCCAGGACAGAGTGGGTTGGAGAATGCTGGTCGGCGGCCTATGCTCCATTGGGGGTAACAGACGTAGGTGAGTAAGTAAGTAAGACGAAATGAACATTAAAGACTCCACTCCACTTATTGTTTCAACTTTAGCACAGGTAAACCAAAGACGGCCACATGAAGATATTTCATCAATCTAATGATTGATTGATTGTTAAAATAAATCCTATTTGTACATTAAAACTTAATAATTGGGATGCACAAAATTTATTAGATTCTTCGTTTGTGGACATTCGAGAATATAACACAAAATCACTGGTAGTAGATGCTGTTACATACAATTTTATGATCTCTACCATTTCATGATCTGCAGTTTATCGTAATTCTGTCCTTTGGATTCTTTAATCTCGTCCGTTTTCTTTAAAATATATTTCTTGAGTTCAGCTTCCCATTAAAGTGATCACTACTATCGTTGTTTTCACTTGTCTATCTTAAATGTGATCAATTTCCTCCTTCATCTTTTTTTATATGTACGATGTACGATAAATTTAACATATATTCATGTTCGGTCTTATGTTTTGATGTTATTCGGTTAGAAGCAGTCAGCAGGAAACTATGGAACGAGATGCCCTGGTGTTTTACACTTATCAGCAAGGTGTTTTTTAGAATCTCAAAGGAATTGATACTCCCAGTGTTATGATTTTTCTTATTACGACCTAGCCACTCTTATTACTTAATATTCTTGGACACTACTTCATTCAAAAAGTCCACAAATTAGAAGACGGTTGAACAGGAACGTATTTATATTCTAAATAATAAAGGTGGATGGAAGTAGGAATTACAATAAGAAAAATGTAACCATATTTGTAATTTTTTAGATAAGGAGATTCTAGAATCTTCTCCAAGGATCCACCAGCACTGATTGGTTAAGAAATAACCAGTCAGCGTACCCTAACACAATTCTTCACGGAACATGCTTTAACCCAATCTGTATCGCGGTAACACACAGTGAGATTTGTACCCTTGTCAATGTACTTTACAGATTAAGATGTTAACACTGAGATTATAGGGCACTAACTGACTTCCAGTAGGAGAGGTATGTCGATATATTGTTTGTGACTGATTGTTTTTAGTTCAAGTTTTGTCATACACTACAAATGTATATATGTTTATATCAGGAAGAAATCCTTGCTATGTATTCATAACAGTTCTCTCCTCTAAACTTTTCTCCTCTCTACGGCTTTGAAATATTATAAGATCTCTCCATATGTAGCTTGAAATATCAACCACTCAACACATTCATCCAAGAATTGGTAACTTCATTTAGATTTTTTCTTACCGTACTGTTTCGTTTGGTGTTATATTTCAATCAGTTAGTCAGTCAGCTACAACGTAGGACCAGGCACATATATGAATCGGTTCAAGTTGTCATACCTCATTAACACAACAAGATGAACAACGGATTCATAAAAGTAGTTAATTCAGAGGTGGTAGTGATATATAAAATAAAGATTGTATATAAGGATATAGTACAGAAAGAAAGAATTAGTTCGTAGAAAGAAAGATATAAAGTGATTTTAATCTTATAGTTTAAGGGAAGACAGAGAGTGTATACACCTACACCATTGTGATCGACTCTGAGCCATATCACACAGAGTCTCCGACCATTGGTTACGATAGTTACACGGATCCCAACCAAGTAGTGTGCATCTACCAACATATCTCAGACTAGAAGTTAGTAACTTCAATGACTGATGCCACATTGTGGTTTGGCCACCCCCAACTTTCTTCCAACCATCTCTAACACTTGTCAGTATTACGCGTTGAGCTGATCAATGTTCAAGCATACGTAACATATGACCTAACCATCTTAGTCGATCAAGATATATATGTATCTAAACATAAAATTGATTTTATTCATGATTTCAACAAAAAGATGTAACTCTTTCTCTCTCCTTTCCTTATTCTCTCCATTTGTGTATATATATTAACTAGGTACAAATCAAAGCACAAACTGAAGATAGTTCAAGTCAATCAAAATTATTAATCGGTCAAATTGAACAATTTCAATGTTTATTAAAATCACTTAATGAAACAAATCAAATTCTATCAAATACATTATTGAATATAACATTAGCTACTACTACCAATACTACTACCAAACTACTACTACTACTACTACTAATAATAATAATAATAATACATTACAACAATTAAATATGGAGGAGAGAATCATGCAAAAAGATTTAAGTAATAAAGCAATTGAATTACTGACTAGAATTTGTATCAATGCATCAGATCGTTGTGTATTTTTAAATTGTCTACGTAGTCAATATGTCAATGAGGATTATGTTGCAACAACTGATCCAAATGAATTATCCTATGAGAATATGATTGGAAATAATAAAGATAATTTAGTAAGTAATATATATAGTATTGTATAGAAATAAGTTATTGAATATATATGTGAACGAACTACTTTGACTAAGAGAAAACATTCGACAGCGTGGATAGCAGAACTATATGGAACCTTCTTTGATACTATGGTGTCGCAGAGAAAATCGTCATCATGCGGAATTCATATGAAGGACTACAGTTTAAAGTGTTTCATGGAGGACAACTGACAGATGCATTCAAAGTGAAGTCATGTGTCAGGCAAGGTTGTTTACTCTCCACCTTTGTCTTTCTTCTTATAGTTGACTGGATTATGAAGATCTCAACATCTAAGGGAAAGTATGGAATAAAATGGACAGTTTGGACAACTCTGTTCAAGTAAATCAAGGATTTCAGTTAGAATCGTAAAAGCTGCTATGATAAGATAAAAATCAAGAAGGCCGTTGACTAATTACACAATTTCCTTTACTTTCTAATCACGGAATCACTGTCTATGTAATTATTGATAGAGTGATTATGCCAAGATCAAGTACACACACACACAACTTTATAAAATATGAAATGACTTTGTCACAGCTAAAGTAGTTGACTTCTGAAATGACTTCTTAAAATGTAAAGAATGGTGAAAACTGTAACTGATCGAGTTTATTGCTATAAAATAAAGTATTCTACAAACTTACTTAATTACTCTTGTCACCTCTCCTGGAGGAGCATAGACCTCCCACCAACATTCTCCATCAAACTCTGTCCACAGCAATCCTTCCCAGTTGTTTACAGGTGCTATTTATTCTTTTGATATCTGCTCCTAACTCTCAAAGTAATGAATTACTTAGTCTTCCTCTTTTCCACTTCCCTTCAGGACTCCATGTCGGTGCTTTTCTCGTGATATCAGTCTGATAGTTTCCGAAGTGTATGATCTATCCATTTCCAACGTCTTTTCCTAATTTCCTCTTTATCTGAAAGTTGGTTTATTCTCCCACCATAGGATGTTGATGATGGTATCCGGTTAAAGGATATTGAGTATCTTGTGTGGACAACTGTTTATAAATACATGCACCTTCTTGATGAGGGTTGTGGTAGTTCTCGAAGTTTCAGCTCCGTACAGTAGAACTAACTGTCTTGATGTTCATATTAAAAATTTTGACTTTGATATTGGTAGATAGACAATTGTTTTGAGTTTTATATATTGTTCAACTGTAGGAATGCTGTCCTTGTTTTACCAATCCTTACCTTTACATCTGTATCAGATTCTCCTTGATCATTGATGATGTTGTCCACATAAGTGAAATTTTCCACCCCTTCCAGAGTTTCTCCATCAAGTGTGATTGGATTAGCATTATTCATGTTATTATTTGAGGATGTAGGGTTTTCCTTTGTGTACACTACACTGGTTGGTTATCATGACCCTCATTGATTACTACTATGTTTCCTATAATTTTCTTACTTTTTCATTTCATTACTAGACAGTAAATAAAACAAAACTACAATCGGTATCACAAAATCCTTCCATAAATATGCATCCCATTAAAACTGAACAAATCAAACAACCAACTAATCAATCATCATCATTATTATTAACTAATATGAATATACAAAATGCATTACAAATTAGTCGACCAGGACGATTATTCACTGATGATTCATGTATTCAACTTATACAAAATATATTCAATGAACATAATTCAATTGATGAGAATAATATGGAGAAAATGAAAAATATTACACCAAATCAATTGATTGACAATACGTCTAAACGTAATGATAATAAATCATGTAAGTGATTTGATGTTGTCAAGAGATGATCATTTCTAGGCGAGACTCTAATTTTAAGGACGAGCCAATCAGAAGCGGTTTAGAGATTTCAAGGTTACGGCGCCAACTTCAATGCTTCGTGCTAATGTACGATCGGTTCACAGGGAATTTTGTACAAAACGTGATAATTGAGCTGCTATAACGAATAAAACGGCGTGACTATAATTTGTGAACGAATCAATCAGGTATAAGATAATAGATCTCGGATTTGGGTGCGAAGGCGTTTCATCTATTTGACTAAATAGATTTCTGGCATTATAGCTTATGTCAGTTCGTGATGAAAACCCCATATATAATTCCTAACTAAGGCAAATTACGACAATTATTCCGAACTGGATAATAAAAGCACCAGTAACACTGGCTGCAGCCAGGTACTACAATATATACGGATATTTGGAGAGCGTACAGAATCCTACATAGGCTTGGTTATGCGAATAGTGTCGTTATCCACAAGTTTATTATTTATTTATTTCAACACAAATATTGGTACAAGAGGGCACCAAATATATATGCGCCACACCATATTTGTGTATGTGTGGGCTGTGATACTGCCCGGGTGCCCAGACCGAAGCAGGTGATTTTCTTAAGGGGCCACACCCCGAGCCTTTGACCTAAAGATCTGATCCACAAGGTAGTGTAGCATTTTAAGGAGATGCAGTCCCATGGAAGCCGGTGACCAACAACTGGTTCATACGCCATTTGCTCCCGCAGGATACTGGAGCTCATGTGCACCATTGGTTTGGGATCCGGTTAAAGCGCCGGACATTCGCTTTTCGTCCTCTCGTTTTCGTAGACAACACCCCCGCACGAGAAGGCAGTGAGTAGTACTTCCCTGTCAGAGGCTGTACACGCGTGGCCGTATGAGAGCATTTTAAGTGGGAGGGCGGGCCCACCTCACTCTTGGCCATACCAGGGCATTTGGGGGCCAAATAGGAACAATAACGGGGCGGATTCGCATGCATATAGCATAAAATTGTCTTTGAACCTAGCACACAACAATAGCATCATGCACTGTCCTATCGCCCTTGACAGATCAGGCAACTCGAAAGTCACAAGAACACCATCAGGGCATACGACAATCCAGAAGTATCATTTTTTGTACTCAACAATCGGATTGCACACAAACAATATGTAGTCGGGGTTGAAAGAGTATTTGAGACTTTATCATGACTCCAGATGTCGACTATTCTGTAGCCGTATGGATGAGTTCCTCTGCTATATGCGTTACGAATTTGGAGCCTCTGAGCCTCTTTCTAACACTGAAAAGTTTTTGAACCACGTATAAGAAGTGTATCCACTTTCTTTCTTTGGTTTCGTATAATATATTTTTACTCTATACTGACCGTTTGCTAATTGACTAATATTTCTCAACGTCACTTAAGATTCGTTCAAAGGTCGTCCATAAATTAGAGTCTCGCCCATTCCTAGAATCAAACATAATTGTCATGAAGTCTGGTATGTAAGTTAATGTATTAACTCAAGTCAGTTTACTAAATAAAGCATGAGGAGATAAAATGCTTTGATACGGCCGAGAGTGGGGAGAGTCAGCTCTCTTCCTATCCATATGCTCTTATATGACCACATACATACAACCACTCCAAGAGAAGTCCTATTCACTGTCTTCTCGCACAATGGTTGTTGTTTACGAAATTGAGAGGAAGAAAAGCGAATATCCGGCGCTCTAATCAGGTCAGTGAATATGGAGGATACACTTAGAGGAGTTGGGAAACTCTAATTCCAAACCAATAGTGCACATGGGTTAAAGGATCCTGAAGGAACAAATGGTGTATGAACCTATTGTTAGTCACTGGCTACTATGGGACTGCATCTCCTGACGTTGCTCCACTGCCTTGTGGGTTAGACCTTTAGGTCAAAGGCTTCGAGCGTGCCTCCCTACAAAAACCGCCTGCTTCGGTTTAGGCACCCGGACAGTATCCCAGCCCTCACATAAAATCTAATGATTTATTGCCTCCTTGTATCAATGTTTATGTGTTTAGATAGAATAAATTAAAACCACGAACTTATCTAAGTTGGACAACCATTGAGAACTTATTAGAACTGAATAAGTGTCTTGTTCTAGTATGGGACTCCTCAGCAATAAACCGCCCAGTACTTCGATGCTTCGAATGGTAATCTAGCTTGGATAGGCTTGTGGTTTCAGTAAACTTCAACAATCTCTAGAACTCCATAGATGTAGTACTGAAGAAGATCAAACACTGAAGAATACAGTTCGAAAAGAAGGAATTAGTTTGAAACGAATAAAAAGTGTACAATATAATGAAGCTCAAAAATAAGAAAGAAATAAAGTGTCATTCCGTTTACTTTAATGAGACTAAGTCTAAACTATATTACCCAAAATATTTAACCATTATCATATGAAGAATTGTACCCTTCAATGCATATGTATTGGCCATTTAAATTTTCCGAACGATGATTATAACTATAATTGACCAATCTCTTTTGGCATATATACAACTTGCTCGGATTGCTTTGATATTTCCATCAAGTCACAAGCATTTTAAGCAAAAATGGATGATGACTAGCTGTAAAATCCAAGACGTGTGTTTTATCCTTTTTGGTACTGAATTTATGTTAGATATACCTGTATTCCAGAGTGAGTTGATGTTCACTCGAACCCGGTAGAGTTCATTTCAAACGCCATCGTCGGTGACACTATAATTTATGGACGATCTTTGAGTGACGCTAAAGTAACCTTGAGAGTGTCCACATAATAACTAGGACCGAATGAGGGTTGTAAACCAGTGTGAGGAATTAGAATTATGATTTACAGTTGATGGTTAGGGTTAGGAATCAGATTTTGGGTTTTCATAATAAACTGACATCATCTTAAATCAGAAGGGGTTTTGTGGGGACTGTAGTAATTTCAACAGTTGAGATCATGAGTCAATCGAAGCTAGACCACCATGGAAAACCTGGAAACACTGAACTGCCGTTTCGTCCTATTGTGGGACTCCTCGGGAGTGCGCATCCACGACCCTGCCTCGCGGGATTCGAACCCAGGACCTATCACTCTCTCCGTCTAGTGCTTTTAGGTTTTCCATGGTGGTTTAGCTTAATTGACTCATGATCTCAACTGTTGAAATCATCTGATATGACAAAACTCTATTTCTCCAAATGGATGGGTGAATTTCGCACCAAAATCTGAAACCTGTTATTTTATACGTAATTGGTTCGTCCATTAAAAGTATAGTTTCGCCTCATCGTGTTATTCACCTAACAATTGCGTCTAACTAGTCACTGACTTGTGCAATCGGGCGAATTTTGATTCGTATATAATATTAGTTATTTTAGTCTTCCAATCGATTTTCAGGATTGTAGTTGATCATTGTCTACAGTTGATACTGTGTTGAATTCAATTTAGTATAATGAGATAGTAAGACAAGCAGCTTTTGTTATACACAGTTCAAACAGTGAGACCTCTTAAATTTTCTGAAGAATTTTGATCTATTAAAATGTAATCATTGCTTATGATGAAAAATATTATTCCTTACAATGTCGTACTGTTCGGCTGATATTCTGTAGGATATTTTAGATTTCCAGGTTATATTCTAGGTATATTTCCTTGAAGTTTTCCAGACAGTTAGTTGGTTCATTCCTTCTGATGTTTGTCGAGAAGCGTTTTCCAGCTTGCATCGCTTATAGTGCAAGCGAGATGTCTGTCTGTCAACCGAAAAACGACTGAACTGCTCAAAGTTCAGCTCTGGTACTAGTATTTAATCATCATTTTTTCCGAAAGATTTTTTGCGAACCACGGTACATCCGAAGAAGTATTCACCATGTTTGAGGGATTAAGATATCACCTAGGTTCGGTGAACGGGTCGAAAGTTAGAAACATAACAGAACAAGCTAAGCTATTGTCTCTACGCTCCAACCCTGATAACTAGAGGAAGAAGACAAGATTCAGCCGGGAAAATATATAATCCGACAAACAGATGGGAGAATCGAGAAAAAGCATGCAACTCATGTGTATATATATACATACTACAAAAATGTCCATGAAAATCGTCACAAGAAAGCGTACTATGGGAGAAAACTAACCAATGATGTTTGAGGTCCTTCCAGGTGGGTAGCACAAACCGAAAGTAAACGTGAACGTTTTTTCACAAAGATAAGAAATATAAATTTCCATAAACAGGTTACAAAAATAAGAAGTTTGCCAAGGGATATTTGAGGATCTAGCATCCCCGACAGTTGTGTTGAGATGAGGTTTAAGGTATTAAGCAGTGATAACAAGTCAGTTGGTAGGATAATGAATCTTCATTGAATGAAGCGGTTGGAACATATTTCATGTATGCATAACCCTCTTCCTGCTTCGACTGATAACGCTGGTTAGTGTAAAATTAAGTACTATGAAAACAAACCAAAATGTGGCATTATTCCATTAAGTCATTGACCGTTAGTCTAAGTCGTGTAGGTAGATCCAGACTATTAACTTGGGAAGAAGACAAACTAAAACGTGGAATCATTGCTTGAAGTCACTAACTTCTGGTCTGAGACATGTTGGTAGATGCACACTACTTGGTTGGGTTCTGCATGACCATCTTGACCACTGGTTGGAGACTTAGTGACATGACTCAGAATCGATCACAATGGTATAGGTGTATACACTCTCTGTCTTCCTTTAAACTATAAGATTAAAATCGCTTCATTTGTTTCTACTAACTCGTTCTTTCTTTCTGTACTATATTCTTATATGCAATCTATTTTGATATATTACCACCATTGAATTAACTACTTCTATGAATTTGGTGTTTATCTTGTTGTGCTAATGAGTGAGGTATGGCAACTTGTACCGATGCATATATATGCCTGTTCATATGTTGTAACTGACTGACTGACTGACTGACTGATTAACTTGGATTCTGTACAATAACTAAAACTAGTGCATGAAGATACTGATTAGAATAGTTCAAAATCTGTTATAATGGCTCAGATGCATTCACTGAATATTTCACATTAGATTTGCTTTCATGTATGACATTTTCATTTTATACTATCGAACCATATTTTTCTTTTAACTTTTAGACCTTCTCAATATCTTTATTATTGAATCTTATTGATTTGATCATGTTGTTACCCTAATATGGTGTGTTATTATTAAACTAATGCATATTTTCACCAATCTGTACATTGATTAATCACTAACTAATTTGAGTTTTATGAATATTTGTGGAACTTGTAAATAATGTTTGCTTGTTTGTTCTTTTAATTATCGATTTAAGTCTATCATGAGAAAAATTTCTTGAAAATTCTGTTAGTTGATCATTAATTATGAGATGATAGAGTATGTTTGTAGTTCAGACTAAGAATATTGTAAGGGTTATGATAACTGAACTGGATGGTTTCGTTATGAAGCAGTCAGTCAGCTACAACGTAGGATCAGGCACATTTATATGTATCGGTCAAAGTTCTCACACCTCATTAGCGCAACAAGATGAACACCGGATTCATAGAAGTAATTAATTCAGTGGTGTTAATATATAAAAGAAAAATTGTTTATGAGGAAATAGTGTGTGTGCTACTTATATTGACATAAGTAGCATATGATGTTAATCGTGAACAGAAGGTCTGGCAGCAGAGAAACAAGAGGATCGAATAGTAAAGAATGGAAACATGATGCATTTTGTATGAAAATACAAGAACAATGAAGTCTGAGTCATTATGAGACAATTGATGGACATTTTGCAAACTAAGCATTTACTTTATGATTGTTAGATTTTATTAACAAGTCTTGTAATTTCGTGCTAAATACATTCGATTGTTCACGCTGGTGTTCTTGTTCACTACAATAGTACAGGGAAAAGGCATTAGTTCGTAGAAAGAAAGGGAAGACAGAGAGTTTATACACCGATGCCACTGTGATAGATTCTGAGCCATGTCACCAAGAATCTCCAACCATTGGTTACGATAGTCACGTGGACCCCAACCAAGTAGTCTGCATCTACCATGACTCAGACGAAAAGTTAGTAACTTCAATGACTGATGCCATGTTATGTTTTAGCCGCCCCTAACTTTCTCCCAACATTCCAAACACTAATCAGCATTGCACGTCGTGGTAATTGGTGTTCAGGCATACAAAACACGTGGCCCATCCATCTCAGTCGATGAAGATTCACAACCTCATCAACTGATTTACCATCATCATTCCCTAATACCCTGTGCTTAACCTCACTATTATTTACCCGGTGATCCCAGCAGATGCGAGCAATATTTCTAAGACATCTGTGATCAATTACTAGTAGCTTACCAGTGAAGCTCTTATTGTTTGTATGTTCAATTGGTTTATTTTCTTTCCTGATTTGATTTTTGACATTGCAGTTGGTAATCCTTTTACTTAATGACTAATAGATCTGGTTGATTTTGATGTATTGATTAACTGATGCTTGATTGGAGTTAACATAACATGATGTTAGTTAATTATGAAGAAAGATTAGTAATTCACTTGTCTTTGAAGTACATACTGATGATATTGTTCAGAAGAACAATGAAAACTTCAGAACCAAACTATCCAGCTCCCCACAACATTTCCAACAGTCTCATCCTGAGCTATAAATATTCTTCATCACAGAAAAATTGACGGATTCTGTGTCATATTATGATTGGATGATTGCTTACTACACTGCTTAATGTAGCATGATTCCAAAAGTTTCCAGAGTACAACATTTATCAATAGATCCACAAATTTATTATTTGAATTCATGAGTCGATTAAAGCTAAACCACCTAGGAAAACCTGAAAGCACTGAACAGCCGTCTCGAACTAAAAACCATAAGCCTTGCGCGAGATCGCTTAACCTCTAGACCACTGAGCCGGTATCCGATGGTGTTAATGTTTTACTGCAACCGATCCATGATCCATGAGATAGGTATCTACCTCAGACAATGAATGAATGGTTGCGCAAGATGATCTTCAATCTTTCTTTCAGTTTTTAATTTTTAATATACAGATGAACTGTAGACAACCTTGAAGAATTCTTAGTCAGGTTTTAATTAGTCTCAATAAAGCTTTTGTAAATAGAAAAGAAAACAATAATGTTACAAAGTGTTAACAGATTTTATTTAATTAATGAATCATCTCAAGTCTTCTACAAGTTATTCTACCTGTATATCGTAAAAATAGTTATCTAGATTCATTTCAATGAATAAAGATTTCCGAATTTCACGAATGCTTTTAAGAATCTGACTAGATTTCTAAGACTCCCGCACAATGTTCTCAGTTAGGATTCGGTATTTAAGGTAGAAATCAAAAGTATAAGGTAGGGGTTTACATCATTCAGTCAGTCAGTTACTCAGCAAGAACGTAGAACTTCGTACGTATGTACATCAGTTCGAGTTACCACACCACATTAGCACAGAGATGCAGTTGTCGATTCAAATCCCATAGTCGTAGAAGTAGTAAAAGCATAAACAGTCATCGAAAACATTAGGTTTTGAAGATGTTACTCAAAGAGTATAATCCAGTGAAATAAATTTAGAAAGAGAAAAAAAGAAACAAGCAGAATTCAGGAGATTAGAATTTGTGACGACACAAAGAGTAGATGCGCCTGCGACACTCCAAATGCTTTTGAGCCATGTCATTTAAAGTCTCTAACCATCGGCTGCTATCATCTCGCGGTCCCCAACCAGGTAGTCTACACCTATCAACATGGCTCGGTCTACTTCTCAGTGACTTCATGGATTTGTGCCATGTTTTGGTCTGGTTGCCCCTAACTTTCTTCCAACCTACTCCTACACCATAAAACACCGCTCGGCGGGGCAGTCGGTGGTTGAGCATACGTGACACATATCCCAGCCATCTCCACTGATTGGGTCTCACCACTTCATCAATTGATTCGCCATCTTTACCTACTACCCGCTTTCTAACGACTGCGTTACTTACTCGATGGTCCCAGGATATACAAGCAATGCTTCGTAGACACCTATGATCAAATACTAATAACCTACGAATATTATTTACTCTTACCGGCCATGTTTCACTACCATGAAGTTGGACGGAACGAACTGCTGCACAGTAAACCCGTCCTTTGGTTGGTAGACTGATATCTCGCCTACGCCATAAATGACGCAAGTTGGAAAAGCTAGTCGAACCTTCTGTATCCATACTGAGATTTCGTCAAACGCCAGACCACAAAGTCAATGAGACTCCCAAGATGAGTGAAGCGGTTGACACGCTCAACTACTTCACTCCCTACCATTAGTACGGGTGTCGATGCAACCCAAGCTTCAAGCAACATTTTGCATTTCGAGGGAGAGAATCGCATCCCGAACATGTTTGCATTGTTGCTTAGAGTGGTCAGAAGACTCTTCATTTTGTCACTAACAGACCTTAGCCAATACACAAAAATTTATATAACCATAAGAATGAATTGTTTTAGATCAAAAACTTAACAGGAATTGAGAAATACACAAAGGTATTTTTACAACTCATTCTATGTAAGTTTTTAATTTTGCGCAAATAATGTAAAAATCCTTTTCACGATTCTGATTTGCTCAACCCTATACTATACATTTACATAAATATACATATTCTTATTTTGTTTTACCGGGCTAGATGAATCGACTAATTTCAATAGTAATAACAACAATAAACAAGTATTATTGGATGATAATCAAAAATTAGAAACACTCCCAGTTAATACATCAATAAAAAGTCATCGAGGTAAACGTGAGATGAATAGTTCAACCACAAATGGAATTGTACCTAAAACTAATAGACGGAAGAAAAAGTAAGCTTTATTGTTATTATTATTATAGTATTACATAGAATGATATTTGGAATAAACTAAGACGAATTTCAAAGATTTGCATAACATCTCTGTTATAATCCCGATGAGAATTATGACTGTCGAAATCTATTTATGAACCATTACGATACGTATATTCTTTATTGTATAGTTGTTATGTAACTAAACTATGTATATTCATTTTCCTCTTATTATAAGCTTCATTTTGACCCATAGGTTGTTATTATACGATTTACCATTCTTGAGTTATGCTCAGTCTATTGATTATAGTCTCCTACATTCACAGCCACATTTGACTAAATCTTGTACAAATGTTGTTTCCTGTTTTATGGTACGATGTGGTCTGTCTGGTTGCTACATAAATCCAGTTTGTTTGAAATAAACGATTCATATCGTAGAGGCTGAGATTAGTGCTCTGGACTCAACAAGAGGGGAAGAAGGACCGATAATGACTGTAGACTGCTCGTAGGGGTTTCTGCGTATGGGTCCGGTCGATGAGTTACTGTTCTCTAATTGGCAGCATCATTACGTCATATAGGGCAAAAGGCCACAAATTATATCAATCTCCTTAACTTTCCAATAAATTTGTTGAATACCACTTTGTAGGTGATTCATAATTTTCTGTAAATCAATTTACGATCATGAAAACGATCTGTATGATGCTGTAGTGACATATTGATTAAAGTTGAAAGACTGATATGACTTTTTAATAAAACAATCAATAAGGTGGATTGGTTGAAGTTGGACATTAACATCTTTGAATGCCGGCTCAATGACCTAGTGATTAACCGCTCTCCCGCCAAACCCGTAGGTCCTGGTTCGAATCTCGCGGGGAGAGATCGTGGATGCACACTGCTGAGGAGTCCCATAGAAGGACGAAACGGTCGTCCAGTGCTTCCAAATCTTCCATAGTTGCTTATCTCTAATTGACTCATGAATCTAACTATTGAATTAATAAGTTATCTAAATCACTGTAATCTTACAGGTTTCATTAATTTTAAACTGAAATACACTTGTACAGATTTCCTTCTTATTTTCTGGATAGTGGTTTTAACATTATAAGGTCATTCTCAGCATCACCTATGGTCGAAGATAAAATGCCGTTACATTGTAGAAGAGTAGTATGGTGTATTTGTTGGGGAAATCCAGTAAATTCCTCGGAAAAGGCCAAAAAGTCTCTGAAAATGTTGAGAAGCATCTTATCCAGTCAGCATTCAATAAAGGTTTTGCCAGAAACATCTAGAAAGTGGAAAGTGATATGTCGAGTTTCTGAATGGATGATTACCTATGTTGCTACTGTGTTTAATAGCGTCCCAGAAACTTCCGGAAGCTCAAGACCAATTAAAGTGCTATAAATACCCTGGATTTTCTGCACATAAACGTACTTTGGAGTAAAGCTTTCTTCCCATATTTCGCACCTTTTCTCTCATGTTTAAGTCGTTGTGTAGATTTAGCCTGAGATTTACTAAAGAGCTTAAGAAACCGAATCTAGAGTTCAATTAGAAGGCTTATGGGGCAGACTACTCTGAATAAGTAAATTATTCACCTTTAGTGAAAATCACTGTTCAGTTGTTTCTTTTTGTCAGTTTATAAACCTATGAATATGCATTAGCTGTAAAACGTTGTTATTTGGCATTTACCAATGAAATTTCTTGTATGTGATGGTTTGTCTTCTGATAACACAGATGATTCAGAATAATCTTCTCTCTCTCTCTCTCTGCGGTATACTGCACTAATATTGGTGATATCATAATAAACCTGTACCGGCTGACCGAGTTTATAATACCGCTAGATTGAATACTCGAACAGTACATAATACAGAGACTAGAACCCGTCATATCAGATATACGATTCACGATCAAGAATAGAGAAACCACAGTGACTCTTGACAATTCTTTATTCTACACAACTACAAGCTGTGACTGCTAATGAACCGGGAGTAGAAATCAATGAGAGGACATGATACTTTACTAATATAATAATTGGATTAGTTGTAAAAATTACCGACATGAACTTATGCTTAGACTCAGCATTCTCTTACATACATGATGTCCCCAGACATAACCGACTACTTCTTGACTGATTATGTGAAACTGTATCAAAGAAATAGTTTTATCATTTATACAAAAAATATCCAACCGAAATAATGGTACATAAAGGTAGAATAAAAACATTTTCTGTTTGCCACAATATATCACTATTATACGACCGGTGATCGAAATCATATTGCCACTAGACTAGATAGTCGATCAAAACATTATACGCAAACTGGATCACGTTATAAAAAAACACGATTCATCAATAAAATGGGAAACCAGAGTATAGGACAGATAATAGGTGACCTTTGAGCGACGTTAAAGTAATGTTGAGAATGTCCACCTACTTACTGAGGTTAAATGAGAGTTAGAAACCTGTGTTGAATAATAAAGATTATGATTTACAGTTGATGGTTAAGGTGAGGAATTAGAATTAGAGTTTTCATCACGAACTGACATCAGCTAAAATGCTGTTTAACCAAATGGATAAATGAATTTCGCGCCGAAATCCAAGACCTATCATCTTATATCCGATTGGTTCATCCATAATTTATAGTGTCACATCCATAATAGTTGACTCATCATTTGATTTATGTAAGGGCTATGATACTGCCGATGAGCTCAAACCCAAGTAAATCAAGTGATGAAGTGTGGCACATATACATTTGGTACCCCCATGCACTAATGTCTATGTACTTAAATAAATAAATACTTTACTCAGGATGATTACAAGCAATTCAGTGTAGGAAACAATAACTAGAAGGTAATCACTTATTCAATAATCAATAAGCAAAGTGTCTGTTTGTTCACGCTTACTGTTCATTCACATTTTAATTTTCCTCACCACAGATCAATATGACAAAACAAAAATTCCTGAAAGTAACCCAATACTACTTTATTAGTTTCAAGCATATCTATCATAATGATTACACTTTAACTGTATTGCCAATGGAACAACCTATTGAATAGAACATGTATATAATGAATTTAAAGAATTTCAAAGGTCGGTTAGATAAAGATTCTTTGAAATTCTTAAATGAAGGGAATAAAAAACGTGACAAACTTGAACCGATGCACAATATAGAATTCTCTGTACAGAGTACTTCAACAAGTTTCTATTTCTTATTTCTTGATTAATTCTGACGAGAAATATTGAGTAATCACCAGTGAGAAGTTAGCGGTCCAGTCAATTGACATCAGAATAATGTACATCCTTTTCGTTACAACCACAATAACTCTGATTGGGCCTTTTGTAACGTATACGACGACAAGTCGTACATTTTTCAGAAACACACCTGAATAGTTTATGCTAATAATAGCCATAATGATATATTAAAACTGTTATATCCGAGCGAAGATTAAATTACAAGTAACTTCTGAGACATATTAATGGACTAATATTATCTATATATTCTTATGCTGTAATTATTCAATAATTAGATTATGTATATTTATATTCCCCTTGTTATATGCTTTATTTTGACCTATAATTTATTATTGTACGACTTACGGTTCTTAAGTTATGTTCAGTTTATTGACTACTGCCTCCCACGTTTACAGCCACTTTTTGGGTTTATTATGTACAAATGTTATTTCCTATTTTATGGTACGTTTCGATCTGTTTGACTGATATATAAACCTAGTATGTCTGAAATAAATGATTCGATACGCATCGCATATTGGAAGCTGGTATTGGTCACAATTGATTCGTCACTGGGTTGTGATCAATGTCATGTGTGTCAAGTCCTTATTTAGTGCAGATCGAATACTATCGACCATGTTGCAATGTGGCCACCAGTCTAGGTGACTCGACACTGCGTGCACTATATATTAAGATTCGATGGTGGTTGGAGGTAGTCCACAGGAAACCCTGGACGCAGGTTTCGTGCTACTTGGCACCGCCAGGGAACATCATTTCCCTCAATATTACAGACATACCTTGCTGACGAGTGCCAAGTAACACGAAACCCTGGTCCAGGGTCCAGGTTTCCTGTCAACTACTTCCAACCACAATCTAATATATATATATATATACAAACATTTTCAGACTACCTCCAACCACTATCTGAGCTAGTATTGGTGTTCTGGACTCAAGTGGATAGGTTAGGCGGACATAGGATCAATAAAGACGCTAAGCTGCGCATACTGGTCGAACGTCATTGGTTTGTCAAAGTGCTAAGATTGTATAACAAACAAAATTAGATAACTTGTCAAAATATCTAGATGGCAAAGATGTTCAAGCAGCCCACTATTTTTAGACTCAATGATCTTCTAGATTTTCAATGATGATCTAACTTCGATTAATTCATGAATTCAAATATTAAAATTACTGCAATCTTCAAAACTCTCCCTATTTGTTTTAAAGCTTTGATATTTCACAGTAATTAAAGCAATTAATCCCTTTTATAAATTTCAATAGAGTAATTAGAAGACAGAGTTGATCTAGAAAAATATATGAGATGTTTATGCTATACATTTCAAACAATCTGGTCACATATATATACTTACATGGAAATTAATGAAGGTCAATTAAAATGACTTAAGTATTCCCAAGGGTAAATTCAAAGTTACAACAAACTGTTTTTGTACATCTAAGGGGGGGGGCGTTGATTGGTTTAAATTTACAAATGGCTAAGGCTTCAATATAAACCTCAGAATTCGTCCTCGACAATTTCTGTGTAACATTTTAAACGATGTATTGATATTAACTTTTTTTTACCCCGTTTCAATGATACGTCTCGCTATTGATGAACATGATTGTCTACATCCCACATTGATCGAAACACTTGACACTAAGTGATTTTGGAGACATCTAGGGATATGCTCAATGACCTTTGATTGTATTGTTGGATTATTCCCTCGTATGTATATGTGCTCACACAAACATGTAAAATCATTATGTTAAGGATATTCCATGAAGTTAACATGTAACTTTTAGCTCATTAAGAATAGATGTGAATGGGTAACAAAATGTTTATTATGAAGAACAGATTGATGATTGTATGTAAATCTCTAGAGTCATTTATATCCACCAGAATCATTTATGTACACAGTTATTCCAGGTATAACGTATTCACTAATTAGAAGTGTAATTATATACTTTCTAAAAGTAACCGTTTGACAATGATCTATGTCAAATATGAAACATGATAATTAGAAAGCATACTACTTAACCATTCTTCCTTAATACTCGTTTCTCTATCACACTTTTACATTCTGAAGATACTTTCACGTATTTCTACAACTTTTCAATACATTCAAACCTAAAGATATCAAAGCGTACTCCTCAACAGTAATGGTACCATTGCACAGAAATCACTTTGGTTACATTCATATAAAAAGACAAACTGTAACATCTTTTTATCTCAAATTAAGCCTAGAAGAATAGAAACATCAATCTGTTCTAATGGATTATTTTTAACTAGCAAGAATGACATCTTAAAACGTACCCATCATGTTTCTTCTCACAAGCATTCATATTCACCTGTTTACTTGTTATAAATTGTAACCGCCGATTAGAGGGCAGTGAATTATCGATCGGACCAAAGACGCGTAAAACATATACGAGCAGCCTAGAGTCCTGATTAGTCCTGCTTTCCTTCTAGACCAGCTTGTTAAGTCCAGAACACCAATCTCAGCCCCTGCAATATGAATCCTTATATTTCAAACATACTGGGTTTATATACCAACCAGACAGACCACATCGTACTATAAAATACAGAAAATACACATTTGTACAAGATTTAGCCAAATGTGGCTGTGAATGTGGGAAATAGTGATTATTAGACAGGGAATAATTCAAGAATGGTAAATCGTATAATAACAGTTCATAGGTTAAAATAAAGCTTATGATAAGAGAGACATGAATATGAATGGTTTAGTTAATAAATAATTATACGATAAAAATATACGTATGGTATTTGGTTCACAAATGGATCCCAAAAATTACCACTCATTATTGTTACACGACACAACATTATAATGCACATCGTATGAATGGTTTCATTAATCCATAGTGTTGTCGGTGTCAAATAATGACATCTTCATTAAAATAACGAATTAGTTTGTTAATCGTCAGGACTTTCAAATAAAAACAACAATCGGACATAACCTGAAATTCATTTCCTCTATTTTAATTGGTTCGTCTGTATACTATACTTTCATTGTATTCATATAAACGTATCCGTTTCATTGCCCCCAAATGATCTGGTATGGCCGAGAGTGGGGACAGTTCGCTCTCCCTCTCGAAATGCTCTCACATGGCCACGCGTATATAGCCTCTGCCTGGGAAGTTCTACTCACTACCTTCTCGCACCACGGATGCTGTTTACGAAATTGAGAGAACGAAAAGCGAATGTCCGGAGATTTAACCGGGTTAGTGGACATGAAGAGTTCACCTAAGGGAGTTGTAAAACCCTTATTTCAAACAAATGATTCACATGGGTTCCAGTACCTTGAAGGAACAATTGGCGTATGAACCAATCGTTGGTCACCGGCTACCATGGGACTGCATCTCCTGACGTTGCTTCACTGCCTTGTAAATCAGACCTTTAGGTTGAAGGCTCCGGGTGTCGCCCCTTGAGAAAACCACCTGCTTCAATATGAGCTCCCGGGCAGTATCACAACCCTCACACAAATCAAATGAGACTTATATAGTGCATATGTATTTGGTGCCTCCTTGTACCAATATCTATGTGTTCAAATAAATAAATCCGTTTTATTCATGTTACTTTATATTGATTGTTGAGTTGTTTTTTGTCTCTTCTATTCATTTGTTCAAGTATACCACATGCAACTACAAATAAAACAGTTGTAAAACATAATCGACCTCAAGCATATTATGATGTATTCGGTAAAGATGTAACATCTTTAGGAGATTCTGTCGAAATTTCTAATTCAACTATGAAACAAATCAATATTGAACAAGTAACATATGTTGGTCGTATTCAAAAAATATGCCGTGAAAATCTCCATAATGCATTACATTTATCTGAAGTAATAATCATATTAATTGTTTATTTCATTAAAACTTTGAATAAGTTGCATTACGAAAAAAAATAGTATAGTTGAATTCATAAGTCAATTGAATCTAGGCCATCATTGAAAACCTTAAGGCAATGAACGGCTGTTTCGTCCTAGTACAGGACTCCTCAGAAGTGCACATCCGTGATCCCACCTCGCGGGATTCAAACCCAAGACCTATTGGTCTCGTGCACGAACGCTTAACTTCTAGACCATTGAGCCGGTATCCAACCGTGGTAATGTCTAACTTCAAAAAATCCACGAAATCGCACCACCGCCCACCATTGTCGCAATTGCGCATTGCTGAGGAGTTCCATACTGGAACGAAACGATCATCCAATTCTTCTAGGTTTTCTATAGTGGTCTAGCTTCAATCGACTGATGAATTCAACCATTAAATTACTATAATATCCACAAAGACCTCTTTCTGATTATAAACGATTTTATAAATACAAAAAACGACAAAACTATCGTTTAACGATATTAAATTAACAGATGATAACTTGAAGTTGGAAAGAAGATAGAAAGTTTACGGTAGATATTGTTGTGAATTAAGTCTATTGACCAGTATGACATGGTAAAGTCATAAATCAAAATTCTAATTCTCATTTTGTCTATTTCGTATTTATTATTTCTTCTATAGTCTTGTGTTCCAAACTTAATTAATGATATACCTGACTAGTATCGTTGACTTTAAGTAGACTTTGATAAATTCCTATCAATCCGCTATTTACTAGCTTTCCTCAGTGCCTTGATTTCATTCTGGAAAGTTAATGTCCAATTTCTATTGTCATTATATTTCAAACACACATCTCTCTATACACAAGCATACTGGATCACATTACACAATAGCGTGAAAAATAACCATTATAAATAAACAGGCCAAAAGTGACTATGAGTAGAGCAAACAATAAATGATCGATTGACAAATAAATAGAAATAATAAGTAGTTCAAGAATAGCTAATACGCTAAATAAAAGCTTATGATGATCTAAATAAATATGCACAACAATCCAGTGACTGAGTAGCTATACAGTAACCACATATATAAGCATATATATAAACATTGACACCGTTGGATGCCGGCTCAGTGGTATAGAGATTAAGCGCTCACGCGCAAGACCGATAGATCCTGGGTTCGAATCTCGAAGGGAGAGGTTGTGGATTCGCACTACTGAAGAGTCCCATACAAGAACGAAACGGCCGTCCAGTGCTTCCACGTTTTTCACTGTGGTCTAGCTTCAATTGACTCATAATCTCAACTAGTAAAATTACTAGGATATCCACAACACCCCTTCTGATATATATGTATGATAGTTATCCAAAAATTAGTTCAAGAAGTTACCATTTCTTCAGTCTTCGTTATGATCTATCAGATATAATGTCAGTTCATCACTGTAACCAACTAGTTTTAAGTACTATAAAATAACTTTTTCATTAGAATTACTTATTAGATTATTTGCAGTAAGCAGTTTTAGTTCAAATATGCTTTATGACCTTAAAATCTCTAACATGACAACTAATAATCAATTACTCTAATAGTATAGGGGTTTTGGAGATTAATAAGTTTTTGATTGAGATCACGAACCGATTGATGTTAGACCATCACAATTGAAAACCTGGAAGCACTGAACGGCCGTTTCGTCCCATTGTGGGACTCCTCAGCAGTGCGCATCCACGATCCCGCGAGCGGGATTCGAACCCAGGGATTTCGGTCTCGCGCGCGAACGCTTAACCAATTGAACCACTGAGCCGGCATCCAATGGTGATAGTGTCTAACATCAACCAATCCATGAAACTGCGCGACCAACTTCCGTTGTACTGAGGTAGATACCTGTCTCTACCCGACAAGGATTAGCTCCACTGGTCACGGCTTCTCACTAGAACTCCGAGAATTCCCGCTCACGGGATCGTGGATGCGCACTGCTGAGGAGTCCCACAATAGGACGAAACGGCCGTCCAGTGCTTCCAGGTTTTCAATTGTGATGGTCTAACATCAATCGGTTCATGATCTCAATCAAAAGATTACTCTAATGTTGTTTAAAACAACTTTACAGTAAGATTTAGTTGGAATGTGTTTTTGTCCACAGAAATCTTAACTTCTTTGTTACATTTTTGTATATACATGATGTTCAAACTGATTTTTCATGGTTGTGTTAATCTCCCATTCATACCAATGATTATTAATGGATTAGAATGAACCATTTTGCATAAGACAGTGGTTACCTGGACTCATTCTTGCTCATCCATCTGAAGAGTTCAAAACAAAGAAAAACGACGCTCATTCTGATGGAGTTTTGTTCTCTGATCTGGATGGTTTGATTGTAGAGCTTTCATTATTCTTCTGAATGACATTATCAGCACAAACGATGAAAGCTCCATAACTAAACAATTTAGCTCAGAGAACAAAACTCTACCAAAATCAACCATCTGAGCAACATATCTTCTCCATGTAGCTCTGCTCAAAAATAGTCTACATACATTATACATTTACATAGGTATATTTTCTTTTGCTCAATGACTACTACTTATTAGATTATTGTACTTGTTTATTTGTTAATCCAGAATTATTATCGACAAAAAGGTATTCGACAGCCAACACATCCAGATTTTATCAAGTCCACATTTGATGATGCTGCTAATACTATTGTTACAAATTTAAAAACACTATTCACTGAAGCAGAATTATATCGTAATTCATGTGTAAAAGGTATGTACAAATGATTTGAATTTATGAAATATTTTACTGTTAGTTTTTTTGTATGGATATTATAGTAATATTTTAATAGTTGAATTCATCAGTCAATTAAAGTTAGATCACCATGGAAAATTTGAAAGCAATGAACTGCCATCTCGTCCTAGTATGAAACTCCTCAGTAATGTGCAACTGCGACAATGGAGGGCGGTGGTGCGATTTCGTGGATTGTTTGAAGTCAGACATTAACACGATTGAATGCCGCCTCAGTGGTCTAGAGGTCAAGCGTTCATGTACAAGACCGAAGGTCTTGAGTTCGAATCCCGCATGCGTGATCATGAATGCCCACTGCTGAGGGCTCCCATACTACAAGACGAAACTGTTGTCCATTGCTTCCAGGTTTCCCATGATGGTCTAGCTTTAATTGACTCCTGAATTGAACTATTAAATAAAACTCCTAACTGAATTGGAAATTTTACATCATATACTGACACTCGTTAGACAACCAATGAAAATCATGAGTAACTAAGTAGCTTTTTCATCCTAGTATGATACTCCGAGACAATCTTCAGTCATGATCCCACCAGAGACTGAAACCAGGAAGTTGAGCTTCAGGTTAAGTACTCAGTCTTCAAACGACTGAGTTAGTATTTCATGGTTTATATTCGTAACTTCAGTTGACTGGCTATACTTCAAGACCGTCATTCATCATCATCATCGTCTAATGCCCAACATGGTTGAATTCCACTGGTTAAAACTATTCACGAGAACTACGGTAAATTCTCTCCTAAAATCAATCACTAGTAAATATTTGGTAATCAAATTTATAGAGTGTCGTGAAGATTGTTGAATTTTGAATTTTACGTCCCTGATTGTCTTTGGTTAAATAACCATTTAACATATTTATGAACTACTTATAACAAGTAGACTAAGACTAAGGGTATGTAGTTCAAGTGATATCAGTTTGTGATGAGGACCTTAATCTTAACTCCAAGTCCTCATTCCCAACGTTGATTCCGAATACTAATCTGATAAATGAGCCGTGACCTTTAAACCATTTGCACGTTCACCATCAGCTCATCGGTACAGCTCAGATTTAGTGAATAGTTTAGAAGAGATGATAGTCCTTATGAAATGTCTCCAGAAACTTAATATTTTTTGAATGAATGACGATGACTATTATTATTTGGTTCATTTGCTTAGCTCTTTGGAGTTACGTCTGCCATTTACAGCGTTGACATTTGCTCATAATGAGTATGGTATTTTTAAATGTTCCTTTGTAGGTTTTGAATTAGTCCATAAGTGAATATTTGTATTCGTTCAGATTTACAATTATTATTTGATCCCAATAACTTCAACAAAGAGATATACATTTTAGGTTCATTGTTTATTGATTATTCTGAAAGATTTTGAAATTTTAACCGTAATTCCATGGCGTCGAGAATGATGAGTGATGATATTGTTGATAATATGTTGCTTTTTAAATCTTAGTTTATGTGGAATATTTGGGACTCGTCAGCTGGATATACCTGCATCCCAGAATTGAGTTTCAGCTCAGGACTCGAACCCAGTACAGTTCGCTTCAAATACCACCTCATTATCCACTTACCTACCGAGTCAACTATGGGATGCAGGTACATCCAGCTGACGAGTCCCAAATAGGACGAAGCTGGCGTCCTGGATTCTACTGTTAATCACTACTCATCTTCGATCAAGAATTACTTTTATAAATGTAATATGAAGTATGCACAATTGTGTATATAGAAATAGTTCTTCAACAAGTCAGTACACACAATTCTTTAGCTTTTTGCCCAGTCATTATTACAGAAACTAGTTAGATGTTTTGCAAGTAGACATAGGAAGATATGTTCAGACGAGACTATCAACAAGGAACTAGAGTTTATTCATAATATATTGGTTGAAATGAGTTATCCACAAGGTTTTCTGAAAAATCATTCGCATATAATGAATAGGGAAATAGCGACATAGATGGTTAGTAAGAAGCCTTCCTCCCGGAGGCTACGATCCAGTGGAGATATAACTAGTAGTGTACTACAAGAAGAGAACGTTTATCACAGTTAACCTCTGTCTATCGTTCTCCAGCCGACTTATGGTGATCTCTCAACTAAAGGATAAGTTACCTGGTTGTGCCACTTCCATGTGTATCTACAAATTCAGTTGTTGATGTGGAGGAAGCTATATCAGATGTACTGTTAGACAACTGAACCAATGAATTAGTGAACAGCTCCCATCATGGTTAGGGAGGAGTATCGTTAAAACAATATGCAGCTCTGTTCTACCATACTTGATCGATAGCGATCATGTAGTAGAAGGAAATATGTCATTTAAAGTGATTTATCATATTCCTACTAACTTCCCTAATGGGGTTCGATTTCGTCTGTTATACATAGCAGAAGCTATTGCAATTCGAGCTAACAATCTAAATCTTTATACTCATAAGACATTTATGACACCCTTATCTTTTTCTTGCTCAATTATGCCATAATGAATGGTTTTGTTCACGATTATTACGCATATTCTGTATTCGTTTGCTTTGATTCACTTCACAGTTCCTTCTATCTGAACACATATTATTACGTAATCGTTTTAATTTTTAGTGAATGTTATCTCAATGTCTTATGTTCCGAATCGTTGACCTATCTGCTATTGTGAAATACTGATTCAAGCTTTTATTATTCTTACCACAACTAATAAACCTGTCATTACACTATCGATTTGTAACGTTTACTTATTATATTACGTAATCTATTCGATGGATGTTACGGACTCATAGTAACTTGGTTAGTTTAATAGTTTAATATATTCGTACAAATATGTATATTTGAAAGTGAAACCTATCGAGGATCTAATTGGATTGAATGCTAGACCGCCGTTGAAAAGATGGAAGCATTGGACGGCCATTTCGTCCTAGTATGGAACTCTTCAGCAGCAACGTACCATTTACTAATGACTATATATATATATATATATATATTCTCTCTATTGTTTAGAATTTTCTGAACAATTGGATAACATTGAACAATTAGCAAGTCAGTTACCATGTTTATTATTTGAACAAATAGTTAATGAAATTAAATTGTATATATTACAAGAGATGAATATCCATCAGAATAGAATACAATTTGATTTAAATCAATTAAATGAATTACGTGTAAGTTAATAAATGGTTTTTTCATTTAATATTCAATGTGATTATTAGTCTGTCTTGTAACTCTTCAAAGAGTTACTGACATAAAAATGTCAGTGGATGAGAAAAAGTTATATGCTCGCGATTCGTTGAAAGGATTTTGCCGGGTGTATTTTGACAACACCTTCTTTGTATGTATGCCATCAATTAATACGCGAGATCTAACAATAATGAGACTTCAGATGATGGCCACCGACAAATTACCAATTCATTCATGTAAACACCGACTTCTCCAGCAGCTCTTCTACAGTTTCCGCCTGGCTCTAACCTAGGTAAAAAAGGATGGTTGGGTATGTTTTAAACAACCCTATCCAATGGAAAACAATTTTGCTGAAAAAACGCTAACCGGAATAAATAATTTGAACCATTTAAACTCTGCTCTCCGATTTAAAGGATCTTCAGAAGAATGGTGAAACCTCATGGTAAAAGCCGAGACTCTCCGAAAGTCACGAGACTGATTCTTCTTCTAACAACCCCAGCAACACTTTATATAGGAACATGGAATGTTCGAATAATGTTGGAAACTGAGAGGATGAGTCAAATAGCTGCGGAAATCAGAAGATACAACTTGACGGTTCTCGGAATCAGCAAAACGCATTGAACCCAAGCTAGACAGCAAAGGCCAGATATGAGAGAGATACTGCTGAACTGCTATCACGAAGAGGAAAATGCTCCACACACTCAGGGAGTTGTTCTGATGCTGTCCGAAGAAGCACGTAATGCACTTATCAAGTGGGAATCTCGTGGATCCAGGATCATCAAAGCAACCTTTAAAACAAAGGAAGGAATCATGATGAATTTTATTTAATGTTATGCACCCGCCTATGAAAGCGACGACGACAATAAAGATAAATTTTATGAGGGGTTGCAATCAATCATAGAGAAGCGCCATCAACTAATACGTGAGATCTAATAATAATAATACTTCAAATGATAGCCACAGACAAATTACCAATTGCTTCATGTGCACACCAAATCATCCAGAAGCTCGTCTACACTTACCGCCTGGTTCACGTCTAGGTAAAAAAAGGATGGTTGGGCATATTTTCAAAAACCCCATCAAGTGGAAAACAATCTTTGTACCAGCTTTTGTGATCTTACTTTCGTGTGGTGGTAATTACAGTGGTTTGTCGTTTTCGAGTATAAATAATAAACCATTCCGACATAGTATTCAGTGACCAACTAGATATAAAAAATAACGTTGAATTAGAAGACTTATCATATACAAAGTTTAACAAATCGCATAGATTTTTATAGTTTTCAATTTATTCTATCATTCTAATTGAAATAACGTAATGATATGTCTCATATACAAAAACTCAGATATCGACAGCTTGACTGCATGAACATCAATTAGTGGTCAAACACCATTATTTATTTATTTATTTACTTGAACACATAAATATTGGTACAAGAGAGCTCCAGTATATATGCGCCACACAAAACAATGAAAATTTGAAGAGAAAGAGGAAAAAGAAAGATAAGGAGCGTAAAATAAGAGAACAATAACGAAGAGGTTGATGTAAGGTAGTGTAGTAATAATAATAGTAATAATGAGGGAACGGAAAGGTACAGTCAGAAGAAATCTTTCAGGTAAGGGAGACACAACCACTTTTTATGAAGAAAGTAAAAGAAGGTTACAGCAGGATCGCCACTGGCCTCTATTCTGAGCCATATCTGATAACGTCTCTAGCCACTGTGTAGCAACATCTCTCAGACCCCAACCAGGGAGTCGTGAAGGACCGACAGAAGCCAGTCCTTTGCAGCTTTCTTTCATACCACGACACCATGTCATGCACTGACCACCTCTCTGCTTCTTCCAACCAGCCCCAGAGTCGGCAAATAGTGCACGACGTGGAATTCTCTGGGACGACATTCGTAGAACATGTCCAAGCCACCGAAGTCGGTGTTTCAAGGTGGTGACATCGATTGCATTATCTTCTCCGTGCCCGAACACACGATGCCGAACCTTTGCATCAATGACATGGAGTTGCCACTGGATGTCAGCAATCTTTCGGAGACAGCGATGATCGAACACAGAGTCTTCTTACGTCTTCTAACACCATGACATGTCCTCACTTATATCAATACACGTGGACAACTGCAGACATACTTTCAAGTGGAAAAATGTGCAAATCTTGGATAGAGGAAATTCTAAAAACACAAGAGAATATTTAGAAGCTTGGCACTCAGGTCAATCAGCAGTCAACAAGCACATTGAAATCCAATTTATCAACCAATCAAAAAAATTATGCACAAACATAGGAACAAAAACCAAACCAATAGAAAATACAACCAAAACAAAGAAGTAAATAACGACAGGTTAAATGTCGACAATAACCATTGAAGATAAAGGTCTACAGGAAAAGCTGTGAGTCATATATGTGGAGAAATTCGGACATCCTACTTCTACCTGAAGTTGGTGCTGATGATGTCGTTCAAAAGAACGATGAATGCTCCACGACCCAACCATCCAGTTCATAGAACAAACCTCCATCAAAAACAACTTAACTGGGTTTTTATCTTCTATAATTTTCAACCCTTGAATTTTGAACAAAAAAAATAAGTGGGAAAAATCTTAAAAGATGTGTTTTACTTCAAAGGTTATTTGAATACGATGTAACGTTGAGGTTGTACAAACTTTCAAAAAAAAAACTAAAACTTGAAACAAATTCGGTTATTATCTAATCATGATAAAAAGTACACCTAATCAGTAATTACCTAGATTTCTCTTAAAAGATTTCGAAAGAATGCTGATATGTGAAAGTATTTCCAGTAATTTTCTGGTTTCTGAAGTGTTATAACTTGTGGGTCATGTGTCCATATCAATATATAAATAACGTAATGATACCGTCAATTAAAGAACAGTAACTTATCGACCGGATCAATGACGCATAAAACCGTACCAGCAGTCTAGAGTCCTTATCGGTCTTGCTTCCCGCCTAGCCCTAACTGTTAAGTCCAGAACACCGATCTCAGCCTCTACGATCTTAATCATGCATTTCAAACATACTGGGTTTATATTTGAAACAAACAGACCATATAGTACCACAAAATAGAAAATACACATTTGTACAAGATTTAGCCAAAAGTGGCTGTGAATGTGGTAGACTGTAATTAATAGAGTAAGCATAACTCTCGAATGGTAAATAGTATAATCATAGTGTATAGGTCGATATAAAGCTTATAATAAGAGGAACAAGAATATGAATAGTTTACCTACTTAACAATTATACAATAAGAATGTATGTATAGTATTAGTCTAGAAATGGATCGCAACAGTGACCATTCATTATTCTCGTTGGGATATAACATGAAGAATTATGGATGGTTTCCGACTGACGATATTCTCTTCTTTATTACATTGTATTTTCCAATTCTATTTTAACATATCTCATTTGTAACTATTCAAATAAGAATCTACAAACTTATATTTCAATATTGTTTATCTGACATTTATCTTTAACTGTAAACGTTATTGACCATACAGTATGTAAAATATTCAATGCATGAAACCCACGGTATTCATCTATTGTTTCTCAATAGAATAGACAAGAAAAATAGCCTGATTATTATGGCGTTTCGGCGAGACTATAATTTATGGACAAACCAATCAGATTTAGGATAAAAAGACTTAGATTTTGGCGCGAAATTCACACAACCATTTAGGTAAATAGAGTCTTGGCATTATAGCTGATGTCAATTCGTGATGGAAAACCACAAATCTGATTTTTAACATCTAACCATCAACTGTAAATCATAATCTTTATTCTTCACACAGGTTTATAACTTTTATCTAATCGTAGTTAATAGATGGACATTCTCAAGGTCACTTTAGCGTCGCTCAAAGGTCGTCCACAAATTATAGCTTCTTGATTGAGATCATGAACCGATTGATGTTAGACCACCTTTGGAAACCTGGAAGCACCGGATGGCCGTTTCGTCCTATTGTGGGACTCCTCAGCAGTGCGCATCCACGATCCCGCTCGCGGGATTCGATTCGGTTCATGATCTCAATCAAGAACTTAATAATCTTCACAACCCCTATGCTAGTAATTATAGTTTCACCGGTGTTTCCACTTATATTCTATAGTATTCAGCATCATGATGAATTGTGAGTTTTTAAAAAAACGCGTGAATATTTTATACAAAATACATACATAATTACTCTGTTAAAACAAAGATAAAATATGAACATTTATAACTGTAACACCAGTTGTCGATAGTCCGGAGAATCTCACAGAAGAATTGGTTCTCTCTTAATTCTTAACTGCCTTCAACTAACTAACTAACACAGAATCACTTAAACGAATTCCAATATTATAGTTTAGTCTATAGAAATTGATTTACACTATTCATTACTGAGTGATGAATTGTGATAAACATGTTTTTTCATTTATTTGTTTGTTTGAACATATAAATATTGGTACAAAGTGGCACCGAATACATATGCGCTACATAAGTCACCTGATTCATGTGTGGGTTGTGATACTGCCCGATACTGCCCAGACCAAGGGTCACTCCTGGAGCCTTCAACCTAAAGGTCTGATCCACAAGGCAGTGATCAACGATTGGTTTATACACTATTAGTTCCTTCAAGATCCTGGAGCTCAATGATTTGGAATGATAGTTTTCCAACTCTTAGACAGTGGTTGGAGGTAGTCGACAAGAAAGCCTGGACCGGGGTTTGAGGGAACTGATGCTCTCTAGCGGATTTGATCCCATGTCACCCAGCTTCATAGTCAAAGACGTTACCA